ACTGACTGACCTTCATTTCTTAAAGTAATGATGGCCACTCGTTTTTCTTTAGTTAGCTGATTGGTTCTTGCCATAATATGAATTTTAACAGTTGTCCAATAGGGCTGTCGGCTGTGTATTAACCTGACTTCTGCACAACACAACTGATGGTCCCAACCCCATTGATAAAGCAAGAAATTCCACTAATTAACCCTGATAAGGCACACCTGTGAAGTGGAAACCATTTCAGGTGACTACCTCTTGAAGCTCATGGAGAGAATGCCAAGAGTGTGCAAAGCAGTAATCAGAGCAAAGGGTGGCTATTTTGAAGAAACTAGAATATAAAACATGTTTTCAGTTATTTCACCTTTTTTTGTTAAGTACATAAATCCACATGTGTTCATTCATAGTTTTGATGCCTTCAGTGAGAATCTACAATGTAAATAGTCATGAAAATAAAGAAAACACATTGAATGAGAAGGTGTGTCCAAACTTTTGGCCTGTACTGTATATTCTTGTTGGATTGAAATAGTTACACTATGTCACCAAACTCAGTATACAAGCAAGATATAACATGTGAGAAAGTGACCTCTAGAATTGCTTTCAACGGAGCCAGGCTAGCCATCGGCTGCTGGCAGTAGCTTCATATTTAGCACATAAGCATACCAGTTAAAGTCGTCTCTAAGGATTAATTTTTACTGTCAGGATTTTCATAACTATTTTATAATTTTGTTGATTTATTTTTTTTATTTTTTTAATTAGCATTTGATCATTCTGTTTTCTTTTATTTATACTATATATTAATGGCAGTATGGTGGTGCAGTGGTTAGTACTGTTGCCCCACAGCACGAGGGTTTCTGGTTAAAACCCTGGGTGGGGGTTCAAGCCCTGTGTTCTCCCTGTGTCAGCGTGGGTCTTCTCCAGGTTCTCCGGCTTCCTCCCACAGTTCAGAGACATGCATGTTAAGTTAACTGGTGACTCTAAATTGTCCGTAGGTGTGAATGTGAGTGTGAATGGTTGTCTGTCTCTATGTGTCAGCCCTGTGATAGTCTGGTGACCTGTCTAGGGTGTACCCCACCTCTTGCCCAATGTCAGCTGGGATTGGCTCCAGCACCCCCATGACCCCCAACGGGATAAGCAGTTACAGAAAATGAATATATATTATTGTTTTATTATTTAATAATGAAAAGATTGTGGACAAGAAGCAATAATTCCAAGGGAGCATAGGAGGAAGTAGCCAACATAAGATCAGTCACATGGATGTTAAGTTAGTAGATAATTGTCCAATCTACTGTTAAATTTGGGAACATTTTAATTTCTTCGCCAGACTCTTTGAGAACCTTTTTTGTTTTGACCTTTTGTTGCTTACGGTTGACTTGCCAGTACCCCCAACGTGCGCAAGGGCCTGGTCATTTTTTGGTTCCAATAAAGTGGGTTATTAACTTTAAAGAAAAAAAATACTATGAAGGGGGATTAGGGCAATGTTAAAGACAAACAATTTCTTAGATTTTGAAAATAAAGTCACAAAGTGTGTACAAAGCCTTAGGATGCAAAGCAGAACAGGATTGTGGGTAAGCTATATATAAATGAAAACACATTGAACATGATAACACTCAGTACGACATCACCCAGATGTGTGATCACCAGCAGCACCCTTCTATGATGTGGTCTGTAAAATGACACAACAACCTTCAGGGGATTTTTTTTTCTGGTGGCACACTGGCAGAAGTGGAGCAGTGTGGCTCAGTGTGGATGAATGAAAAATGTTACATGATATTGTAAATGTAATGATATCACCCAAAATTATGCCTTATATTACTTCGTTACTGCTAAAATGTGTATTATTGTCACCCCCAACACTGTTTGTATAAACTTGTCACTTTTAATACCATGTTAACCAACTTTTCATTCTTAATCTGTAATTTTTTTTCTCCTAATTAAGAGTTTAATCTCGTAATATTTTGACTTTATTCTTGTAGATTAACAACTTCATTCTCACAGACTTACATCTTTATTCTCAAAATCTCATTTTTTTTCTTTAACATGGCCCTAATCCTCCTCCATAGAACACACTAAATAAAAACAAAAATTGTAAATGTATTCATTTTAACAGCGTTGATACTGCCTACTAATAAAATGAGGAGATGCAACCACCTCTTGTAGTGACCAATAGTGTGCTCAAGTAGTGTCTTAAAATTTTATTTGAAAATGTCAGACATGTTAGTTGTAGCAGTGATACCCAAATATCTAAATGACCTTGAAACAACTCTAAATGGGAGGTGTGAATATTGTGGGAATATTGTGGGTATTTATAGGAAGTATTTTAATTCTTTGACAAATTTCAGCTCATATTCAAAGACCCATTACATATCATATTGCCTCACAACAGATATAGTATAAGAGATACGATATTTGGTATTGATTTAGATGGATTTGTTACATAAAACAATAACTCATCGGCATATTATGACACTATGTGCCCCCCCCCCCTCCTCTCTATAGACATAGTCATTTAACAAAAACACTGCAGTAGCCAAAAGTTCTAAATGCTGAACATTTTTGAGTATTTACAGTGTTTCTGTATTAGTTTAACCCAAAGTTAATACAAACTCAGCCACAGGTGAGTCAATGGAATATTTCATGTTCTTTCTAGTTAGTTTTGAAGTTCTGAAGTTACACTAAAAGTAACTGTTTGCTGAGCTCGCTCACATACCCCTAGCACTGCTGGGTAAGCATTATTGATAACAACAAGGTTGAGCATGCATACAGCTGCTGCACCTTTGCCCCCTCCCGGCAAACACTGCTCTGATGACAAAGTTGTGCTGATCAGAAGGCAAACATTGCAACATGCAGAGAAAACTGAAATGATGAAATTCAAGTAAAAACACAGTTTACATCAACTCTATTGAAAATCTCTGGAAAACAGATATGTATCAGTGTCTGTTTCTCCTTCTAGAGACTGTTAGATTTCATTGTGTTTTTGGTTGTGAAATGAAATGAAAATGGTTGTGTTTGCCGACAATCACTTTTCCATTTTTCTTGTCCTTTCAAAGTCCAAGAATGGTCTGTCTAGCAAAGTCTTCAAAAACCTGTAATCCTTGGAAGTAATTCTCAGAGTTGCACCATGGAAAAGGCCATGTATGTTTTGTTTTTATTAAAAAGAAGTACACTGTTTACCATCTTCACCATCTTAGTTTAGCTTTGTTAGCATTGCTAACATTTACTAATTAGCAGTTTACATAAAGTAGCCTACAGCTGGGGCTAATGTGAATCTCACTTTTGCAAATATTTAATGATTAACCAAAGCAGTGGTCAACTCATTCTGAGGGAAAATGTGTACGTTGTCTAAGTCGCCTCACGTCGCCTCACGTCGCCCTGTGTCAGTTGCATTTGAACACACGATAAAGACTACATCCGACGGCCAAGTAGCACGTACAGTCAGGTCCATAATTATTTGGACAATGATACAGTTGTCGTCATTTTGGCTCTGTACAACACCACAATGGGTTTTAAATGAAACAATGAATACCTGCTTAAAGTGCAGACTCTCAGCTTTCATTTAAGGCTTTTTTCAAAAATGTAGTATGAACCGTGTAGGAATGACAAGCATTTCTTCACACAGTCCCCCGACTTTAAGGGCTCATAAGTATTTGGACAAACTAACATAATCATTAATTAAACAGTCAGTTTTAATACTTGGTTGCAAATCCTTTACAGTCAATGACTGCCTGAAGTGTTGGACACATAGACATCACCAGATGCTGGGTTTCTTCCCTGGTGATGCTCTGCCAGCCCTTTACTGTAGCCGTCTGCACTTCCTGCTTGTGTTTTGGGTGTTTTGCCCTCAGTTTTGGCTTCAGCAAGAGAAACGCATGTTCAATTGGATTCAGGTCAGATGATATGACTTGGCCATTGCAGAACATTCCACTTCTTTGCCTTAAAAATGTCTTTGGTTGCTTTTGCAATATGCTTCAGGTCATTGTCCAACTGCACTGTGAAGCATCGTCCAATGAGTTTTGAAGAATTTGGTTGAATCTGAGCAGATAATGGTGCCCCAAACACTTCAGCTTTCATCCGCCGAAAACTGCTGACGCCGAAGTGCAGACGGTGCAGGACATACCGCAAAAACTAGGGCAACAGACGCTCACCAACGGCCCAACTTTGACCGACAGCCAACCGTCGGCTTGGTGCGTCAGGGCCTTCAGTGTGCTTTGGCAAGACAAGGAACTGATCAAACATGAGCGCAAGAGACAGGCACAGAGAGTCCCATATTAGAGGAAGCAGCTAAATAATTAATTACAGGTTGGACATCATGATCCATCTCTGACTTTATAAATGGTGTCCAGGGGCAGCCTGTCAGACACACACACAGGCACTGCTGTGTACTTGAATCTCTTTCACAGGGACTGTTCTTAGTCAGATCTCTTTCTATTGAGAAATTTACATCAACATGGGGAACACACACTGGCGTGCTGAGGACGCAGCCCACATTGCCTCTATTGCTCGAGACATCTGCCCTTTTCCAAACTACAGCCCCAGTCCTCTTTTCACAGACATGCTCTCCATCAACTCATCCTTTCACCTGAGGAGTCACTACACGGCAGTGCAGTCCTCCCTGACACCCAAGCAGCTGGAGGACTTCACCCAGAACCTGAGGACCACTTTTGGCAGGGAGGGCAAAGTCACTCTCGGTGGGGTGGGGGTAGTGGCCTTGTCCCTGGCTGTGCTGTTTGACACCCTTGCCAGACAGGCCAGAGGAGAGTGGGTGCCAGACTCAGGGCCTATTCCTGGTTTATTTGTCAAAGACCCAAGAGGCTACTACCCACCGTACATCTACACGGCCAGTGAGTACCTGAGGCTGGTGCCCCACATTGCAAACAACCCCACCAGGATGATGAAGGAGACAGAGAGGTAATGTGTATTTATTTACATGTGCTCTTTAAAATCAGTTTGTCAGTGTAAAGGTGCAGACACACCAAACCGACATCAAAGAACTAGTGGTGACGAAAGCCAACTGTTGCTTCGTCTACGTCACCTCACGTCACCTCACGTCACCTCACGTCACCTCACGTCACCTCACGTCGCCCTGTGTCAGTTGCATTTGAACACACTACAAAGGCTACATCCGACGGCCAAGTAGCACGTACGTTCTGCGCCTGCGTGAGAGGAAATAACGCAAAAAGGGAAACCGGAAGTCCGAGGAATGCATGAGATAAACAAAGTAGTGGAGTGAGAGAGTGGTACATCCTGTCAACCGAGGGTTTACTATCTGTGCAGCCGAGCACCGCAGCACCTCCACGGACTATTACAACCAGATGGTCCTGGTGTTTCCTCCGCAGGCTCCACTTCACTCAGGTGCCCGACAAACCTGCTGCTTCTTCCCACTTTAACCTGAATAACAAACCGGGGCTCGGTGCTCTGGTTGGATCCAAACGGAGAGCCAGGGCTAGCTGGGAGACTAGCAGAGGCTAGTCAGGTTAAAGTGGGAAGAAGCAGCGGGTCTGTCGGGCAGCTGAGTGAAGTGGACCCTGAGGAGGAAGCACGGTTAGTCTGAACAGCCAATCAGAGTGATCTCTCTCACTGACAAGCTCCGCTGCCGATTCAACACGCTCAATCGGCCAAAAAGCCGCCGATGCCGACACCCAAGTACCGACGGTGCCGGACACACCGCAAAAACTAGGGCGACAGACGCTCACCGACGGCCCAACTTTGACCGACAGCCAACCGTCGGCTTGGTGTGTCAGGGCCTTTAAGTCTTTAGTCAGTATTGTGTCTACTCTATGTGACATTGTGTGGTATTATTGTCTGTTAATTTCACCAAGGTACCTCTGGCGGTTAAAAGCTGATGACCAATCTTTGGACAAACTGGGAGAAAACCACACATTACGGCTAAATGAAGACATCACAGCACTCAATGTGATTCTGGGACGCGCTTTTGCATCCAGTTTGAAGCTTCACCTCTTCCGATTCAAAAACATCACAAATGATGAACTTCGTTTCAATGAGAGATTACCAGATGATATGATCTTTAATCTGAACTGTGACCCAGAGGCTGCTGACAAAGAATTTTTGGCTGAAGTGCAAAAATCTGACAACCACACCCAAGAAGCTTTTAAAAGATGCAAGCCAGACAGTGATATACCAACAACATGGCTGCAACATTTTGCCCATCTAGTATGGCTAGATGCCATCTACGTCCCCTTGTATGGAAACATACATAAACATGCTTCATTGATTGCACAAAGAGAAGATTTTGACCTGAAGGTCGATGCACTCAGAAAATGGGTTGAGTAGTGTACTGCCCAAGACAGCTGAGAAGAAAAGGGGGTGGCTGTCAGCTGGGACACTTTTTCATCAACACAAAATAACCTTCCATTACTTCAACAGTAATAAAAGCAGGTCTCTAAAAAGATGCAGGTGTGTGATTACAATTTATCAGTAGATTTTTTTTGAGCCCAAATGTTAAGGGCATGATTTTGTTAAATGTACAAGGAGTGCATTTTTCTAAAAATCCACATTGATTTAGACATCTAAATATATAATATTGAAAAGAAAAATAGTGCAATGTACTTTTGAACACCATTCATTTCGGTGGCACCTCTCAGCTCAATGTGACAACCATAGGCTACATGTAGCATATAGGTTTATGTAGGCTATTTAGATTGTTTCATTTTGCAATAACAAAAGGTCTATGAAAGAAAAAAGTTAAATTGTTGAACTCTACACACTGAAAATATGCTTAAGGGTTGAAGTGAATGCCAATATGGCGTTCATGCATTTATAAACATGACCAAATCAGGGACTAATTTTGTTACAAAGTTGCATAATTGCTTAGAGTTGGTTCATGTTCTCATGGCAGCATTTACAGGCAGACCAGATAAAATGCCTTGCGCAAGAACGCTGCTCTTGACTGGTCAGAATTTCCATGTGGGAAAAATCCAAGAAGTGAAGAAAACATTGACAAAGAGTACACTTGCAAGATAAATTTGACACTTTCTAATGTCACATTGGAGAGATAACTACAGGGTTTTTCAGCACTGGTCATCATGTGTCATATTGCTTCCATTGTTCTCTTTAGGTAAACCATACAGTTTGAAAACAAGGCATGGCTCCAACTAGAAAAAAATGTTTTGATGCATTGGATGCGCCAAATATGCATATTAAGGCAGTACAGGAGGAGGCACACACTAATAATCTTCGGGGACTGTAACATGCTCATGCTTGTTTAACCCAAACAATGTGTAATGCAACTGCAGTTGGTTCGAACTGAGGTTGGGAAACAGTCTCACCACAAATGAACTGCTGCACCACTTCTTCAAGAAGGTCTCAGTTCAGTTGTTGTGTTCACACCTGCCCAAATGAACCACACTTAGGGGGCAAACAAACTTGAGTCGGTTTGAACCGAACCAAACAGGGCAGGTGTGAAAACACCCTCAATCTCTTAATAGGCTAAACATACCATAAAACAGAGACTATGGGTTATAACCTAAAGCAAGTGCATTAAAAACATTTCATTTATATTAACTGTCTTAGCAGTCTAAATCCCAGGCTAAACATGACTCAAAGCATAATATGGGCTACAGGATAAACCAAATGAATTAGATTATTCAATAATGAAAAGCCTCTGTCTTGTTTTTGTCTAGGTTTTGTTGATTTGTAACAAGGAAGGAACTATAAATAATACCGTCGACCACCTACAGGTAACTATCCCAACCATCCCAGGGAGAACAGACACAATTTGGACTCCTGTGCTAACTACCAACAAAAATTCAGACAGCTAACGCTAGCATCATCTAATAGACTAGAAATTCAGCTTTGCAATTGTATGTTTTTGGTATGTGGGATAACTACATTTTTTTATGGTAGAAGAAAAATAAAACAAACAAAAAAAATTACTTACATGCTGTAGTTTTCAAAACTGTGACTAAAATGTGAGGAAAAGTCATAAAGTCTCCACTTTGAGGTTGAAAGTAAAGAGAGTGTGGCTGAGTATGAGCATTATGAATGGCATAGGGATAGTTTGGTTTTTCTGACTTGCTATAAAGGCGCTAACCCAACTGACCCTCTGTTCCAACTGACCCCAGTCTCCCCTAAGTAAAGTGGAACATCAAACCAGTGGAATACATAAAGCCAGATTAGCTACTGATAAATGTGTATGGACATAATGCAGGATAGCATGGGACAAAGGAGTTGTGATATATTTTGACATCTGATATAGTTTTTCTCTTTTTCTTTGTTAATCTGCTTGTTTGTTTGACATTTGCGACCATTTTGTTCTATGTGCATTCAAACAGGAAATAAAGGAAATGTACAAGAAAATGAATCAACATAGTTCCCAAAATGTTGAACTTTAAAAAATATTTATAGTGTTTTTATTTTAGTTGAACCTAAAGTTAATACAAACTCAATCAGGTGAGTTCAGGGACCTTCCAGTCATATGACCTGCAGTTATTCTACAAGTAAACTACCATTATGTTTGTTAGGCTTAATCACATGCCCCTATCTATCACTGTTGGGTAAGACTTATTGTCTTATTAAGGTTGCGCATACAGTCGCTGCACCTTTACTCTTTCCTGGCAAACATTAGATCAGATGGTGAAGTTGTGCACAAAAATTGATCAAGATCAAGTAAAAAACAGTTTACCGTAACCCAAGTGCAAACATCTCTGGAAAACAGATATGCATATGTGTCAATGTCTTCCTCCGTAGACTGTTGGGTTTTGCTCTGTTTTTGGTTGTGAAATGTTTAAAAGGCACATTTCACTTCCCACACTCTTTGTCTTTTCCAGGTCCAATAATGGTCCATCTGGCAGAGACTTTAAAGCCCTTAAAATATTTCTTAGATTAGCACTGTGGAATACATGTATGGGACTTTGTTTTTCATTTTTTATGACCATGATATGCAAATACTTGTGCAATGTTTACCATGTTTACCATCTTAGTTTAGCATATCAGTAGCTGAGGCTAATAGGAGTGTGAAATTTGAAAGTATTAAGTCAAAACAAAAGTATTGGTCAAATATACATTTTTTCCAATTCAGTGATTACCATCTGCACACCTTATTTGACATATGTGTCTGTTGGTTTCTTCTTTTGTAATTTTCAGCCAGGTAGTCAGTGTGTCACCGTGCATGTCAGTGTGCTTTGGCAAGATGAGGAACTGATCAAACATGAGTACAAGAGATAGGCACAAAGAGTCCCATATTAGAGGAGGCTGCTAAATAATAATTAATTACAGGTTGGACGTCATGATCCCTCTCTGACTTTATAAATGGTGTCCAGGGCCAGCCTGTCAGACACACACACAGGCACTGCTGTGTAGATGAATCTTTCTTGCAGCGACCGATCTTAGTCAAATCAACTGACAAATTCACATCAAGATGGGGAACATGCAATGCCCTGCTGAGGACGCAGCCCTCCTGGCCTCTGTTGCTCGAGACATCTGCCCTTTTCCAAACTACAGCCCCAGTCCTCTTTTTGCAGACTTGCTCTCCAGCAACTTATCTTCTCACCTGAGGAGTCACTACACGGCAGTGCAGTCCTCCCTGACCCCCGTGCAGCTGGAGGACTTCACCCAGAACCTGAGGACCACTTTTGGCAGGGAGGGCAAGGTCACTCTCGGTGGGGAGGGGGTAGTGGCCTTGTCCCTGGCTGTGTTGTTTGACACTCTTGCTAGACAGGCCAGAGGAGAGTGGGTGCCAGACTCAGGGCCTATTCCTGGTTTATTTGTCAAAGACGTGAGAGGGTACTACCCACCACATGTCTACACAGTCAGTGAGTACCTGAGGCTAGTACCCCACATTGCAAACAACCCCACCAGGATGAGAAAGGAGACAGAGAGGTAGGTGCTACAATCGACACAGTCACTGTATTTACATGTGTGAAACAGAGGAGACTTGACGGATAAAAATATGCTCTGGGTCTGATTTCAGATCAAATCTTGAATTTTCCCACATAGCTGAATTTCAAATAAAAAAGTTAAACCCCTGGTGTGTTGTGTACATGTTAAGCACATGTTAAAAACAAAAACTGTTTGCCACAGTTGAATGCATGTACAATATTCTGTCAGCCTGTGTATTTTTACATTTCTTTGTGTGTGTGTGTGTGTGTGTGTGTGTGTGTGTGTGTGTGTGCGTGTTTCTTTTTTCTTTCTTACCAAGGTACTTCAGGCAACTCATGATTGATGAACGAACTGTGAACAGAGATCCATACCTTACCAACGATGCCATCGTAGGGGTCAACCATTTGTTTGGGAATGTATTTGAAAACAGTTTGCACGTTCACCTCCTCCGTATTACCAACTCTACAGTTGTAGATAATATAATGAAGTCTGTTAGCAACACTGAAATAAGAGGTAATGCAACTCATGTCAGCAAAACCAGAAAGAGACGTTTGCCTCCCCCTGAAAACTCAGTTATCTTCAACCTCAACTGTGATCCAGATGCAGCTAGCAAAGTTTTTTTGGCTGAAGTGAACAAAGCAAACAACGTGCAAGAGGCTTATAAACGATGTCTACCTTTCAACATACCAAAGACATGGTTGCATTTCATTGCCAGACTAGTCTGGCTAGATGTAATCAACAACCCCATGCTTGACTTAAATAGTTTAAAGGAATCACTGGTAGGTCAAAAAGAAGATTTTGACCTAAAGGCCAATGCACTCAGAAAATGGGCAGAGTAGTTCACTGGTCAACTGTAAAAATGCAGATGAAAAAATGAAATAAAAGTTGAAGTTCATCACTCTGTAATTGTTGTCATGTTGTTATTAGCATAAAGGAAACAGCATTAAAGGAATACATCACACACAAAATGACCATATGTAAATCAATTAGCCTGAATGGTTAAGAAAACTGTTTTCCACAGAACCCAAGAAGTTAAAATTCATGATGAATTGAAATCACAGGGGTCCGCTACATCACACTTCATCATCCATTTACAAACTGTCACTTAACTCCTGCAGTATAATCTTGAGTCTCAGTTATCCAGTCATATACTCAGCACTTCCCAAACACGTGCATTTTTGCGAAAACCTTAAAACTGAACTGAAAGGGAAGTTTATCTTTGCTCTCTTCAAAGCCAGACTCCAAAACTAAGGTTTTTTTTTTTTTCAGCAAAAATGCTTGTGTTTGGGAAGTACCAAGCATACAACTTGATAACTGAGACTCAAGATTATACTGCAGGAGTTAAGTGACAGTTTGTAAAAGGGTGTTTTGTTGTTAAATGCAGTCCAAAATCAATCAGTAAATCAATATGCTTTTTTTGTGGAAGCATGCGATACTTTCTGGGTGAAGTATTTTTTAAAATGTGCTCAAAATTCTAACAAAGGAAACAAAGATGAACAAAACTAAATGAGAAAAAACAAAACCCAAGCTTAATAGGGTCGGAATAAAGCCATATTGGTTACTAATGATAGGTTTGTGGACAATAAGCAAGAATAACCAGTAAGCATTGGACAAAGTAGCCAGCATTTGATCAGTCACATGGTTTTGAGTTGCTAGATGATTGTCTGGTAACCTTTTATTCTGCTTGTGAGACTTTTTGCAAACCTTTTTGTTTTGATCTTTTGCTACTGTCCAATTTCGTAAAAATATTACAGCATTGCAATACCAGCTACTGCCTGCTATGAAGGTTGCAACAGAATAATCATTAGCTTTAAAATCTGGGAAATTACGAGTGTAGTCTGTGTATGTGATAGGTGCAGGTATACACTGTTTACCCAATAGAATTTTCAATGTGTCATTAAATATACATATTAAGTCATTACCTTCTATTCTGTTTTCTGTAGGTGAAAAATGACACGTCATGGGTAACAACTGACAAAATCTATATTTTGTTTCCAGTCTCTCGACTCTATAATTTGTAAAACTTTGATTCTTAACAAACTGAAGTTACAGGCGATTGTGTTTAACAAGAGCAAACCTTTGTCAAAACATCCATTTATAAACTCTCAAAGAAGTCTCATTTATCCACAAACAGCCTCCTTTGAAAGGGGACTGAATTAAAGTGCTCTCTTCAAAGCCAGACTCCTTTGACAAAAACAGTAATTTTACCTTGCTGAACACAGAAACTGCTGTGCAGCAGCCCCCCCCTGTTCAATACAACCAGATAAATGAGTCTTGGATTACACTGCACGACTTGTATGAAAATTTGTAAACAGATGTTTTTTAATAGATTTGCTATTGTGAACCTGGATCCCTTTTTAGCTCAGTCCGCAAGAATTCTCTCTATTTATGGATTCTTTGTTCACTGGTGGCATGATGGCGTGCTGGGTGGCCTGCTGACAATTTACAACTTAACTAGTCCATACCCATTGAGTGCACAGTTGCCCACATACAGTATCACATGGTATGTGTTTGGGATACAGGTCATAGGAAATTGCAGATTAAACAGTCAACTGAACCCATTAAGAAGAGCAACCTTGAGGTGTCCTGTTCTACATATCTACCAAAAAAAAATTGACTGGCGGGGGCATCTGTGGCTTAGTGGTAGAGCAGGCGCCCCATGTACAAGACTGTTGCTGCAGCAGCCCAGGTATGAGTCCAGCCTGTGGCCCTTTGCTCTCCCTCTCTCTCTCTCCCCCCTTCACACTTCACTGTCCTGTCAATTAAAGGCAAAAAATGCCCTAAAAAATATCTTTAAAAAAAAATTGACATGGTGGTTAGGAAAGAAAGAAATTAAAGAAATTAAGAAATTAGCTCTCTAGCGCCCCCATTTTGTTTGATGGGATCAATAATGGAGGGGTCCCCTCAGATTATGTGTGGTCATATGCCTACAAAGTTGCGTGGTGATCGGTGAAACCCTTGAGATGTTATACACCTTTATGTGATGAGCCACGCCCTCCGCAATATTCATTGCCTTATAGAAGCTCAGTTTTAGTAAGATTTCCAACTTTTGCCAAGAGGGAACTTTAGATATTGGTCCCTAGATTATGTTCACCGAGTTTCACGCAGATCGGTCAAACTTCCTAGAAAGAGATCGATTTTAAGTGTTTTTCAAAAAAATTCAAAATGGCGAAAAATCTATATAACCGGAAGTTATGGGTTCTTGAGGCAAATTTGTTCCTCATGAGGAGAGGCATCTCTGTGCAAAGTTTCATGTCTCTACGACATACGGGGCATGAGATATGCCCATTCAAAGTTTGCAATTTCAATCGGTTGCTATAGCGCCCCCCTTTGGCCAATTGATGTAATATTGCTTCATTCGCATCCTCCCACGACCCTCTACCACTGTGCCAAATTTCACATGATTGACCAAGTCAGTGAGGAGAAAAACGTGGAACAGACACACCCACACACACATAGACAGTTTTCGTCATTATATAGTAAGATAAAAAATAAATTGATACGTGCTCTTTTTTTGTTCATTGTATGTAAGTAAGGTGCCAGATTGCACTAGAGCTTGTTAATAAAAATAAAGTGCCCCCCGAAAATCTGCAAACAATTAGAACACCAGCACTCGTAGAAATCTAATTTATTCAACATGGGCATAAATGCAGAGACAGATGTGTTTCAGTTAAAGAGCCATCATTTACATGACAAAACAAGATGGAATGGCAAATTTTATGTACACATGTGAGGTTCGAACCACAGTCAGGCTAGAGAACACAAAATTGAATGATGGGATCCATCTGTGTATGAATGAGGCACCCAAAATTAGCCTCTCCCAAATAGAAAGAGTTTCCACAATAATCATAAAAAACACCAGCAGCCAGTGTCACAGGCTGAGGTGTAAAAAATGTTTTAAAAGAGACTATGGGGACACATAGCATATATCATACCAATTGAACAGCCAGATTCTTTCAGCATCATTTCTGTTTTGGTTGATTTGCAAAAAGGATAGCTGAACCCACCAAAAGAAGCAAAGAAATTACTGACCGTGGGGATGGTTTTCCTTTTCTTTTTTTTCTTTTTATGTATATATATATATATATATATATATAATTTATAGATTTTTAGATTTTTACACAAACAACACAACTATAAGTCACCCACCTCCCACCCTCGCAAATGGACAATACAAAAAGACAAGAAGACAAAAAAGAGCAAAAGAAAACAAAACGAAAAATGCTCTTATAGGCAGTACGATAAGCAGAATGTTCAGCACCAACTACAGAATGAATGTCTACAAAATGAGAGAAGTTAAAATATTCCTTTTTGCCACGGTGCCGTAGCATTGTTTCGACCTCTCGTTGTTCCGACCTCTCATTAGTCCGACGTCCCGTTGTTCCGATATGTGATTATACTAGGCTATACTGTATTTGGGGGATCAGCAACGCAACAAAAGTAGGCTACTGGTCGAGATACAAGTGTCATAGAGAGGAGAGAATGAAACACCATAACCTCCTGTTATTAACTCTGGGGTCGGGGTTGTGTGGGGAGCTCTCCGCAGTGCTGAACGGCTCCCGTTGGGTGTATTTCTGCCTTGATGGTGTGCCGCGACCGGCTCTGGGTCAGCTGGGAAAGCCTTGAGGTAAAGCAGGCTCACGGCTTATGTGTTTGCCACTTTCTTTTTCATTTTAACCCACACCATGATCTTTTCCTTTGTACCTAAACCTAACCAGACCTTAACCACAGGGCATCATGATGATTTCAGAACAACGGGACTTGGGAACAATGGGTTTAATATGGTCCGAACAATGGGATGTCGGACCAATGGGCTGTCGGGAAAATGGGCAGACCCCTTTGCCACAAGCATGCCATATTGTCTTTTGCTGCAAGTGGGACAGAGCTAATGGATGTCGGGTTCAGCTCATGATGGCAATGCTTGGGTCTGATGTAATATCACAGTTATATGCTTATAAAAAGCACTTAAAAATATCTGACCAGAACTTGTCTTGCTTGGGGCAAGACCAGAAGAAGTGGCCCAAGAAAGTGGCACTGGCAAGATTATATTTCATAGTACGCACAGGAACATGCCACCCGCTTAAGGGGGATTTATTCTTGTGCAGCAGACCATACCCGGTAGCCTATGGACGTGGCCTACGCTGTTGTGAGGATTTATACTTTTGCGGTGGCGTGTCTGTTTCACTCTGCAGTTGCACCTCCAAAACACTAGTCAGCAGTGGGGTTTCTGTGAAATGCTGTAAAGTTTAGTTGATTCAAATAAAAATAGCTTAATAGAGACAATTTACAACACAAGTGCACAAATCAGCTTAACTATAACTTGCAGAACTGACAGACACAAACACTTGTCTTTTGGTGGACCCATTTGCCCCACAAATACAACATGCTAATGTTTTTAGCATAAGCCTATGGCTTTTTAGATTTTATAAATTAGCCTAGCAGCTAGAGAACTTTTTCTCTTCGCATAGGAAGCCAGGGACAACAGCAACATTTTACAAAGGTAACGTTACAAAATCCGGCTCCATTACAACTCACAAGGTTCACTGGCAAAACAACTGTCTTATACTAAACAGGTTTTCCAAACAAATATAAAATGCTAACGTTATTAGCACAAGCCTATGGCATTTTACATTGTATAAATTAACCTAGGGGCCAGCAAACTTTTCCTCCACTTATATGAAGCCAGGGACAACAGCAACATTTAACAAAGGTAATATTACTAAACACGTTTTCCAAACAATTATTAGCACAAGCCTATGGCCTATTACATTGTATAAATAAGTGGAGATTTCCTCTGCTCATATAAAGCCAGGATAAATCCCGGAATATAAATCCCTGAAAGATAAATTACACACAAGATTTGAATAAAATTTTTGTGCTGGCTTTATTGTCTTCACTACTTATTGTTTCTTATCTGTGAAATTGAAATAAATAAAATCTTCATTTCCACTGAGGGAAATGGCTTTAGCTTACAAAAATACGCAGGAGGTCTGCGCCACTCCGTGAGTGGGCAACTGGTGAAAATTAACATTACTGACATAACACCACCAAAAAACTCTAATTAGCCTATCACATGCATTTCAAAGAGAAGCTAACAGACCAAAAACAGCCAGAAAAATAATAGAATATAGCCCGGAGAAAGGTACAAGCATTTAGCAGACAACAGATTGACTCATTTTGCAGCAGCCTCACACGGCAACAACATCAACAGTTAGGTCTAAAAAATACACAGCAACAATATGCACAAAGCCCAAACCAAGCTGCTACAATAAACAATAAAAAGGCCAGATGGAAAAATCAAGTTGTATTCCTCCCTATTAAAAGTTCATTCTGTGTCTCCCTGTTGCAGCAAACTCCTGTAGAATGGCCTCCACATCAATTCTAATGTCAAGGTGATCTCGGGACTCATCGCTCTGCAAAGTGGGTGGATCCTGGACATGTAGCTGGCTGCTACTCTTTGTTGTTGTAAAGTTAATGCTAGCAGCAGTAACATTAGCAGACTTGGTGCCCGTACTGCTGTTCTCTGCATATTCTTCGCTTCTGAGGCTTGTTTGCTTTCTTATTTCAAAAGCCTGAAAACTGCTTGGTTGTTCGTTTGCTCTTTTTCTAACTACTTTTGCTTGCTAACACACAAGATAAGTAACACAGTATTGCTAGCATCACAATTGAGCGCCAAAAATGTTTATCATACGCTGACCTCTGGCAAGTGAAGTGCACTAATCACTGGCATCCAAATGTATTTGCGTCATAGTGAGTGAACACAGCCAAGAAATGCATCCCAGGGACATTCATCAGTTAAAAAGAACCCAAAGACACAACCTGCTGCTTTTATCACAGTTTTATTTTCAAGATAAGATGATAAATCATTGAAAAAAATGTATGCACACTGCTTACAGGATTACGACTGCAGGCGCCATTGGCCCAAGGTGCCCTCTGCTAAATTACATTTTGGGCAAATTGTAGAAACTGAGGCATAAAAGGAGTGTAATGTAGCACAGGAGTAGTGCAGCCTGTGAAGCACTTGTGTCTGGAATTTATGGAGCATCTGTGAATGTCTTTCAGGTAAGTTTCTCAGGTTTCAACACCAATCATAATGCCAAGGTCTTTCTCCCAGGCTTCCTTCAAATACTGTGTGGAGACAAGACTGATAGACAAGTCTCTTTGAGTCAGGGGTCTGATTCATAAACATATACATTTCAAAAGGGGATGGGACTGACTCAAAATGTGATATACTCAATCTCTAATCTGGAGATAACGGAAGAAATGTAAACTTGGGAGTGTATGTTTTTCTTTCAACTGATCAAAGGTGGTAAGAGTGTTGTTGATATTAAGGTCTGTTATAGTGATAATGCCTTTATTTTTCCAAAGTCTAAATGTATAGTCAGTAAGAGGGAAAGGCATGGCAAACTGGAGTACAGGCTGAGGTTTCAGGCAACTTGAATGATTTCCTTATTTGATACCAGATTCTTAAAGCACTTTTGACCATAAACTCATTGTTGACGATGCTTTTCAGTCATTGGCTGAGGACAAGATTAAGGTGATGTGCATAGCAATGCACAAAGACTGCACTAGGGGACAACTGCTCATACCTTCTGAATACTTTTCGACAGGCCAAAGAACACAACAGAATTTTCAGTGTGCTCTGCTAATATGCTGTCACGCCCTCTAAAAGATTATTCTTGTATTCCAAGATGAGCCATGCCATCACTAAGATGGATTTACACATCTCTGTTTCATCTTCACATTGTAGATGCAAACGTGCTCCCTTGTCAATTAACTTGTTCATTGGCACAGACCAAAAAGCTTCAGTCTACTATTCCAACAATACTATCGGTAGGGTGACCAGGTCCCAATAAACCAAATGTGGGACAAGGAGTAGGTTTGTGAGGGACAGTGTGGGACACCCACCCCCAGCACGAAGTTTAGTCATCAGAGACTAAATACATTCATCATAAACTATACAGAATCTACTGTATATTATCACTGGACTGTTTTAATTATTGAAGTATTTAGCAACACAGAGACTTGTGGTCAGTGAGATGTGAGGATTCTTATAATAACATCTGTAGCCTACAGATGTGAAGCCCTGACTGTATCTGACTGATCTTTAATGAAAGCTGTTGTCTTGTATTTTTTTTCCTCTGAAAATATGAACCTTACAGTCAAACACAGTTTATTCAGCCTATGTAGTTGAGGGGACAGGTCAAACTGATATGATGCTGATTTACAGGAGAGTTCATGTCAAATGGAGGATAAACCATGAACATAAACTACAGATCACCTGTAAAGCATTTTAATAAATTCATCTATCATAATTAAAACAACTGGAGACTGAAAACAAACTGATACATGGGTCTGATCACTTTTTTAATGAATTGACATCATTCCAGACAGGATGTCAGTGTGTCTGTGACTTCCTGTACGGACTGAAGGCTGCTGGAAACTGTCTGGCTGCGTCCAAAAGGCCGAGTAGTATGGATTGTAGTAGACCAAATTAGTAAGTAGTATGTCCGAAACTGTAGTAGGGAGGAGCAGTATGCTACCACCCCTCAACCCCATGTTGAGAAGCATGAGAGAGCTTGCAGACATGTTGCTGGTGGGTAAAGAGTGGCCAGCTTCATTTTTGGGCAATTTCAATAGTCACAGGTGCGTTCAGATTTTGGTGCAGTACCTCAGCCAAGCCAGCAGATGGGGTGCTTTCGTAGGCACTCCTCTGCTCTGCCAGCGGATGGCGTGAATCTTTCAGTATGTCCGAATGGACCCAACTTGTTTAGTAGGTAGGAGTAGTATCTAGGGGTAGTATGTAGTAGTAGTATGCAGTATGCTAGTGGCCCTTTCGGACGCAGCCTCTGACTTCACCATGGCTTTTTGTCACCGCCCCCTGCTGCGGCCACCTGCTCTTGTCTACTTTCCAGGCGAGACACAGTTCATCTCTAATGAACCTATTGACACTCACGCGGCATGAGTGTCATTAGCTAACGAGTATCACATGTTGCTATCAAGGAGGTTGAAATAGTTGCTATATGGGGCGGGAGGGCTTAAACACACAGAGCCCACGTGGGCTGGCCGCTGCATGCAGCTTCTTCTCATTGGCCGGGGGGGGAATGCAAGCGTGAGTGACAACCAATCATGCGGGACATGATCTCAATTTGCGTGACGCGTGAAAAGAAACAGAAATGCTGTGCAGTCCCGCACAATGCAGGACATCTGGTCACCCAAACTATCAGTCGTGGAACTCCACATTAACCAAGAGTACCTCTCATACCAGACCTTATTCAGCTTATAATCTTTTGTTTGATGTGGTCTAGCATTTTTCATCGTAGCTATCTGTGAAGTTGGATGTCAGGCAGTCTTGATCCTCATCAGTGTTGGGCTGTTATCACCCACATGATGTTCTTCGCCATCCCACTCTGTGACCATGCCTTTCTGTGTTGCCTCATCAATAGTAGCACTGAAAGGACATGACTAAAGACGGATCAAATTAATCTTTTCGATGTATCTTGCATGTTCTGTGGTTTCATATTTACCTGACATAGTGGAGTCTTGTTGCTTTAAAGAGGATGGTTCCAATATTAGACATTTGGTGAAGGCAAGGGACAACTGTGGCCATCCTTAAAAAAGGAGCGCTGATTGTCGGTTGGAAACAGGAAGCAAACAGCAGTCTCTCTTGTAAAAATCAGATGTTTTGTTGGCCCTCTCTGTCTTTGCCTCATTTGGCCAGTCTTTTTTATCCAATTAAAATTCACATTAACACACATTTGCATGCACACAGGACACTTGTATTTTTTCACAATGTAATATACACATTGATATACACAAAGACATGATAACAACATCTTTAGGTTTAGTCCTGTCAAGTTACTGTGGTTAGGTTAGGTTTAAGGAAAAGAAACATAGTAGGACAAATCTTGAATTAACTCAAATTTCACATGGTTCCAAACATTGGTCTTATGGGGAAAGTCCTGTGTTTTGTGACCCATCCACCACCCCAATCTGCCTCCTTACTGGACCTCTCGAGACAGCTTCTTTGTTTACATCTGTCACCCATCAACATTTTACCTGGAGCTGGAGCTGGAAATGAACTATAAATGTAATACGCACACTTGGTCCTAGATGGGTCAAGTGCTTGTTTTTCCCTTTTTACCTGCTTTTTTTGTCCCTCTTTCTCATAGAGTTCCAAAAAAAATCAATGTGCATGTCAATGTGCTTTGGCAGGATATCAACCACATCAAATGGCAGACACAGAGTCAGACACAGTTGCGTATGGGGGGAATCACGTGAATAATTAATTACAGATTTTACATCATGATCCTACTGTGACTTTATTTGCACTGTCCAGGGACAGTCTGTCAAACACACAGAGCTAGCAGTGCTGTATAGTTGAAACTTTTTTTTTTTTTAAAAGACTGTCAGATCAAATCCCTGACTGACAAATTCACATCAAGATGGGGAACATGCAATGCCCTGCCGAGGACGCAGCCCTCCTGGCCTCTGTTGCTCGAGACATCTGCCCTTTTCCAAACTTCCACCCCAATCCTCTTTTCGTCAACTGTCCGTCAACTATTCACTTCATGTGAGGAAGCACTACATGGCAGTGCAGTCCTCCCTGACACCCAAGCAGCTGGAGGACTTCACCCAGAACCTGAGGACCACTTTTGGCAGGGAGGGCAAGGTCACTCTCGGTGGGGTAGGGGTAGTGGCTCTGTCACTGGCTATGCTGTTTGACACTCTTGCCAGACAGGCCAGAGGAGAGTGGGTGCCAGACTCAGGGCCAATTCCTGGTTTATTTCTCAAAAATGTGAGAGGGTACTACCCACCACATGTCTACACAGTCAGTGAGTACCTGAGGCTCGTACCCTACATTGCAAACAACCCCACCAGGATGAAAAAGGAATCACAGAGGTAGGTTGTGTAATGTGTAATGCATATTTATGGGTGGTTGTAGCTCAGCGGTAAAGTGGGATGTCTATGTCAGTAGATCAGTGGTTCGATCCTCAACTCCTCTGGGGATGTATCCTTGGGCTAGATACTGAATTCCAAATTGCCCATTTATTCATTTTTTTACATGCACTCTATACCATCAGTTTGTAATATTGAATATATTTAAACTACATCAGGTTGTGTGATTTTATTGTCTGTTGCACCCAGGTACCTCAAGCAGTTAAAAATTGATGACCAATTGTTGGACAAACTGGGACAAAACAACACATTTCCGGAAATGGATGGAACAACAGTACTCAATGTGGTTCTGGGAAATTTTTTTGCAGGCAGTTTGAAGCTTCACCTCTACCGTATCAGAAACACTACAGCTAAAGAGGTGTTCAGACCTAATGGCCAATGGCCATCAGCCTATTATATCTATAATCTCAACTGTGACCCAGAGACAGCCAACAAAGATTTTTTTGTCAAAATGCAAAAATCTGTAATTCATACCCGAGAAGCTTTTAAAAGCTGCGAGCCAAGAAGTGACCTGCTCAACATTGCCAGGCTAGAAATGGTAGATGTCATTTTCCTCCTCTTTCAAGCAGCTAGATATAGGAGTACTGCTTCAATGATTGTCCATAGAGAAGATTTTGACCTGAAGGCCGATGCACTCAGAAAATGGGTAACGTAGTTCATTGTCCTGTTAAAAGAAAAATTCAAAGTATATGTTCAAAGGAAAACAAAATAAAATAAAGTGATCAAAATCAAGATCAGATATATAAAGTGGAACATGAAACTGGTGGAATCCATAAAGCCAGATTAGTCGTTGGTAAAATGTGTATGGACATTATGCAGGGATAACCAGGAATGTGAACAGGCATATATTCTGATATTGATGATACTGATGAAGTGTTCTTTTGTTCTTACTTGCTTGTGAATTTAAGTTCCTCTTTTATCATGAATTTCTATTTTGTGAGTAGCAGTGTTGCAACTCCAGCTACTTACTATCTGGATGTAATCAGTGTTGATAAATTTCTGGATATGACTAGTGTAGTTGATGTATGTGATATGTGTATGCTGGTATACACTGTATGCCCTGCAGGATTTTAAACGTGTCAATAAATTTACGTTTTCAACATGACTCTGTGTTCAGAAAGTGACTAATAAATAATGGATGTCATATTTTGGTTCCAAAATTTTTTTTTAAAAAAAAAGTTTAAACATAATCTGTTCAAATGAATTTTAACACAACCCATGTAGCTTAACAACATAGATGTGATATTTTGTTCATTAGCAGTGCTTACTCGAGTGACAGGCCAACATTACTGTAAAATGCAGATGTATTTTCCCATGGTTGAACATTTGTTTGAATTTTGAATCAAAATGTAGTCTTGTAGTATGCACTAGTGATATTTAAATTACGTCAGGTCGTAAGATGAGTGCCAGGTGGCCATCGACCATTTTCTTGTTTATAATGTAAGAGATCCGGGCTGAGCACTGAATATGCAGGCTGAGCACTGAATATGCTCAAATGTTTGTCCGCTAACTCTACCATATTTATATCACATTATTCTTTCAGATGAGTGCATTCATATCTATGGGTAATTAAGTGTGTGAATCTGTGTGTGTGAGTGTATGTATGGTTTAGATTTTTTTTCCCCTTGAAATATGTGAAATGTATTTATGCATTTAATCTAAGATTGTAATTACACTGAACCAAAATTTAAATGTAACAATTTGTTTTTATTTTTAGTGTGTTTGTTTATTTGTTTGTTTGATTGTTTTCTGCGTTAGTGAGCACTTTTGAGCACATCTTCACAGAGGTAACATCCACCTGATACGTGTAGCATATCAGGATGCTGTTTAGCACGATAACTACACAGGTGTGCCTTAAGATGGTCTTACTCACTTACTTAGGCTTTTGTACTCCTTTCGAAACATAGGTCATTGAAGGATAGTTTCCAACCTAGATAACAATGGGGTGTCTTTTATTTCATCAATGTTTCTGAATTAATTTTTATCCACTTTACAGTTTACTAGTTTTACCAGAGCCCTGTTGGTTAGCTTTACCTGCTTCTATCTCTCACATCGGGGACATAGGGATGGGTTTTGAGATGGAATGGTCAAGGCTACCCGACCATCATGATGACACGATCTAAACATTCTATTTCACTTCCTCTATCAGACTAGTCTCTGTGTCCCCGCCTCGTATACAGAAATTAAAATTAGATAGGGGCCAATAAGCGACCCACACCATAGTTGACAGAGTAAGCAGCCAATCAGAAAATGTGTTGTTGTTGTTGTTGTTGTTGTTGTTGTTGTTGTTGATGTTGAACCCAGACATTACCCCTTAAGTCACGCGTTCGGAACCATGCTGACTTTGAATGGACTTTGAGTCATTTTAAGGTATGTCCTCACCATGTTTTTTTTTCTAACCCTGACCACAGTAACTTTACTTGCCCAAACCTAACCTCCATACCTTAATAATAATTATGTAACTGTATGTTAAGAACATGATGTCATTCCTGGGGCGCTAATTTGTAGGATATTATGCGAACAGTTCTATGGGAATACATTGTGCATACATCAAAAAAGTTTTCTAGTTTCTAGGTTTACTCTCACAGTATGGGGCCCACTGCATATGCACAGTAGTGTTTCTCCCGCTGGCCCCACCCATGAGTTCCTGCTTGGCTCATAGACTTTACATTGTGATGACGTCACAGATTTTAAATCACTTTTCTTGGCTTGAGGAAAGTTTTACACACATTAAACCACCATGGCTCAAAAATTCAGAATACAAAGTTTCATTATTGACCTTGTTTGCATTTCAAGGTGTCCCTGTCAACAGTTTAACAGACTTTTCTTATACAGTGGTAGTCCAGGGGGTAAATGCTTTTTGGGCTGCAGAGGATTTTTTGGCGCAATACCATGAGTGGCCACTGGGAAATATTTGCCACTACTTTTCTTGGGGCCTGAAGAGGACCTACTTCATACCTATAAACAGCTCATTCTAAGGTTTTGAAAAGAGCAATTATTTTTATTTTCCAGTGATTCAACACTAATGAAAACATATTTAAGATTATTATTTACCATTTCTGCTAATAGACGCCCCACCGTTCAGGTTAATTTTCCCACGATGGAGCACAACCTGCGTACAGTCCAAGTAGTGATGGGTGGACCGATTCCTTTTACATCATTGGTTCCTTCAAGTTGATACATGTAAATGTATTTAAACTTGTGATACTTTTTCAAAATGTAGTGTACATTTTTTGTGGTATTCTGTTATAGTAGCCTACATGCATTCAGCTAGTACTGCCCGTCCCACAAAGCTTCTCTTCAATGCATTACCAGTCATCATGTATATGTCTACGTTATCAGTGATAAATCATTTATTTTAATGTATTGATTCAACATCCCACCTGTATGTAGGCTATGTAAGTCTGATATGACAATACATAATGATACTGACCAATTATCTGTTGCTCTGTGAGGGACAAGCAGCAGACATCCCACTTGAGAGGAATGGTTTATTCTAGGGATGCACGATAGAATTGGCATGTCATCAGTTTTCTTCTTTTGGCTGTTCCCTTTAGGGGTCGCCACAGCGAATCATCTGCCTCCATCTAACCCTATCCTCTGCATCCCTTTCTCTCACACAAACTGACTTCATGTCCTCACCCGTATGGGCTGATATTCGCTTTCAGATGAAATAATGGAAACAGCCAACATGCTGATAATATCAGTACATCATTGATTGAACCAATATCCACTTTAAAATGTACAGCCAACATGCTTTTTCTTATTTTGCACAATGAATGAATATAAAATGCATTGAAAAGTATTATATTTCATAGTTAAATGGTGTTCATTATGTCTTTAGTTTCTGATAATGACTTTAGTTGTTCTTTTATCTCAGACATGTTAGGACATACCTTGACATGTTTCGGCGGAAACTTCGCCTTCCTCAGAAATGTCACTGACAGGACGGTCACGCCACCTGCTGGCACAACAAGAAACCTACAAATCAGCCATAACAGATCACTACAAAAGGGAAAATCATCTTATGGACTGGGACAAGGCCAGAGTCATAAACACCAAGGACAACAAATACCGGTGCTGGATCAGGGAGGCTATGAAATAAGGAAGTGGGGTCCAGGGACGATGAACAGGGACAAGGGGGCATACATGCTCTCCCACACCTGGCGCAGCGTCATGGAGAGGCCGCAGACGGACAGCAGGTGGCTTGTCACGCCTCCCGAATATGGGCTGATTGACAGATCAGCTGATAAAGACGCATCACAACCACCACCAAGTGACACTTCTGAGGAAGGCGGTTTCCTCCGAAACATGTCAAGGTATGTAACATCCTAACATGTCTGAGATAAAAGAACAACTAAAGTCATTATTATATTTCATGTCTCCATCTGCTAGTGGGCCATCACGATGTAGTATGCATGCATTTTATGATGTTAATTCCACTATAGAAGAGACTTGATCACGAAAATTAGGTAGGGAAATAAGTGGATACACTGATATCGGCGAAATGCGTTATGTATCAGCATATTGTGTCTGTCTGGACTCAAGTCTGATACAATCGCTTCTTGTTCTCTCACTGAGCACTCTGACATTTGACATACTGACCCGGTACAAACTGGACACTGAAAAGAGTAGTTCAAAAAGATTTGATCGTTCCTTTTTGCCCATCATGAAGTCCAAGTGGATTCAAATTCTAAATAAATAAAGTAGCCTTGAATGATTAAAAACTTTAACTATAAAAATAGTAAACTAGTAAACGAAACGGTATTTCTAAACCATTAGATTTTTTTTGTATCTTGATGCTGCTGCTGATTGTGTTCATCTCAGGAGGAGGAACACTCCTACACTAATTCACCAAATGATTACGCACACGTACACACGCGCGCGCACACACGCAGGACAGTTTTCAATTGCCTCGGCCCACTTTAAACGGGCGCAGCTTTGTCAGTGAGCGTCTATCTTCTGAGAGGATTAATGCAGCCCAAAGGTGGAGGAAAAATATTGAAGGTTTGTGGCGGACGGGAGAGTAATCCTTTGAGCTCCTGGGGAGACAGAGAGAGAGGGATGGACATGTCGAACTCTTTGCTCTCGGATTTGGCGCATTTTGTGAGGAACCGATGGGCTGAAGGACATTTCCCAATAAACGACGTTTGGTCAAGACTATTTAATGGCAATATCTGAGACAGAGCTGCCCAGCCTCAGGGAACAGAAATGGTGCACAAACTTCTGCTGCTCATCGGTAAGTTAACAGTTGTAAACCTGTTTTGTAGCCTGTTTGTAACCTTTAATAAAAAAATATTATAAGACGGTTATTCATAATCCTATAGCTCATGTGGCGTGTTCATGGTGTGCTTCTTCCTAGTATAAGTAGCTGATCTAATCATATTCTTTGTTGTTGTCGTTTTTCTTCTGTAATATCACCAGTTTATGGTTTTAAGACTTTGTTTTTTTTAAATAGGTTTAAGAAGATTTCTGACAAATTGAAAAAGAAAACACAATCTTTAATCTTTTTTTCTCTCAGCTTTAGCAGCAAGCCTCATCTCACCTGAGCTGCCAGGTGCCTCAGCCACCAAAACAAAAGCTCAAGGTATCACATCACATCCTGAGTCACTGTCACATTCTTCGCCATTAACCATTTTAAGACTAAAGTTTTTTTCTGTTATAACACATCAGTAGAGAGCAGTGCTAAAAAGTTGTTTTGGCTACTAATAATTTAGATGTGAATAAAAAAAAGTTGGAGTACTAGATGACTGAAATGTGGGTCAGATTAGTGCAAAAACAAAACCAAACAACAAAATAATTTATGCATTAGTCTGACCTGCAAAAAATTAGTCGGAAATAAAAAAGCTCAACACTTTGATCTACATGTCTGTCTGTCTGTTCAATGTCTACCTGTGATTTTACAGTGAAGAATAACTCAGGTGTGACACCAGCTGGGCAGTGTGGGACCTGGGTGAAGGAGCCTGATGGAGGATTTTTCACCTCACCCAACTACCCTGAGAAATACCCGCCAGAGAGGGAATGTGTCTACATTATAGAAGGTGAGGCTCTCATCCTTTTCCTCTTAGCCTCTCATTCACTTTCTACCTCTCTTGCTTTTATCTCACCTGTTCTCAACCTCTCTTCATTCTCCAGCCTCCCCTCGACAGTGCATCGACTTGTTCTTCGATGAAAAGTATTCCATCGAGCCTTCCTGGGAGTGCAAGTTTGACCACATTGAGGTCCGCGATGGGCCCTTTGGTTTCTCGCCCATCATTGGTCGCTTCTGTGGGCAGGAAAGCCCAGCATATGTCCGCTCCAGTGGGAGGTACCTGTACATCAAGTTTGTTGCTGATGGTGAACTGGAGGCCATTGGTTTCTCTGCCCGGTATAACTTCACACAAGGTGAGAGATGGGTGATAAGGCATCACCCATAGGGTGGCCGTTCATGCTACAAAGGTATCTACCATGAACGCATGCTTATATATATTTAATGTGTTAATACATTGTTGTCAGGTGATGTATTGCACTGCGGCAAAAGTTGAGCCAGGTTTATCTTTTTGCTGTGGACGCAGCCATGCTGTTTCAACCCTAGGCTGTATGAAGATAATGGACCTTTTACAGTTGTCATGAACAGGTAAATTAGCCATAGAGCCCAGGAACGTATTTTGGACCAGGCTGTAAACATGTTAATTTATGCTATGAAGTTGGGCATTTTAACAGGGGTTCTATGATTTTGGAGCCAGCCTCAAGTGGCCATTAGAGGAACTGCAGTTTTTGGCACTTCTTTATTTTTTTTTTAGCTCCAGGTTGCCGTTTGGTTTCAGCACACTTGCTGAGAAGTGGAAACTCAAAATGTTAACTGCACCAGTATTACTAATTGATTAGTCTATTAATTAGTCATTTTAACTTTAAAACATTTTAAAATAAGAAACCAAAATATATCACTATGTGATTCCTTAACTCTTCATAGTGACAGTTTTCAACTAGCCTGTGCTACAATGGGAAACAAACAGCAGTCTCTTGTAAAAGTCAGATGTTTTGTTGACTTAGCCATCCACCCCTACCTCTTCCCCACATGGGCTTTGTCACTGTGCAATGCCACATAAACATATGTCGTTTTGGGGCAGTTGAGCAAATGACAGATTTTTTTTGGGAGGACAGTCTCCATACATAGTCAGTTCCTTTAGGGAGTGGGGCAAAAAAGCTGAAAATATCATAATTTATCCATGTCATTTTGCATTTCTGCTATACTAGTGTTCTTCTATCACACCAGCTGGCGTTCTGTCTGGCTGGCAGGAGAAAAAATTTAGAGTATTACTACAACTCTAAGCCTTCGACTCCTTTCCTTGGCCCTTTCTCCCGGTTCAACACCCTGCTGTGAGTTTGACTTTGTTAGTTGCCATATGCCAAAACTGGCTACCTCTTTTACACAGATTCTCCCTCTCTGTCTTTGCTCTATTTGGCTGGTTATATAGTCCAATTAAAACACACATTTACATGCACACTGGACATTTTCCAGCGCCACAATGTGATGTGCACAAGATCAAAACCACAAAGAAACACAGTAATCTTTATACTGCATTAAAGGATGTTATAATATATGCTAGTTTTTAATTGTGCATATGAGGTCAAAAAGTTGCATAGTGCAACTTTAATAGTGATCCTGTGGCATGCTGCTGGGAACATACTCTCATTTCCATTTGTAGTGCAGGGACACCAGCTGCAGCTGACGAGGGATGAGGAGGGGAGCAGTTATTCAAACACACGCATATACACACACACACACACACACACACACATACACACACAAGTTAATGAAAGCTTGTCTTCAGGGGAATACAGCTTGTCAGTGCTGAGCCGCAGTAGCAGCTTAAGGGAGTCCGAGGCAGAGGCTTCATTAGCAGCAGATTTTATAGGCCACCTACACTGACGGGGGGCAAAGATTAATCTGCATCCCTCTGTCCATCCAGCCATCTCACTATCTTTCTTTCTCTCTTTCTTGACACGATTGAGCATCTTTACATTATATTTTTATTCCACAAGGGATGTTCCACTTTTAGCCCTACAGTCCTGTGAGTCCGTCCCACACACTCTAGTTTTGTTGTTGCTGGGGGGCTGATGTTGTTTGCATGTGCATGTCAGGGCTTGGTGCTATTTTTCTGCAAATATCAGAGACAATTTTTCTTTTTTTTTCAATTTTACAGCACGGTTACTTTACCTTCCTCATGATAATCACTTACTAAGCTTACTTATACATTTATATTTTCAGAAACTGATCTTTAAAAAGCAGGCTCCTAAAAGCATGAACTATCCCTTTAAGTAGATAATTTTCATTATTGGCAGATCAGGAGAAGCTTTTTTCTGTTTACATGAAATGTACTGAGTCTGCCAAATGCTAATCTCCTGTCTAATTCCACTTATCACTGGGGGCAGGAGATAATTAATTCACCCTTGTGAGCACATGCTTACACACATTTTAAAAAACTGCAATATTTTGCACCATATGTTGGCCCGAGACTTGACCTTTAATGTTGTCTCTATTTAGGCATGTTATAGCCATATAAGGAAGATTTAGAATTTACTTATACATTATTTCATGCAGTTGCGATTAATGTGAAAGAGCATGGGCACATTCAGTTTTCATACTCCAGAACTTGTTCTTATGTTAATATGAAAGTTAACATGTTGTGTGCTTAAGATTTAAAAAAAAAAAAAAAAAATAGAATATGTCAGGGCTTTGGGGCCTCTGCAAGGCAACACTTGCCCCCCTTGGGAGTGCTACTGTTTGGCAGGGACTCTATTGTTATGACATGTTTCCTCTAGTTTATGCTGACTTTTGTAAGTGGGCAAGTAATTTCCCAGAACATAAAGGCGCCCTATGGAGCAGTTATGAAAACAAGTTACGTTTACATTCACTGCATGTGCATAAGGCAGACAAAACTTTAAAGCATGCAGCCTTATTCTTGCCACTTGAACTGTACCTCATCCTAAAGCGGCTATGATTAGTGTTTTATAATAACAGTGGATCGCATGACTACTTGTAGTGCTGAAACTCACATAAAATTAATACATGACTCTGTAGTTCCCTTCAGCAATGGAGCATTTTTGCTTCTGTCAACTCATTGTTTCGGTTCTGGTACTGCAACTGTGTTGATCTGAGTCAGCTGCACTGCTCTCATGACAGAAATTTTTAGCCACAGCAGGCAGCTGTTTTCAGTGGCTGTTCATCAGGTGGACACAAAAGTTACGACGAATGAATGCAAATGATGCTCGTATCTGCTGGATGTGCATATAGGAAATTATTTGCAAACAAATTAGCCATATAGAGGTAATATTATATAACTTTTTTGTTTCATGGCTTGTTTCTGCAGCCCCCACGTAGCCACATTAATCTGTTGTTGCAGGTTTAAATTAACTGTCATACATAGTCCAGATGCACTAAAAACTCATCCTTTATGAGAGTGTACAGAAATTCTGGGACAAGACCGTAAATTCACCTTTTTGCTCTCACAATCAGATTGGTCAGGTTAAAACGGAAAATTAACACACACACACACACACACACACACACACACACATAGCATTAATCTTTGTTCAATCAATGTTCTTGTTACCAACACACCTTTAAGCTGAATAGGAGAGGATTTACATAAACCATCCTATATGTTGCCTTCATCTCATCTTACATTTGTTTCCTCATATTGGGTATAAAACCTTTGGGATCTCTCTCTCTCACACACACACACACACACACACACACACAAACATGCAGAGGAATGAATGTGAATAATCTGGACAAGCCTGAAGCAGCAGGGTTAAGAAACATGAGAGGATTAATAAGTCATTGTTGATTTGAGCCTCTGTGCAGTCCATCACCTGCTCTCCTTACATCATAGCTACTGACCAATGTGCTTCATTACCAGTAACAGAAACATTTTAACATGAGGTAGTATGGTTGTAAAAGAAACGTACTCTCCACTCCGTACTCCTTTAAAACACCTTTTTCCCTGTATTTGATTTTGAGTCAGCTGTATATGTTGTATTATGTAGTATTTTATTGAAGGCTTTCTAACACAATATAAAACTGGGAACTTTGGCAGAATTTAGAAAACAAGAAAGTAAAATTTTTATCACCAGGTTGTCACTGCTGGTGGGGCCTAATCTGTCTCGAACTAAGCCGGTACATCAGGATTTATAATCCACCTAGCAAGTAGATTCATCAGCACAAAGGTTTAGAGCACAATTTCTCCTCCCATTCTAATGCGAAGTGTGTGTTTTTCTTTTTTGATGAAGGGCAAGAGGGTTTCAGGGGAGTTTAAATGAGGGCAGCAGGAATTTGCTGGCACAAAGATTATGTAAACATTGGCCAGCTGCCTTTTTTTCATTTGGCAATATGTCTTTAATATTATCATTTCTGCGATTTAGTCTTTGTCCTAAATTGTTTTCTCTATTCCTAGAAAAAAAAATGTTGCAATGAATGTTGCATGCACACATTTTGAATACTTCAGATGAAGTTTGAATATGTTTAAAAATCTGGGGCACAGAAAACTGGCAGCAAATTGAATGAATGGACTGTATACTATCTACTTCTTACCCTGGTGTACTTGTACTAGAGGGTACATAGAAGGATTTGCAAGAAAAATATGTCCAGATATGTGCATTCACAACAGTAAATCAACAGTAAAATATTGTCTGGCTCTTTATCCACTCCACCTCTAACTTGCTGGGCTGCGGCTCAATGTTTTTTCACCTTTGGCTCTTTTGAGATGATCCTAAGTTACACAGCGCTAATGAGTTTCTCTTTTGATCAGCACTTATCGCAGGTCCTCTCAGATCTGCTCATTACACATAATGATAAACAGACCAAGGACCTACAGTGACCCAAACTGGACCCGGACCCAATTGACCGTAATAAAACATGGACCTGAGCCCGTGTAGGTACTGGGTTGGTTGCCCGGACCAACCCGGTACCTACATGGGCTCAGGTCCAAGTTTTATTATGGTCCATGAAGACCTCTACTTTCTACTTAAAGGGCACACTATTTTTGCACTCAAAGTTGGCACTGGGTGGAAATCATGAGTTGGTGGCTGGTGAAGACTGGTTTGCAGGTGACCAGAACAGTCAAAGTCAGTAGCCAAAAGTGATGATAAATGGCTGAAACAACCAGCTCCTGTCACTTAAAGGTAGTAGCGCACAACTACTGAAATATGTCTCTATAAAAAAACGCATTGTCGCTTAAGCTCATCTTGCGATGGGATCGCACCAGCCGTGATACAGTGATCTGCGACTAAGAACTAATGTGTCCCAGGGAGATATGGTGAGGGGGGTCAATGGCCCCTTCCCTACTTCCTAAAAGCTTCCTCAAATCAATTTTAAAAAGAAAACATTTAAAACTTCTGTTTATTATTTACAATTCTAAATGCAATTTGTGTTAAATATAATGTATGTGGAGTACAAGTTAGAAATTGTTTCATTGTGGTACCCAAACTTGTCCTGTAACCCTTTTTGAAATTTGTCCCCATGACTGTGGAAAGACTTGAGCATATGTTCCAAAGATATGTTTCCAACAACATTATATTTATGCTTTTAGATCCAGAGTTCCAAGGGCTTGGGGAACTGCCAGCTCTGCCATGTGAGTATTCAGCTTATGTTTTATATGTCACATCATATCAGACCTACTGCTGGTGCAGCTGTGTTTCAGTGTAGATACTGCAAATTGTATGTAACGTGTTCATACAACTACCTACATTTATTTACATGTTTGAGTCCTCCTTTTTGCTGAAGAGATAATATTGCACAGTCTACTTTAACAATTTCACAGTCACTAAGATTTTAGGGTCTGAAAACTTTAACACAAAAATATTGTTATTCACAGTTTGTGAGTTTGAGCTGAGCGGTCCAGAAGGCTTTGTGGAGTCCACCCAGATAAGTGGAGAGGGCAGGGCACTGCTGACTGAGGCTGTAGACTGCAGGTGGTACATCAAGGCTCCACCAAGAAGTAGGGTCTGTATATGTCAAACTGTTGTTGGTCTTATGTGTTGGTGGTGGTGGTGTTACGTGTGTTTATTATTTGTGGCTGTGACGGTGTGGAGTGTTGAAACAGACGAGGGCATTAAGTATTATGTGCACTTTCACTTATTAAGTCAAAGTGCTGATAGCAGAGTGTGGAAATACTCCACTACAAGTAGGCTAAAAGCCATATGTATTATCAGCAGATTGTATATACATGTATATAGCATAAGTGTATTTGAATGAAATGGTGAAAAAAATTGATTTAGTGTCTCCTGCTTAGTGTACCATGGTGCCCTCTGGCGTATGCCAGTGTGTCCTGCTCTGCGTATCCCTCTGACATATGCCAGTTATTTGTCCTCCTGTGTCTGTCTCTGTGCCTCATCTTGCCATATATATACACACACATACATATAATATATATATATATATATATATATATACAGTACAGGCCAAAAGTTTGGACACACCTTCTCATTCAATGCGTTTTCTTTATTTTCATGACTATTTACATTGTAGATTCTCACTGAAGGCATCAAAACTATGAATGAACACATGTGGAGTTATGTACTTAACAAAAAAAGGTGAAATAACTGAAAACATGTTTTATATTCTAGTTTCTTCAAAATAGCCACCCTTTGCTCTGATTACTGCTTTGCACACTCTTGGCATTCTCTCCATGAGCTTCAAGAGGTAGTCACCTGAAATGGTTTCCACTTCACAGGTGTGCCTTATCAGGGTTAATTAGTGGAATTTCTTGCTTTATCAATGGGGTTGGGACCATCAGTTGTGTTGTGCAGAAGTCAGGTTAATACACAGCCGACAGCCCTATTGGACAACTGTTAAAATTCATATTATGGCAAGAACCAATCAGCTAACTAAAGAAAAACGAGTGGCCATCATTACTTTAAGAAATGAAGGTCAGTCAGTCCGGAAAATTGCAAAAACTTTAAATGTGTCCCCAAGTGGAGTCGCAAAAACCATCAAGCGCTACAACGAAACTGGCACACATGAGGACCGACCCAGGAAAGGAAGACCAAGAGTCACCTCTGCTTCTGAGGATAAGTTCATCCGAGTCACCAGCCTCAGAAATCGCAAGTTAACAGCAGCTCAGATCAGAGACCAGATGAATGCCACACAGAGTTCTAGCAGCAGACCCATCTCTAGAACAACTGTTAAGAGGAGACTGCGCCAATCAGGCCTTCATGGTCAAATAGCTGCTAGGAAACCACTGCTAAGGAGAGGCAACAAGCAGAAGAGATTTGTTTGGGCCAAGAAACACAAGGAATGGACATTAGACCAGTGGAAATCTGTGCTTTGGTCTGATGAGTCCAAATTTGAGATCTTTGGTTCCAACCGCCGTGTCTTTGTGAGACGCAGAAAAGGTGAACGGATGGATTCCACATGCCTGGTTCCCACTGTGAAGCATGGAGGAGGAGGTGTGATGGTGTGGGGGTGTTTTGCTGGTGACACTGTTGGGGATTTATTCAAAATTGAAGGCACACTGAACCAGCATGGCTACCACAGCATCCTGCAGCGACATGCCATCCCATCCGGTTTGCGTTTAGTTGGACGATCATTTATTTTTCAACAGGACAATGACCCCAAACACACCTCCAGGCTGTGTAAGGGCTATTTGACCAAGAAGGAGAGTGATGGAGTGCTGCGGCAGATGACCTGGCCTCCACAGTCACCGGACCTGAACCCAATCGAGATGGTTTGGGGTGAGCTGGACCGCAGAGTGAAGGCAAAGGGGCCAACAAGTGCTAAACACCTCTGGGAACTCCTTCAAGACTGTTGGAAAACCATTTCAGGTGACTACCTCTTGAAGCTCATGGAGAGAATGCCAAGAGTGTGCAAAGCAGTAATCAGAGCAAAGGGTGGCTATTTTGAAGAAACTAGAATATAAAACATGTTTTCAGTTATTTCACCTTTTTTTGTTAAGTACATAACTCCACATGTGTTCATTCATAGTTTTGATGCCTTCAGTGAGAATCTACAATGTAAATAGTCATGAAAATAAAGAAAACGCATTGAATGAGAAGGTGTGTCCAAACTTTTGGCCTTTACTGTATATATATATACATATATGTGTATGAGAAATTTGGCTACGGCAAGTGGTGGGGATAACGTTACGGGGCAAGTAAAAAAGTAAAATGCCTATGCCCCTGTTTGCGAATATTTCCACATATAACTTTATTTTATGATGACTTCATCCAAATACAAAAGCAACTCATCAGCCACAAGATTTTATTGGTCACATCATGTCCGTTCAATTCAGTGATGTGTCTGTGTACGCCGCAGCAGCGTCATTGAGTCCTCCAGCAAGAATGCTGTCCATCTATATATGTTATTGTATGGGCCACAAGTCTGTTTACCTGCCTCTGCCAACACTATACCATTAGCATATATTATATACCTACATTTTTACAATCTCTTACTCAAAATGACTGATTTTTTTGAAATTACTTATTCAGTTTTACTACCTCTGAAAGTCCTCATTTTCATTTTGAGGCATTGCTAATGTTAGCTAAAATGCTCAAGTGTTAAAACATGACAGGAATGATTTAAACCTGGATAATTTTGGTGTCACTGTGTTAACATCAAAATAAGTGTAGGTCCATCGGCTGTTGTAAAAAAAAAAAGTGATATATTTCTTTAAAAACCATCAGAACAAAAATGTCCTTCCCTGTCTTTTACCCACAGATCTACATGCGTTTTCTGGAGTACGAGATGCACAACTCAAATGAGTGCAAGCGCAACTTTGTTGCTATCTATGAAGGCAGCAGTTCGGTTGAGCACCTGAAGAATAAATTCTGCTCCACGGTGGCCAACGATGTCATGCTGGTGTCCTCCGTGGGTGTTGTGAGACTGTGGGCAGACGAGGGAAGCAGAAAGAGCAAATTTAGGATCCTCTTCACAACCTTCCATGAACGTGAGTTTTACCTGCAAGCTCTCTCTTACATGTGTGCCCCATCTATATGTGAGAGTCAAAAATTAAATAACAGCTTCTTGGTTACATTTTTACATATTAACAGGGGGTGCCTCCAACATTGAAAATGTCACTTATGACATTCTTGAAAAGAATTATTTGGAAAAGGTGTATTAGTCAAAAAAAAAGAAAGACATTACCTTCACAGGGCATGTCTAGCAACATATTGGAGGGCACATTCACATCAGGGACCTGGGCCTGGCACTGGGTACACTTGACCCCAAAGTCCAGTTCCTTTGGTTAGCGCATACTAGAGGTTGACCAATAGCGGATATAAAGACTGATATAATAACAGTAGTTTTGAACAGGAAAAAGGCTATAGCCAATGATTCGACCGATATCACCTTTTTCTCGAGCTGTAGCCAATGATTATTTTACACAACCCTCCCTTTCTCAGCTCTTCACCACGTGACTGGATGCTGCACAGACCTCAGCCGAAGTTCCACCGATAACGATAGTTTGTAAAATATCCTCAGTGGCAACTAATGGGCCAAACTGGGAAATCTGTTCTCCTCTTGTGTGAACACTCTGTACTGTATCAAACCGTCGTCCTGAGTATGGTTCAAATGCATTTGGTACAGTTTGCATCAAATGTGAAACCTAACTGTACCAAAACACTGAACTGGGCTGCTATTAAATGTAAGAGGCAGTTAGTGTGTCAAATACTTATTAAACCATTTCAAAATGTATCTTTTAAATAATACTTTGATGCTTCTATAATCAATATCCGATATAAACAATGTATCAAATGACTAATTGCAATGTGAAAAGGGTTGTTACAGTTAATTGTAGACAACAGTGTGGTTGGATGTAGTCTGGCTGTGCACAACTGGCCTAATTTTCCGGTCAGAGAAAATGCAGCAGCTTCTCTCCTTCAGATGAACTGTTTATTGCAAACATAATAAGCCTGCATATGTGTGGTTTGTGATCTGCAACAGAATAACAATAATAATAATTACTAAACAGTGCCATTAAATTGGGACTTACATGGTCTCAATTACATAAAAGAAATGACATGTCAGTAAGTAACCACAAAGGGTCAGGGCGGGCACATAGATAAACATAAACATAAACATGGCACTTGCTTTAACAAGAAGTAGGTCACGTGACCGAGCTAGAGTGTCGGAGTTTCTTCGGTCCGCTACTGAGTTAGGGAGTACGCTATACATAGCAGTCATAGCAGTATAACAGTAATACAACTTAACAGCACAGGTGATTAGATAAACACGCTGCAGCTTAGGGCTAACAATTAGTAGCATATAGACTGGATTACATCTACTCATTTCCCCAGACGAGCACCTCTTCAGGTAAGCTAATAGCATGCTAATTATCGTTAGCATCTACCCTGCGGTACTGACATCAACACCCTAGCGCCATGAACTTTCACATCTATGATAACTTACATTGTCAACAATCATTGGAACAAAGGAACAATCATTGCAGAACTGAGAAGCCGAGTGAGGGTGATGAGCTGTTGACTCAGTTGAAAAGTTTTTAATTGCACAAGTTGTGTGCGCACACACGTCTCTCAGGCAGAGTAGGAGTGACGTGTAGTGACGTCGATCATCATCTAGCAGGGGATTTTACACATTAATTGTTTTGGTTTTACAGCCTCCAAACTCCACCCTCATCAGCCAAAGCTTGAGCAGAAATGCTTTGATGAACCCACTGTATGTTACCTGACCAGCATTAAATGGCGGACAGACAAAGTTACCAACTAGCTGGTGAATCTAATGGAATGTTTAGTTGCCAACGTGCCATTATTTATTATTTCTCTCAGGAGATGGTGGAGACCAAAGCAGAGTTAAAAAAAAAAAAAAAAGCAACATTGGACCCACATTCGTTAAGTGGTCAGAAACCACCATGATTCCAAATAGATGTGGCTCAGTTCAGAAAATAAATAAATAAATAAAAATAATAAAGAATAAAAACCAAAACGCTATGATTCTTACTTTGGCGCCCTCTGGTGGTGACATTAACAATGACAGTTTGGTAAACAGGAATGTTGAATTCTGCACATGTGATATGTTATATCACAGAATATAAACTCAGAACTGACTATAATTCAGTCTACTGTGTACAGCTGCTATTTGCTTTTTTTTTTTTTTTTTTTAGCTCCATGTGAAGGAGAAACTTTCTTTTGCCATAGCAACATGTGCATCAACCACACCCTGGTCTGCAACGGTATCCAGAACTGTGTTTACCCATGGGATGAGAATCACTGCAAAGGTACCCTGACACAAATGCTGAGAAACTAGCCATCTGTTGGCTGTGGCTTGACATAAGGTCATTCTTCTACATGTTGTCTCCCTAACTAGAGAAGAGGAAAGCCAGTATCCTGGACACACTGGATAACACAAACCTCACTATCATTGGAGTGACCTGCGGCCTGGTTGTCATCCTGCTCATCATCTCTGTCATCATCCAGATCAAACAGCCACGCAAGAAATACATCATCCGCAGGTGAAATTTCATTCTTACACAACATGTGCTCCAACCCACATGACCACATAGGTCATGTTCCTACCCTCTACTATGACCCACAGAGGCGTTTAGGGTTTAGGTTAGCCCCAACCGGTGAACATAATGGATCGTATATGACTGTTAGCGGTAACAGTTTTAAACACATGGTTAATGTTGTGAAACAGTCGCAGTTGCACCAAAACTATGCGGTTATGTTTAGCAGTAGCCAGGCAGTTTGTGCCAGAGTGCGCTCTGGCACTTGGAGTGTGTGTTTCCAAACGCACCCTTGGTTTCACACAGGACACAAACAGCAGTCTCCTGGATGAAAGTCCCCTGTTTGTTTGACCCATCCACCTCTCCTCCCCCTCGACCTGAGCGTACTTTGTTGCTCTTTATACCACTTTGCCTGGCTTCCTCTTTTGCTCCTGTCATAATTACTGTGGCCACCAGAGGTTGCCACCAACAATAAACGTAAATATGGGTTGTAATTGCTGCTTGTGCTAATGAGCTTTGTTGTATTTTGGAGGGCAGTCTCTTTCGACACCATATGGCCACGGTCACACATGAGTGAAAATACCACTAGCAAATATTTGTTTCACATTTACTTTAATTCAATGTGAGTGAGGTTAAACAAAAACAAAAAACAACAACATTTGCTTCTGGTGGTAAAGCAATCTTTGCATCTTGTGGAGTTCAACTTTGGTGAACCAATAGCAAAGAAGTATGTGTGAGGAAGACATTGATTGTTGTCATGTTTAACCAGCCGATACTGTATGATATTGGCCATGAAAAAACCAAACCACCACACATGAGAGATGCTGCCTCACGGCAGTGAGTCAGAAGGCAGGCATAGCATATAGAAAAATGGAAAATGTACCGTAACATTATATCTAGCGGTATTTACTAACAAGCTTGCTAACACTAACTGGCAAGCTAGCTTTCTCACAACCGGCACTGCCCACATTCAGCACAAACGCGACCTGCCTGCCATACATCCTCGTGTCAGCACGGTGGACGCGGAGCCTCCAAGCATTCCTATGAGACAGTGCTGAGCAGGTTTTTTCATGCAGCAAAGCGAGACGGTCATTGGATAAATGCGACAAAATCGTCACTTCCAGGGAGGCTCAGCTTCCCTGGGACCTAATGGAGCGGTAGGCGGGAGAGGACGCTCGGTGTATGCATGATGATTGGAGGAATTGTCTAAAAGGCTGAACCCCTTTGTGATTGACAGCGCTTCGCATTTTGAGCTCAGTCCTATGTGGATATTTGTGAGTGGAGTCTTCTGACAGAGTGCCATCCGGAGTTCCTTATTTCCATAAGCGATATAGCTTATTTTGACCGTTTGTACAGTACAGTTCAGGTGTTTAAACCCATCTGAAAATCTTTGAGGTGTGTTTTGCTGTGGTTTGATGGCATGAGTGCAGTTGAAAAACGGCTTCAATTAAATGTTCCTTTTATGGGTTACTGCCTCACTACAATATGATAAATTTTATGATGTAAACTTAAAGTGAGCTTCCCCTGTTTGTAAGACCAGCAGCCGCCACTGGTGTAGGTCATGTCAATGTGACAATGTTGTTTTCAAATTGTTTTACTGCCCCCAAGTGGCAAAAAACATATAAAACAAAATGCAGCTTTAAAAATGTATCAAAAACTTAACCTACTCAACCTACTGGTGTCAGTGTAACCACTTTAATTTGGCTAAGATACAACATGTTGCTACTTAGCTAACGGGCCAATTCCTTTACTTAATAATGTACAAATGAGCCAACTCAGTATCATTGTGAAGATGTCTATTTAAAAATATCAGTGAATGTCACAGAACAAAAAATATTTGTTCTCTTCTTTCCTCTACTTATCCACAGAGATGACTTTGACCCTGCCCTCCTCCACCCTGGTTTTGAGCCTCCTCACTATGAGCTCTGCACTCTGCGCCGCGCCCCCTCAGGTGACCTGACTGATGCCGCCCTGGCTGAGGACTTTGAGAAGTTCCACAAGCTCCAACGTTCCTCCTCCAAATGCATCCGCGACCACCACTGTGGCTCTTACCAGGGGAGCGTGCATGGCAGTGTCCACGGTAGCCGCAGCAATCTGAGCATGAGGGACGCTACCATCGCGGCTGATGGAGGGGCTCTTGTGCCGCCCCTGCCGCCAGTCATGGTGAGCCAGCAGTCACCGCGCCTTTCCCACCACACCACACCAGCAGGTCGAAGGAGCATCCTGGTGATGAAGCATAGCTACTCTCAGGATGGGGCAGAGGGGTACAGGGCGGAGGTGGATGATGATTTGATGAGAGATGATGGTCCCACCACCAGCCAGCACCACATGCACCACCATCAGATCCACCATGGCACGCCAGGGCTGGACCATGCTGTCCACCGTACACTGTCTAATGACTTCTGATATATGGCGACATGGAAATAAAGAAAAGAGACCAACACTTAAGTTATTTATCTGATCAGGTTAATAAAACCTTGACATTTAAACTCCTTTTTAGATAAGATTTCGGTTTAACTAATAGGAATTAAAGGTCCAGCGTGCAGGATTTAGGGGGATATATATTTACAGAAATGGAATATAATATTCATAAGTATGTTTTCTTTAGTGTATAAACACCTGAACACCTTAGAATTGTTACACCTGTTACATCTAGGAGCAGGTCCTCATCCACGAATATCACCATGTTGCACCGCCATGTTCCGACAGTATCTGAGAATGAACAAACCAAACACTGGCTCCTCTGCGATGAGATTTTTTTTCTTTTTTTTTTTTTTTTTACATGAAAGTCATTTATTTATTTTCAACCAGTTTAAATCACCAGGTTCATTTGTTCAGCAGAGGAAGAGATCTCTGCAAACAATTTGGCATCTCTCAAATGTCTGAATCTTAAGTTATCAGAGAAAAAAGTGAGCACACATTAGCAGGTGTTAATACCAGTTTTAATCACAAGGTCCATTTGTTTCAGAGAGGAAAAGAACTCTGGGTAATTTGGCTACCGGTAAAAAGCTCCTGAACAATAAACACTAAAGGAGAAGTTTCAGCTGGCTGCAACTGCCCATCCTCACCACTAGATGTCACTAAATCTCCTTAAATCTTACACACTGCTTCGTTAATGCTGACCTTTACAGCTCCTCTCAGCATTTCTTGGTCTCATACTCCAAGTTCAACTGGATTTTTACATTGTATGCATCACGAATAGTGTGGACTCGAGCTTATGAAACACACACTAGTAATTATAATAAAAATACCTGTCTGCCAAAGAATTTATAGGAGCAACTGTTGTACATCTTGCGTAGTTGATTGCTGTGGTAGTGCTACTGTGCATGGGAGTTGCAGGGAAATAAACTGTCAGGATTTGAGAGCAATGGATCAACAAAGGATTTATATCCACAGATAGTGAGATAATTTAATTCCCACTTATTCTAATGCATCAAATTTTATCCATTTTTATTCCTTATTTGGCTTTTCCAACTTGGGGGTAGAATGTATTTATGACTGCATCCTATTTGTGATTATTTTATGAATGAACTATGTGTTGTAGTGTTTCCTATATGTTTGGACATTATTACACCACCAAAGGGTTAAGCTGTTCCTTTTCCTCCAACACGCAAGATGTTTTGTGTTAAACACATGTCCAGAATCTGACAGGACAAGACATTAACACAGATAATATCAAGGACAGCATATGAAAACATACGAGTCAAACCAGTGAATTCAGCACACAAACATATTTCATTCAAGTACTTGCGAACTCCTTTTGGATAGTCCACCTACAAATAGTTTACAGAGTATTTGTAACATTTCATCAGCTTCTTAGTTGTGCTTCAACAATTCAGCTGTTTTGCTTTTTTGTAGTGTTCACCAGATTATCTATAGAGTGTATAACAATTCATGAAAATGCCTTCTTATTATCAGAATAATTCAGTTGAACTTGAATTTTTCAGTAAACCCATAGGCTGAGTGAATAGTTCAAGTTCAATTAAATTATTCTGAGAATATGTAGACATGTAAACATCTACAGACAAAGTGAAACAGTTGAATTGTTGAATCTCAGCTAATGAACTGTTTAAACATTTCACATACTCCATACTATCGATAGGCGGACTATCCAAATAAAGTGTTACCAAATACTGTTCTGCAATTACAGTGGGCTGAAAAACATACATGTTCTGTTGCTGTGTAAATAGATAGGCCTTTATATTCTTTAGATATAATTTGTTTTTGCTTGTTTGGGAGTATTTATTGATGTTTATTCATGTGCATCAGTTTTTCAATTTGATTAGTCCTGTTTATTTTCTGTATGATGTGTTTCTGTTGATCATTTGGCTATTTATTTATTTCATTAAACATCGTCTGTTTTTCCTTTACTCTGCATGGCACCATGGCTCTGACATTTGATGTGTGTTTTTATTTGTACCTCATTTTAAAGTTATTTGCATTCATGGCACTAAGGGGCTGTTTTTTACTTGTCAGAGCAGGAGGGTGGCTGGGGTGTGACTTCTCCATTTTATTTTTTATTTTGACCCTCCCTGAACCTACAAATAATTTTCCTTGAACCTCTCTGAGTGACTGGCAGAAAATGCATGACCCTTCCTCCAACATAAATTAGTTATTAGATTTTCAAACATACCCTTTGATGTTTGAAAGTTACAAGTTAGAAGTTGAAGACAAATGGCATCAAAAAAGCCTCAGTTTTTCACTCTTATCATGCAGGCTGGTTAGTTAGAGCATAGTTTATTTTTAAAAAGTAGTTTTGATGAAATATCAGTATTAGCAACAAAACTCCACCTGATGGAGGCTTATGGCGCCCCAGATTCTTGTGCGCGAGACCAGCGAAAGCACGTAAACACACATGAACGCGGTGCCCATGTCTCACTGTATCGCGCAAGCGCGCACACATGATCGCGGTACACAGAGAGGCAGTTACAGCTGCAGGCTACAATGAGGCTAAAAACAGAGTACAAATGACATTTTTCCAAACAATCAGGGCTTCAGGACACTTGGATCACTACAGACCAGCAGTATGGAGATATTCTGTGGTTTCAATTATGTGTTTTTGGACGTTTGAATCTGGGGCACCGTAAGCCTCCACTAGGTGGAGTTGTGTTGCTACCCCTCTCCCCTTGGATCTCCACAAGGGATGTGAGGACTCTAAAACTTCACCTGAGCCTCCCTCGGCATATGGGTGAGTAGATAATGGCTGAATTTTAATTTTTGGGTGCACTATCCCCTTTTAAGCTTAGATTGGGTTATGTTTTTTTTCTGAAGCAAGTGTTTGTCATACATGATGTATCCAAGGGCTGTCGGAAATTTGAAAATCCAATGATAATTTCTTTTCTCGTGGTTTCTGGCCATGATAAAAGGTGTAAGTTTGGTGATTAAAAACTGGCCGTAAAATAAATACAAAATACAACCATTTAGATTTGTAAGTCCCCCCCCCCCCCCCTTAGCCAAAAACAAAAAACACACGCGCCCCTCACCAGTGCTTAAACAATTATTTCACATGCCTCCCTCTTTTTGCACCACCCCTTCCCCCTTATATGTAACGAACGGTCCCTAAACCGGAAACCAAGGCAGAGCGGAACCTTCGTTCGCTTATCTTTGTCGTCACTCCGGGCTTGTCACAGCGCTGCACAGGTCATGTCAATGCATGAATGGTGGAGTAACAGGACCTCTACTTTCTTAGAATATTTTTTTGGTTTCTATTCGTTTGTTTTGCGCCTTTGACTCAGCACAATGAGCAGGTGCGGTTTAAATAACATCTGGTTTAATTCATGACATTTACTTAAGGTAGCTAGCTTGTTAAGCTAACCTAACGTTATAGCATAGTCTCAGCTGTCATTCATGGACTTCAAGTTCAGCTGAAGTTAGCTAAAGTTACATATTTGTAACGCGTCCGATAAGCTGGTATCATGTCACAGGAGGAGCTTTATCTCGACTCAGCACCGGCAGGAGAGTTAAAGAGTGATGTAACGGAGAAAAAGAGCCGAAGTCGACTCGGTCTCGTCGTCACAGGGGTGCTGGGAGGGTCGCTGGTCGCCCTGTACGCAGTGGCTGCACCGTTTGTCGCTCCTGCTCTGAGAAAAGTCTGTCTCCCGTTTGTCCCAGCGACCACAGCTCAGGTGGAGAATGTCCTCAGGGTGCTGCGAGCCAGATCAGGGACCCTGGTTGACATTGGGAGTGGAGATGGAAGGATAGTAAGTACTGTGTCGTACTCTGTAGGTATAGAGGCATGAAAATAATTAATCCTAACAACAAGATAGGCAGAGCCACTGCCACAAAACTAAACTATAGTGTTGGTGACATGCTCATCGTACTGACTAGTCTCAGTTTGCCCGTGGAGTGTCACATATCCACTGCATCTGCAATGTATCACACTATTCTACTCAACAGTATGCATTTCTAAAATGGTAATCTGAGGTTTACATCCTTTTGGAGTAAAGATTGATTAAGTTCTCAAATGATTTCAACCAAAGGGGTAGATTTTAGGTGGGACGCAGGGGACCCAACTTCCTGAAAGTAGCAGAGGATGTCTGATAAAATTAATGGCATTTAAATCCTTAATTGATGCAGAAAATGCATTGATTGGTGCATAGACTCTCTCTAAAATGCAGAAAATTTAGCGTTTGAAGTGTAAACTTTTTTGATGGAGGACTCCAAAACCTTGTTTCATATGCGTCCCCCTCATGTTGAAATCTATGCTCTCAATGTCAACAGAGGGGCCTTGTTTCAAATCTGCAATGTAAGCAGTATCCTTGAGCAAGACCCTGAATTCCTATCAGCTCCTGCTCCAGTGTTTCAGTCTGAACCTCTGATCTCCTTTGGAAACAATGAAGCTATAATACTTGGTGTTACTAGAGTTAAAGTTGCAGAAGCATGTCTTTACATTATACAATAGACTGCTGGTTAATGTCACTTTAGTTGAACCTTGAACTAATGAACCTGTGTTTAGAATGTGACGACATCTTTTTCATCTCACCAATTGCTGCTACAGTTGCTACATTGTTGCTGATACATTGGATTTCACTCTGTTCTCCTTCCTCTTGCAGGTGATAGCTGCAGCCAAGCATGGCTTTCAGGCATCAGGCTTTGAGCTGAACCCCTGGCTGGTGTGGTATTCTCGCTATAAGGCCTTGAGAGAGGGAGTCCACCGCTCCACCTCCTTCCACATCTCCGACTTGTGGAAGGTCAGTGATGCATTGATTTTACAGTAGCAGTTAATATATTTTTCATATTAAGATATAAGGCATCACTTTGTGAGGGAATGAAAACATAAAACATAGAGGGTGTCTTTTCACTATGTCATTCCCAATATTTCTGATTCTTTTGCAGGTCAGTTTTGCACAATACTCAAATGTCGTCATTTTTGGAGTCCCTCAAATGGTGAGTTCTCTTGTTTGTCCATCAGTAATTTTATCAACATTGTAATTATTGCATTTTCCAAGTTCATCTATGCTGTGTTTGCTAATGTCAGTCATTGAAACAGTAAAGCATATAGTCAGTGTGCTGGCACTCTGGTTGGGTAGCTCCTTAAGTAACTGAGCATCAAATCATACACTGGATGTGTGAAATAATCCATTCTTGGTGAGAATGGCACCATCCAGTTCACTGTAGACAGCTATTAAATATAATCTAACATAATCTGCCATTCAGCCCTGTTGTATCACTGCATTGCTATTTAATTTTTCCAAGTAAGTTTCAGAATTCCACTATTCCCCTTGTTAAATCGATTGTTGCTGTCTGTATCTGCAGATGGAACAGCTGGAGCTGAAGCTGGCAAACGAGTTACCGAGTACAGCCAAGGTGGTGGCCTGCCGCTTTCCCTTTCCCACTTGGGTCCCTGAACATATCGCCGGGGAGGGCATAGACACTGTGTGGGTGTACGATGCCAAGACATTTAAAACACACATACAACATGGAATGACAAAGAGGACGACACCAGAGCATGAAGACACACCAGAGTCACACACATAAATGCCAACACTCAGATGTTGCTTTTAAGTTGTCATCATGCTTTGCAACCCTGGGACAGTCCTTTATTTATGTTTTTTTAATCCATAAAATTTGGGGGTGGACCTGAAATGGCTGGAAAAGACTGATGTTCATTTTTTTCATGTGCTAGTAGGGAAAATAACCTGATTGGCACTGACTTGATGAGTGGCTACACTTATGTTAAAGTCATAGGATTATCAGCCTCCATATCTGCATTCCTGCACACTCATGCTTAAAGCATGACAATTATCAAATAGGCATTTCATGTTTGATACATTTGTGATGCTCAAAACCAGACCAGGGATTAAAGTGATCTTAAATGGTAATGACTTTAGAAAGTAGGAAGAAGTGCACCTTCCATGAATTGTTGCATAAATTATTCCTAGAAAGTTGCAGTACATGTTGAATTGTTTATCCTTTACAAACAGGCAAAGCATTTGATAAATGGCTTGCAAATGTGGCAAGCCTGTCTCACAGAAGACTGTCCACCACGTTGTTTTGTATACTATCTGCAGAAAACTACTGCACTGTGTGCTATTTTTAGACCTGTGTATTTATAAATAAACTCATCGTGTAATTGTCCAACTGGTTGATTGCGCTTTGCTGCCATCCAGTGGTGAAACACCACACAACCACACGTTGTTACTTGGAGCACGTCCTGACCGCTAGCTGATGCACTATGAAGTGAAAAAGCTTTAGTGTTTTCGAAACGCACGATCACGTCAAAGATGATCGCTGCTTGAGTTTAACACTAAATTGAAATGTTTGCATGTAGATAGCCAGCGGTCTTTATTTGTAAACTGACTGACTAGCCTGCCTGACTGTTGTGGAGCAGGGCTGCCTTAGTAGCCAGTCAAGATGGACACCGCTGAGGAAGGTAGCTAATGTTAAAACTTGATATCCCCATTTGTTAGCGTTAACTGGTACAAACAGATACTAACTATGTCTGGGTCACATTCCGACTTACTCATTGCCACTGTCCGCAGTAATGACCTATTCTTCATGTTGTTACGCTTTTGTCAAAGGTTTACCAGAATTAAAAGGAACCGCTAGCCAATTAGCATTAGCTAGTTAGCTAACTAGCATTAGCTCATGCCCGTTAGCTATCAGCTGTTGTAATTAAAGTCAGCGTAGGGTTTCTGTTGTTTGCTTCCATAAACACCAAATCTACTACAAGTGGGATGTGGTGGTTGAAGATGAACATTTTACATTAAAGTCTAACTTAGCTAATTATCTAATTAGTTTCACGCTAACTGTTGACGTTTAATAAGTTTTACGCAACCGTTATCATAATATTACGTGCAGTATGACAACTAACTTGGCTAACATTACGTCGACACACCGGCGGTCCTGCAAATGGACGTTATGCTTAAAACGAAATATCATTCATTTGTTAATTTGTCATATTCTTGGACTAGTGTAACGTTGGACAGCAGTTTTTTCCAAGCGTTATTAAAGCTACGGTATATACAATGGTCATTTGCTTGAGAAAGTAATAAAGCTTAACGTTACTCATTCATATTTTGAATTTAGCCAATTGTTTACATATGTCATTAACTCTAGGTGTCCCAGCTGACAGTATGCTCTTGCATCCCGGGCTAATTATAGCTATTTTATTTTGGTCATCCAGTGACACAGGTAATCCAAGGATTACAGTTTGCTCAGCAGTTAGTGTATATATATGACATGTCCTTTTCTATTCACTGTAGACACATACTCATGCTATCCCAAATGTTTTTTTAAATTCTGAAAGTACTGTGTGTTTATGTTCTGCAGAAAGCTTGCATATGTTTTTCTTTAATTTTTCAACATTCAGCACTATATGAAAGGTGTGTCATGAGTTTGGATCAAGGTCAGTTACTGATCTTTTGATGGCATGGATGGAAATGCATCATGCCATGTTAATAAGATGAAATATTTCAGGAGTGGGATCTCATGGTAGACCAAGTTATGTTATTGTGTGCCTTTTGTACAGCAGACATCTGTCGGGTATGTCGGTCTGAGGGCACCCAGGACAAGCCGCTCTACCACCCCTGTGTCTGCACGGGCAGCATCAAGTTTATCCACCAGGAATGGTATGTTCAATGACTCAGGTTGTTAGAAATTAAAATGTATTTGGTTATTTTCACTTGCAAAATTAATGGAAAATAGTGATGCAAAGTTACCATACCCTTAAAAGAATAAACTCACAATGTGTCCTTTTGTTTCCACAGCTTGCTGCAGTGGTTGAAACACAGCAGAAAAGAATACTGTGAATTATGCAAACACAGGTTTGCATTTACACCAAGTAAGTTGTCAGTAAATTGGATCAGTACACTAAAAATGCATTTATTTGTTGCTAGCTCCTCAAAGTGCCTCATTTTGTCTGCCTTTTTTCCTCCTATCCACTACCCTCATTCTCTCCTTGTTACATCCCTCTTGTTTCTTTTCTCCAGTCTACTCTCCAGACATGCCATCCCGCTTGCCTGTCCAGGACATCTTTGCAGGGCTTGTCACCAGTATTGGAACAGCTATCAGATACTGGTTCCACTACACACTGGTGGCCTTTGCTTGGTTAGGCGTGGTGCCTCTCACAGCATGTAAGTTACACCATTCCATTGTTGAAACAAAATGAAAGGAGATTTTATCAGCAGTCATATATTGTTTCAGCATATTGTATACCTCTCCTAACATCCAACAAAGCATAGGGTAACGTCCAGGAACTTGTCTTGCTGCTCTGTCGCTATGATCTCTCACCACTTCCTGCCTGCTTTAGCTCTGGCTGATTGACATAAAACACATCACTTAAAGGTGCGCCAGGGCGGGAAAGTCACTCACAGACACCACAACTCTGGTATCAACAAAACACAGAGAGCTTCCCTTGGCGGCAGTAGACTTAATCAGCATTATGTGACCTCATTTGGCAGGGGCTTGAATGTAATGGATGTTCATTTATATGTAAAAGTCCCACACTCCAGCTTTAAGCAGTTTAAATTTTAGAAGAACTTAAACTGGATATAACAAACAAAATCATATATAACCATAAAGTAATGCAATTCAGTTCAAAGAGGATTTAGGAATTTGCAGTATACTTTTTGGGAGCCAGCTGTCGCTTTACAAAATCATTCTCAGATTTTTTTTTTTCCTTTGTGTGTGTTTATATTTTTGTCTGCTGTCATGCAGGTCGCATCTACAAGTGTTTATTTACCGGCTCTGTGAGCTCTCTCCTTACTCTGCCATTAGATATGCTTTCAACGTAAGTATGAATGACTCTCTGGTCTGTTTTTGCCCCATGTCTCTCACACTGTCATGCTCCTATGTATTGTACATCTGTAAGTTCTCCATATTTTGTACCCTGGAGTCTGGTTGGTGACAAGTTCAGTTATTCTTCATAATAGCTCTTTCCATCCATCACATCATCTTTTCTCTCCCATTCTCCAACTCTCGTAGTAATATGTGAAATTGTCGTGCCATATCTGATAAAACCATAATGTTTCAACTCTTCCACGCAGACAAAATCTCCTTGCAGACTGCCTCCAAGGCTGTTTTGTGGTCACTTGTACACTGTGCGCCTTCATCAGCCTGGTGTGGCTTAGAGAGCAGATTGTCCATGGCGGCGCCCCGCAGTGGTTGGAGCAGAATCAACCCCCTCTAGTTCCTAACCAGCCTAATGGTCCTGCACCAGCTAATGAGGTGAGATCAGTTTATGGTGTCAACCAACGTCTTTTATCTACCTGCACACAGAGCTGATGGGTGTACCATGATAGCGGGGTTTGTTGAGCCTAAAGCCAGAGTTTTCCGTGTTGGAAAGGTGTTTATTTCATAACCTGGCTAGATCACCCTGGCAACTTATGCTGCATGATGCATTGATGACCTGGTTGGGGCCAGTTTGTGATGCGTGTTTGGCTTGAAATTGGCTAAAAATGCATTTCACTAACAAACTCATTTTGAAATAGCTTCACTCTATAGTCAGTTGTCAAAGTCAAAGTCAGTCGAAGTGACACAGACTCTCACCTGAGGGAATATGTTATAAATGCACTTATCCAGCATGTTGAGACATAACATTACATCAGTAATGTCACCAAACCAAGCTGTGCAATTACACCAGGCATGTCCAGAGTTTGGCACAGAGGCCAAATAATTAACACGATACTGGTTAATCAAGCAAGATCACTTTGCATTATTTCTGATCACTTTATGATGGCAGGACTATCATACAGTTTGTTGACATGCACCAGGTAGGAACTACGCAGGTGGAACTGTCGGTTTTCATAAACAGACCATAAACATTCAAGTGAGGGCTGCTGCTTTTAGAAGCACTGCAAAATTGAATACTTACTCCCTGAAAGATGAAACATTTGCATTTGTGCCATTTGTATGTGATGTTTATAACCTATGTGATGCAAGAAGCAGCTTGCCACTGGGTATTTTCACATTATCTAATCTGGTCCCTTTTCAATTTAGTTTGCACATCCCTGAATTACGTTAGCCCTTACTGTATGTGTTGTGTTTTATTTATCATGGGACCCCACAGTTTATCAGTGATGCAGAAAAATCTGAGCAAGAATATTGTTTTATTTTATTAAAAAGGTTGGTCTTGCTCTCGCTGAACTACTGAATGCATTTCTAGTGTTCCCTGGTCCATTTGCCCACACTGGCTCTGAAAGAAGCCTACTATAAAATTGCAGGTAGCATTATACATTAATGGTTTACTGTATTATTAATCAGGATGATGTTTACTTGCATATGAAATGTGGTATAATTCCTTCAGCCCATACCGTAATGGCACCACTTTGAAATATGTTTTTGTGTTCGGTCCTCATTTGCTGAAGTTACAGCTAATAGAACACAGATTAGAAAATGTGTTGGTCTATTGGTATTTATTACAGATAATATTCAATCAGTAAAATTCATTTTTACTTTGATTTACTCAAAAAATGATTTGCATGTATCCTTTATGATGAGACAGTGTCCTTATGCGTAAATGCAGTTCTTGAGTAAATACTTAAACCTGCTGCATCAAGTTGAAAGTTTTAAAGCGGTAGTAGAGCGTGCAGCTGTCACATTAGAAATGAACTGATAAATAAATATATGAACTTGTGAATTTATTAGCATTCATTTGAAGTTCTCTGCCAGCACTGCTCTCTCACCTTAATTGAAACAACAGTATTGCTTTTTTACTGTAATATTCTACAAAGGTGTATGACCTGGTGTATGATCATGTGTGACCCATTTATGGAAACGTGCACAGAGTCTGAAGAAGAAAGCCTGGGTTATCAGAGAAAATTGATAATCACCTTTGTGGTACCCGATATCTCTGACTAGGGCTTCAGGGTTTGTCGAGCAAGCTCAGGCAAAGAGAGCCTGGCTTTGTTGAACTTGCTTCCCATTCCACCCCTCTGGGCAGATATTAGGTGCATTGGCTTCCTTGTATATCACACCACTATCAATGACAAGTTTGTATCTGTAAATTATAAGCCAGTGGAGTTTGTGAATCCCTAAGGCATTCATTCTTAGCTCGATGTGGTTTATTTAAGATTAGGCATTTTATTTACATAAAGTTAGATTTAAATACACTTTTTCGATTTAGTGAAAAATAATTACTGCAAGTTTAACTTTCTCCCACACTTTGCCAGTTTTCTGTGTGGGTCACATTTGTTTTCTGCCTGCTGAGTCTGGCCAACTCTTGGTCTCAGAGGAACATTCAGGACAGTGATCTTTTTTAACAGAGAATGTGCTTGCCAAGCTAATCGTGACATTTGTCCACCAAATGAGTGCAAACAGTGCTTGCCAGATTATTTCAATCCTCTTCTGTCATTGTTAGTAATGAGTAATACAGTTTAAGACTGAAATATTGTAGTTAAAAGTGACAGAACAGTTGCTAGAGCTGTTTTCCGCTTATTTTTTAAATTTAAGGAATTCAGCTCCAGGTATTGTCAAACTGTCCTTTGTAACGGCCAAATCCTGTGGGTGTGGTTTATTAACATGCAAGCCATATTATCTCATTTAACTGTGTGCAGACTGTGCTGTAGGTGGGAACTTAGATATTTCATGATTCCACAGGTTCCAGGTGGTAACATTGGCATCAACGCCCAGGCTGCTGCAGAAGCCCAGCACCCTGCAGACGCTGTCCCAGACGGGCAGGCACCTGTCAACCCGCATGAAGCCGGAAACCATGGAGATGAGGCTGAACTTGACGATGAGGAGGAAGACGACGATGGGGAGGAAGATGAAGAAGAGGAGGATGACGATGAAGAGGGCAGGGAAGAGGATGCTGCTGATGCGAATAATGGAGGACAAGGTCAGCATGAGCATATGTGATGCACTTTAAAGGTTTTTAACCTTTATACATATTGTTAAATGCACACAGCTCTACTGTGCAGTGGAAATTGATGCTTTGTGGTAAATAAAATTATTAAATTTTTATGGTATGTGGTTATATGGCCAGTTTTCTTAAACAAGTTTGATATAAAAATGAGTTTAGCTCTTGTGAACGGATGTTTTCATTCCTCTATAAAGAAATAAATTGGCCTAAACCATGGTGAGGAAAGGCAGCCTACATGGTCATGCAGCCACAGTCACTGCACACTGTAGGTGTTGCTGACATCAGTTGTTTTCTGATTGTGTTTTGCAGAAGATTTGAACTGGAACGCCCTGGAGTGGGACCGTGCAGCAGAGGAGCTGACCTGGGAAAGGGTGGGAATCTATGTTTTGTCCGTCTGTCTCCTACTCCATGAAGTGGTGTGATGTAGTTATAACACAATGATAGCAAAGCAAAATGTGCGCAGGATAGCAGTCAGTTGGCAGATGTATTTGGGATAAAAGGCTTCTGTCACAGGAAATATCCGTCTTGGTATAGTGTGTTCAAGCAGCATTTGGATTCTTGGCACTTCCAGGGATGCTGTTTGTAGCTGGCCTGTCAATAAATGCCATCTTTGTTGTATTAGTAGAGGTTTCGGATGTTTTAATAGTAGCAGCAGTTAGTAAAGCTAGCAGTATTTTCATTTACTGTATATGCATTATTATGACATTGCTTTTTGTTTCTGTCCAGATGCTGGGCCTGGATGGCTCCTTAGTTTTCTTGGTAAGTGCACACCCTCTCCCTCTACTCTTACACACAGTATTCAGTGTGCCGTAAAGGGAGATTCTGGTATATTTAACCCAGCATATATCCAATAAATGTGTCCATTGTGACTTCATGGATGCTAACTTGCACTCACAACTTCCCTTGTAGAGACTCAGGGCAGAAAGGGTTCATGCAAAACAACATGTATTGGGGGATGCCTCCTACACCTTCCCAAATTAACATGTTTTTTTCCCCATGAATCATTTTTTAGGGTTTTACTTGTTGTAATAGCTTTTTCTTACAGTTGGAGAGCTGACCGTGTGGTCTGGCCGGCCTCTGTCTTTTCTTCCAGTTGATTTTCAGGTGATACAAAATTAATTTGTTGTAACATAGTGATACAAATGGGATCAGCCTCATCTATGGACACATCTAGATTATACTAGTATGGCAGTGAAATGATCCTTAGCTGGATCCTGAGAAGACAGTATAAATGCAGTGAAAGCAAGCCTCATTCATGGTGTAAGGTGTCAGAGAGTTGCAATGGCCACATTTATTGGGACTATCCTAGGTTGAGACACTATATACTGGAATTTCCCTTTAAAGTAGTACTTAACAATTGATCATTTGTATGTCAATTTCTCAGTCTGTGTTAAATTAAATTTAGGAAGAAAACTGTTTTTCTCGCATGCCCCAATGCAGTGGTGTAGCAGAGGGTACAGGTATACGGGGTCTACCCACCTCTTTTTCTGGCTGTTTATAGTATACCCACCTACCAGCCAAAAAGCTATTGAAATATATAGGAGTGTATATACTTTCTCTCCTCGGTAACCTACTCTTCTACCTAGGAGTTGTACAACCACCTCATCAAATAAAACTACACCTCTGCCTTCATGGTGAATGAATAATCCAACGTTGGACAAAATTTGTAATAAGTTGCAATCATTGGGGTCTTAACAACAACAAAACTGACATACAAGTGATAATTTTGGGGGTGAAGCATTCCTTTAACAACCTCAGTGGAATTGTATGTTGATATAAGGTGTGTAACTTTCTTCATTGTTTTACAGATAGAAATTGTTTAACACTGACAGAGACCCTTGTTGTGTGTTTGTGTATTCTCTAGGAGCATGTGTTCTGGGTAGTGTCTCTCAACACACTCTTCATCCTGGTCTTTGGTGAGTTAAACTTGCAATGGAGCGATGGTGTACAGTACATACATTGTTCTCTGAGAATCAGTCAAGTCTTTGGGGATCAGGGGATCAGGGATTTCCCCTGATTTAAATAGATTAGATAGATTGTTGACCAATGAGTGATATAAAACAGTGCCTTTTACGTTCTTAGTCACTCCACTAAACTCCGAATTCTAACCTAGTCTTTGTGTTTCCATCCAGCTTTTTGCCCGTATCACATCGGACATTTCTCAGTAGTTGGACTGGGCTTTGAAGACTACGTAAGTGCACAGCAATGCATGAGGAGGGGCATTTGTGCGATTTTAATTCCTTACTAGTGTCTGGGTTTGTCATGCAGTGATGGAATTTGTTTGATGATGATGACATTATATCTGGTTACAGATCAAAGCTTCACACTTTGATGGCCTTGTCACCACCATACTTGGGTACATCCTTTTGGCTGGAGCTCTCATAGTCTGCCATGTATCCTTTGTACACAACAATCTGTTTTGGGTTTGAAATGACCTTCAGTATGTCTCATACTCCTAGTTGCTTGTCATGGCTATGTACAACATTAGTTGTATCAGGTGATTAATGTGCATGTTGGGGGGTGCATATTTATTCTAAAAAATTCTAACATATACATCCCACATCAAGGCCACCACATGTAGTTCCTCACCTATACATTTCATATCTCAGCGAAAAGTTTGATTGAAATGTGGTCATGAGTGAAACTAAATTTTGATGCTTAAAATACTGACTGAATGTTATTTATTTCACATTTTGGTGTTTGTCCTTAACTGTTCCTCCTTCAGGCATTGGCTTCATTTGTTAAGTTCCAGCGCTCCAGACGCCTCTTGGGTGTCTGCTACATTGTTGTGAAGGTAAATTAGAGATGCAAGATTGGAATGTTTTCAAAAGTCTGTTTTGTTTTTATCAAACTAGGAAAGCTTTCAAGTGAAACAGTAATTAGGTAAATTATGATTACAGGAACAAATGATGAAAATAGGAACTAAATTGCATTTGTATTTACATATCGCAGGTGTCCCTGCTTGTTGTCATGGAGATAGGCTTGTTTCCGCTGATTTGTGGTTGGTGGCTCGACATTTGCTCTCTGGTATGATCGTTCAGAATAAACTCAATTAAATGCAATCATGATGATGAACACATTTTGTTTTTGTCATTGGTATTAAACACACATGATAAAACACGTCCTCTGTTCATTGCAGGAGATGTTTGATGCTACTCTGAAAGACAGGGAGCAGAGTTTTGATTCAGCCCCTGGTACCACCATGTTCCTCCACTGGCTGGTTGGCATGGTCTACGTCTTCTACTTTGCCTCCTTCATCCTTCTGCTCAGAGAGGCAAGTGGAGCAGCCGGTCACTGTCATGTATTGCAGTTTATGTAAAAATTCAAGTCATCGAAAGCTTTTAAAATCTTAAGCTTTTACACGTTTTGTGGTTGCAGGTGCTCCGGCCAGGCGTACTGTGGTTCCTGAGGAACCTGAACGATCCAGACTTCAACCCAGTCCAGGAGATGATCCACCTGCCCATTTACAGACACCTGCGGAGGTTTATACTCTCTGTGGTCAGTCAAGTGTTTTTCTCTGTTCTCTCCCACACGTAGTCTTCAGTGGCATAAAAAACACCCAGATGTCTGTTTACGCTAATGCTAAATACATAGAAATATGCTGTTGTCAAGTAAAGTACATCGTGTAGTATTTCAGAGAAAAGAATTTCCATAAAACATAGTTTAATTTCAAAAATGACCAAATCTGGGATTATGAAAATAATATAAATCATTGTAAGCACTTTTCAGTAATGCCCACCATACACTAGAAGACTTTGAGAAGATTATTGAAATACTTTTAAAAGACCCTCTGACACCCTCTCACATCTAAAGACAATGCAAGTTTTTAGTCACACACTGTAAGATTTAGCAAAAACTGGGGATCTCGCAGTCACTGTTTGCACACTTTAAGTAATATGACATAGTTACAATTTCTTGCTTGTCCGCAAAAACACACCACTCTTTGAAGCACAAGATAAAAGGCATTGTATGTCGTCAGTACTCCTGTCAATTCAGCATCAACATAATACATAAAGATAAACTGCGTAGCGTACAAATTTTACATTTTGGATTTTGTCATCTCAACTCGCTACCAGCCTTTGTTCATCAGATGCGCTGTTTTAGTAGGAGGAGACGGTGAGAATGAGAGGCGAAAATGGAGATTTCTCACTAAAATAAGCGCTGGTTGGTAGATCAGATACGTGCCAAATTAAACACGGACTTTTGTTCACTTCACAACTCCATTCGTTTGTCCTCGGTTTTCCACAGTCCAAGAGAACCGAGACTTGTTCACGTTCTCGAGCCTCCCCGAAGTCCCCTTAAGGCTTACTGTCTACCTGGTTTGCTGCTTTTTGTTTGGTGCTGCAGGGAGCGCAGCTGTTGGTTGTTGACAATATTCATGTAATTGAACTTGAATATTTGCATGAGGCAAAACAATATTAAACATGTTTGATTTTTTCAGAACATAAAGACAAGAAGAAGACTTGATGACAGCTTGAGTTTTGTAACATTACTTACACCAAACGATCGAGGTCAAGGAGAGTGGGCGGCAACTGAGGGAAGATGCTCGTGATTTTATTCCAACTTTGGAAATTTGTCTGCAACAGTGATACCACTTGAAAAGTAATTTGGTTTAAGGCCAGCATAAGGAGAGATGAGTTGTAAGTGTGTAATGGTGTTTACTGAGGTTAACAACAGAGAAGGACTTTGGTGGTTACACGCCACTGATGTGATGCATCTTCAGTGAGCACAAGCCTATGAAAATAGGAGATAGATAGAATCCCCTGGAGTCTAGACGCTGGTTGTGGAGGAGTAGAGCCAGCAGATGGAATCTTTCAGCTGAAGCACCTGGATCATCCTGAGGGACGAGTTGGCGATGGGGAGGCGGTGGGTTGCGCCATGGCGGGTGTGAAAGACAGAAGGACAGAAACATAGTGATATTTAAAGAGCAGCCTCTGAGGACAGATTGGTTTGAGGAACGTGAGCAGAAAGAACATTGGCCAGATATGCTTATGTCAGAAATGAATGAAAGGGATATTGACAATGTTGGAACACAGCCCAATGTGTACTGTAACTTTCTGTATTCCTGTTTCATAGTATAGGGATACTTTACACGCCTGCTAACAAACAACGATTTGTTGTTTTGTGTGTGTGTTTCCAGGTGGTGTTTGGCTCCATAGTTCTGCTGATGCTCTGGCTCCCTATCAGAATCATTAAACTGCTCTTTCCAACCTTCCTGCCCTACAATGTCATGCTGTACAGGTACACACGACAACACTACTTTCAGTATCTCAAACTTTAAATTGACATTGTGTGTTCTTTCTTCAGTCATAACCAAAATAGGAAGCTGCTAGAGAAAATGAGCTGCCATTTCTCATTACATTGACAGTATATTATAAATGGAATGTAAATTGAGTTTATTTTATGTCTTGTCTCCGCAGTGACGCCCCGGTCAGCGAACTGTCTCTGGAGCTGCTGTTGCTTCAGGTTGTTCTGCCGGCATTGCTGGAGCAGGGTCACACTCGCCAGTGGCTCAAACGGCTTGTCCACGCCTGGACGTTCACAGCTGGATACATGCTGTAGGCCTAAGACACACACACACACAAAAGAAGGACTACTGTGTTGATATGATGTAGCTAGAATAAGCTCAAATTATAGTTTGCCCATTTTGTGCTTTGTCATGTCACTTCTCAGTCAAAGTAATCAGACAAAATACTTACTCACCACAGTGACCTTCACTCTTACCTGCTGGGGGACCACGAAGATGATGACAATCAACCAAACAACAACCCACCTGGTCGCCATAACAACAACAGGATTCCTGGCCTAGGGGAGGGGCTTCACGCTGCCCATCAGGCCATTCTGCAGCAGGGCGGTCCTGTGGGTTTCCAGGCATATCACCGACCCATCAACTTCCCCCTCAAGGTTTGTCCCAACATTTAATCATATATTCAGATATCCTGTCACTGTTGAAGCCTGTGCTGCTGTTAACGTTTCCTGTACAGTTGATTTTTTTCTTCTTTTTGGTTAAGATCATTCTGCTGGTTGTCTTTATGTGTGTGACACTGTTACTGGCTAGCCTGATCTGCCTTACTCTGCCAGGTAAGTTCGGACTCTACCACCCTTCCTCCCTACTCTCAGTCATTCTTTACACCTTCGTTCTTACCTGTCTTCCTCGTCCCCTCTCCCAGTGTGTGCTGGTCGCTGGCTGATGTCTTTCTGGATGGGCAGTGCCATGGTTCACGAGCTGTACACAGCGGCCAGCGGTCTGTACGTCTGCTGGCTGTCCATTCGAGCCGCCACCGTGATGCTGTCTTGGATGCCACAAGGGCGGACCATCATCATGCTCAAAGTCCACGAGTGGACACTCATGGTAATGTGGATGTCTCTGAAGTCTTTAAAGCCAGTGGCAAAATTGAAGCTTGCCATGTGTTAAGTGGGTAATTGTTGTAGTTTGATGTAATGACTTGTCAAAAACAGATTCTAAAGACCTTTGTGGTGGCCGCGCTGTTAGCCGGGGCAATTCCTCTGCTGCTGGGTCTGCTGTTTGAGCTGGTCATTGTTGCTCCACTCAGAGTCCCACTGGACCAGACACCTCTCTTCTACCCCTGGCAGGTAGGACTATAGAGTTTTTATATGTGTGAGAATGAGTGGTGAAATCATACACAGCAAGTGATTGTTTCCCTCTGAGAAAACATGGATTGTTTAGTGTGTACACATGTTGTCAAAAGGGCAGGGTATCAAACCTTAATGCTGAAAGTACTTTTTATTGGACAAAAAAGTATGAATACCAGCTGGCATTCAGTGTCCTGCTCAAGGACACAAAAACAGCTTGAGACTTGACCTTGATACTGAGCAGATGCTAAACGTTTGAGACAACCCTGATTGTGTCTTGGTTGTTATGTTGTTTGTCTGTGTGTGGCAGGACTGGGCCCTGGGCGTGCTCCATGCTAAAATCATTGCTGCCATCACACTGATGGGCCCTCAGTGGTGGCTCAAAACCGTCATCGAACAGGTCAGTCTTACATCCCTCTAGCCTTATTTAATCCAGAACAAAATGGGATCGCTGATATTTAAATACCAAGTAAATGTTGCATTTAAATACACTGTAAAGATGTCAAAATGTGTGGAAACATTTCTTTATGATCCAAGTGGAACATATTGTCAACAAATCTGTCCATAGAAAATTATTCTAAGAAAAACGTGTTCAAATTTAGTAAGGGTAATTCACTGTGCAAGACAAAAAGAATTAGGGATGTCCCAATCTAATCTCAAAGATCGGAACTGGGACCGATGAGGGCATTTTCTCTTCTCTTCAGGATCGCTTATATTGAGCTATGTAGGGTTCACTTTCATCTTTTGTTTAATGCCATCTGTCATGCAGGTGCTTTGTCTTGCAAAGCTTTAATGCACGTCAACACAGCGTGCAGTTGTCATCAACCCCTCAACTCTCCCTGTGTGTGTTTAAGAAAAGGGGCTGAACCCTGTCCGCAGCAAAACACCACACACCATAAACAACGGCAAAATGCGATTTGAGACTGTTTATATATGTTATTCACCTAATTTATGTGAACTTGTTTCATCTCAGTGTGAAAGAGTCTCTTACGTTTTCCCAGTTCATCATCCATGGCGCAGGCCCTGTGAGCATAAAGATGTACAGACGACAAATATTAACACTCAGCGAAATATAGTTTGTTTAGGTAACGGCAAAGGGTGCAGCGATGCAACAAACACTGGAGAATACTCTACTTTGAGATGGTGACAAGGCCAAAGAGGTTTTTAGAGTTTGTCCTTTTATCCTTTTTTTATCCAGCTTAGATTCCAGGTATTTTTTTCCTAATGCACTGCAGAGCTATTTAGTTGTCAAGCATATAAATTAGATTTATTTAAATAACTTAAACGTACATGAATTGTATACTATGCAGTTGTATTATTCAGGAAAACAGTATCAGGATGGACTTGGTATTGGAAGATAGTAAATATTAAAAAAAAATAGGATTGGGATCAAGGATAAAAATTGAATTGACATTTAAATAAAGTGAAACAAACCTTTAAGTATCCTCCCTCTTTCTCTCTCCTGTAGGTGTATGCTAACGGTATCCGAAACATTGACCTCCATTTCATCGTGCGAGGGCTGGCCGCCCCAGTTATCTGCGTCCTGCTGCTTTCTCTCAGTGTGCCCTACACTATCTCTAAAGGCATTACACCACTGCTGGGTGGGTTTCTGTTCATGCCCATGTGTCTGGTTTGTGCATTAATTTTTTGGTACCGTCATGTACCCTGACAAGCTTAAGTTTTAAGGTAATGGAGTAAGACAGAACAGGCTTTAGCTTCCTCCATCTCTCCTCCTTTTTCCATTGTCTTCCTCGCTGCTCCAGTTTTCTCTTTCATCACCAACTCTCTGTGATCGGGGTCAAAGATGGCCTCATGAAGAAGAAGACCTCTCAGTTTTTATTCTCCCTGCTTTAGAAATTTTCATGTTCACTGGTCATTCACATTAATCTTGAAACATTAGGTAGCTTAACGGCTTAGAATTGAATTCGATTGACTGTGTAAATAATACACAGCTGCATTCCAGTTGGCACTGCCTTTCATTGAAAGCTATTATAAGTTCTTATTACTCAGTGAAGTGGTTGTTTAATGGCAACAAGCAGTGATTTCTGGAAAAAATAAAATAAAAGCTACAGTACATGTATCTCATTTAACTTCCATATACTTTTAAGATAAGTGGAATAATTCAAGGGGAATTATGTGAATAATAATTATGATAATGAGTTACTGCAAAATCAGTGTGAATTAGAAATGGGAATTTTGCTCAATTTTTTAACAATATTAATAAAGCTGACAACACAACAAGTTGTGGTGTAAGGAAGCAAAGCTAAAATGAAACTTAACTTAATTTGGTCCTTGTATTGTTTTGGGTACTGACTAAATTAGAAATTGCAGCAGATAAAATTCAGGCCCAGAGGTAGCAGACTGCTCAGATATCATCAGGCCACAGCACAGGCAAATCCTTACTAATTTGGACATGGGGCTCATTTAGGAAGTGCTTTTTATTCAAAGCCTATCCAAGGCACCAATTTTAGTTTAGACAAGGGCTTTTGATGTTGACTCAGACAACACTTGCATTTAAACAACTAGTCAATCAAGAATTCCCAGCTCTGGTGGTAATCAGGAGTTTAGCCATCGTGCAAGCCAAAGTGCAATTGATTGTTTTTGTCTCGACTTTAAGTCCATCAGTTCCCAGAGATAAGACATCACAGACATGCATACTTGTTAAAAGGAGATTCTGTTCCACTGTTTACTCTGTCTTCTCTTTCTTTCTTTTTTCCCCACCTCCTCCATCCCTCCTTCCCTGCCTTTATAGGTGTGCAGCCAGAGATGCAGACGCTGGTGGAGAGAAGGATCTATCCCTTCCTGCTGATGGTGGTCATACTGTTGGCCATCCTGTCCTTCCAGATACGACAGTTCAAACGCCTCTACGAACACATCAAAAACGACAAGTCAGTAGACCCCCCCCCCCAAAAAAAATATGTGAACTAACACATGGAGGCAAAGAAGCTTAGTGTTTTATTCCGATTGTGCTGTTTTACTGATCCAGAGACATTTCAGTCAGTGGTCAGTAGGGCTGTGTGATATGGAAAAAAAATGTTCCCTGATAATTGTTTTCATATCAGTCAGTGTTTATATACCTTCTGTCACCCAGCTGTAGAGGGCAGGCTTCATGATGATAAAGAAGGGAGACAGATTCTTGCCCAGCTTTATGCTATGCATCTAAAAGATTAATAGGGCACACTGTTTTTTAGGATTTTGAGTTACACATGGGCAACATTAAATTTAATGCAATGACGAGAATAAAGATTGAAGCACCTCATAAACAAGGCTCAGACTACAGGAGTTCTGGGCTGATTTATCCCTGATCTGCCCCTCCCAACAGTCAAAGGACAACGCTGATCTGGGACTTTGATTGGAACCAGTGTTCAGCCCAGAATATCTGTAAATTTGTTCACAGATCTAGTCTTAAACCTCCCAAACTGCTTGCAGACTTTCCTAGTAGCTCTGAGTTTCTCTGTTTGTTGTTGTGTATAGATGGTCTGGCTGCGGGTGCATGTTGGTGTTTGAACGTTAGTGTCGGTGGATGAGAGACTGTGGACGGAGCATATTGAATATCACTGTCTACATGTTTACATGTTCATGCATGTTTAATGTCACTTACAGTTATAAGTCTAGCCGTGGTCAACTCGAGTCGTTCTCGAGTTATCTTTACTTTTTTTCCACCGCGGCCGCTCAGCTGTTCACTGGTTAACGTGTGGCATTGGTGTATGTGTGGATGTGTGTGTGGAGGAGTTCATAGCTGGCACAAAAGAACCGATACCGTTAGCGCTTATCAATACTAGGGTCTTTAATAACATAGCTCTGGGGCTAATTTAGTACCGGGTTTCGGTGCCCATCTTTAATCAAAGCACAAACGAAGTGAAGCTTGTAGAAAGGAAATAAAGTTTTCAGCAGCTGCCCATGCCAGGAAGTGCGGAACGCTGCAAGTGTGAGTCCACCAATCAGTGTTCTTCGGCAAACAGCCCCGCCCCTCAAGAATTCCAGGTAATGTGAAAAGTCCTAGTTTTTTTTTTACCCAGGTAATTTCGGTGGAAACGCGCAGAGGTTTTTCAAAATTCTGGGTAATTGATAAAAGTTCCTGTGGTGGAAAAGGGGCTATGGAAGCTGTTGTGGAAGGTGGTTTAACGTCAATGTGATTATCAAAAGACCATTTTCATTGTCTATTTTTGCTGAAACCGCATGCATCACGCAAAAGAATTGGTGAGACGCTGGCTCTCTAGATGTTCTGCAGCTGAGCAGAAGCTTGAGCAGTGCTGCTCATGTGGGCAGTGTGGCTGCTCTAACCCTTTTAACATGGGAGCCAAAAAAAGAAGTTCTGTGATGCACATGCACTGCTCACGCAGGCAGTGTGGCCCAGGAAGACCGTAATTGCCACTGATGTTGTGTATGATCTGGAAAATGCAGGGATGCACTCTGTATGGCTTTGGTGGACAAATAGATCTGTCCATAATAAAAATGTTAAAATCTATTCTTTATAAGTTTACATTTAAGTTGTCTTAGCATCATATCTTATAAGTCACAAAATATTAGGGTATTTAACATGCTGATAATGAATGTATTTATTTGGAATATTTCCCACTGGACATTTTGGTCATGGATATTTTCATCTGCCGGACAACTACACATGATCTTGGCCAAAAGAGCCCAACTGAGGAATGATGAGTGAAATGACAAAATAAAGTGTATTAGAGTAGAGTGAATTTATGTTAAAACTCTTTTGTAATCAACGCTGTTCTTCACGTTTCTCCTCCAGATACCTGGTTGGACAGCGACTGGTGAACTACGAACGTAAGACAGGCAGGAACACGTCCACCTCCACATACAGCACCTCCTCATAGACCTGACACTGCTGTGGGATCAGTGGGGCTGACTCACTCTGCTATCATCAGCTCCTGTGGTGAAACCTTTTTTTGTTTCCGCCGCGCTGTCAAATGCCAACCTCTTAACTTTTGACTGCAGCTTCTTACTCAACAACATCTACCGCTGTCACAGGTTGGGGAGACAGAGACATTGAAGAGTGAGGACAAAACAGTCCTAGAACTTCTTCATGGAAAAGTTGAATTTCTCAACAAGGTTGTTAATCAACCTGCAAAAGCAGTCAGCATAATTGAAACTCAGCAGAACCACAAAGTCTTTGACTGTCTGATGTGTCCATTATTGTCTTGAATGCAGCTGACATTTTAAGTTGTAATTATATTATTTTAAAAAAGGTTTGAGTTGAAGTCAAATCAGTTGAGCATAGCTTTTACCTCAGATTGTGCTTCCCTTTGAATGTTTGTTGTGAAATATTATCTAGCTCACACTGAGTGTCTCTTAATGGGATGTTGTTGACATTTCAGAGCTGGAGAGGCGACATTTTGATTATCACAGTAACGCCTCCGCGGTTCTGTTCCAATTGTTGATTTGTCTCAAATGACACCCTTCATCAAATCGAGGTTGTCAGTGAGAAGGAGGGACATACATGATGTAGCAATGTGATTGTATTCTGTATTTTTTTTTCTTTATAGATGTTTTTTATTAGATGTGTTTTCATTGATTTTTAGTGTTACATTTCTGGGGTGAGCTGTTAGATAGTCCTCTGAGGAGTCCTTTAAAGTTAAAATGTAGAAAGAGACAGACAAAGAGGAAAATAATAGTTTTTTGACAATCTGGACACAGCCCAGGACATGTTTTTTTTAAAGATGTTATGTGAATTTTAAAAACTGGGTTGTGTAGTAAGTTCCTGAGCAAACCACCTTCAGGAGAGGAGAGGTCATTAAGTGAGGTTACAACTATAAATATTAAAACTGGAAAAACAGCCTCAAAATATTTCAAAATGCGCCCATGTTGCATCCTTAGAGTGACACTGATCTTACAGAAATATTTGTTCTGGTAGAATTTAAAAAAAAAAGGTCATGCTTCTAATCAGCTCTTGAGACTTGAGAGTGCTGTCTGCACTCTGTTAACGGTCAGGAGACAAGGGCTAAACATAACTGTAAGAACAACAAAACACTGATTTACAGTGAGGAAGAGTGATCTATACTGACAGACCTAATAGACCTTTACTGAAAACCAGAATGAACTCATCTCAGTTAGGTCATGGTTACACTTACAGAGTACAAACTAGATAAAATGTAGGAAATTGATTGGCTGAGGTGGCAGGCTGCCACCGAAATTATCATTTAGGTTTCTCAACTTATTAAATATTTGAAATAAAGTTAAAACAAAGTCATACCTATAGTTACAAACAACTGGCAGTTTAATATAGATCTAACAGCTTTTCCACTTTGGTTACAGTGACTTCCTGTTTACATAGTTGATTGTTTATAATTGGGTGGAGCCTCAGTTGTTTCCTAGCAATTGGTTTTCAACCAAGGGCAACCTCCAGGGCTGACAAATGAAGCCAACGCAAAAGTGCCAAAAACTGCAGTTTATCTAACGGCCACTTGTCGGTCACTGTAGACCTCCCCGTGTTAAAATGTCCAACGTTACAGCAGAAATAAATGTGTTTACAGCCTGGTGGAAATCAGATTTGGTCTCTGCAGCTAATTTCCCTCGTCATGACAACTACAGGGTGTGCATTTTTATATAACTCACCTGTTTATATTAAGGATTAAAGTTAGGCATAATTAAGGGCGTGGCCACCTTGAGTGACTGCAGGGCTTTCAGTAAGAGCCACGTCTCACTTCTCCGCAGCTCCGCCCTCTCGTCCAAATATTTTCAGTTCTGGCTCGAAACAATCCAAGATGGTCACGGCCAAAATGCCAAACTCGTGGCTTCAAAATGCGAGCCCACAAACCAATGGATGACATCATGGTGGCTGTGTCCGTCATTTTTATACAGTCCACAGTTTTCACACTACTGAAGTCTTTACTAGCTAAGACATTCCTTACATTTTAACGGTGCAACTTAATTTAGTGAATTAATAGGGTTGAAACTAACTAGTTCGTACTAACAACTTATAAAGGACTTTACATACAAACCTATTAAATGATTTGTCTGGTGCAACCCAGTCCTGCTCCTTTTCCCTCAAGGTTAGTTATATTTCATAAAAGTAATGATTTCTTAACGCTCGCACACCTCCTCTAAAACACACTACTCGGATATTTACCAGCCTGAAGGACATGACAGCTAGTTTTATTTGTAGAGTTAATGGAGTGCCCCTTTGAAGCAAGTCCAAAATAAAAAGATAGCAAGAAAACCAATTTTCTTAACAAAACAAAACGCCATCACGTTGCATGGGCGCTGACCTTGCATACATTTAAAATGTAAGATATCTGTCCACAGAAAGTATCTTAACCTTGACACAAATTGTCTTCAGCAGTTTAGATTCAGTGGTGTTTCTTTGCATTACTTACACCCTTAAAAAGACTCGTGTTGCAGATCCAGTAATTTTGCCATCCAGCGTGGTTTTGTTAGAGAGTATGTAGTTTTATGTCTGATCAGCAATCAGAACTGGTTCTGTTAGATTCTGTGTGGACAACAGCAGGAGCTGACGTACTACCGTCTGTGTTCCTCCTCTTGTCCACCAGATGCTTCGCCTCCTGTGTCTCAGCTCATTTATATTATTGAATTCCCTTCTTGTGGCACTCTGATCTGCTGTGAGTCTTTTTACCTTTCAGTACTCCAGCTGAGTTAGTAGAGTCACTCTCACATTGATCTACCTGTCTGTGTAATACTGGACCAGTTTGTGGATCCCAGTCAGGTCAACTACTGGCGACATCTTTAAAGCAACTAACTGAAGAGAATTTGGGGAAAGAGGGGAAATCTAATGTGCCATTAACCTGTAATTACCACTTGTGTCCACAGTGGCACCTGTGCACAGGTTACAGTCTCCCTTTAAAACAGGGCTCTGTTTGTCATACTGGTGTATGTCTCCTTGGCAGGAGCATTCCAGGTGCTCACACTGATGAGCTGCAGCTCGTTCAAAGAGATCCTTTAAAATCAACTCTCTACTTTACCTCTTCACAGCTGGTGCTCTGATTTGACTGAAGGTTGACATTGACACAGTGATTGGAAGAATCAGGGTCAGCTCAGCTCAGTTCAGGGAGTCATGTTTCAGGGTCCTACATGTCTTAGAGGGTTTATCTGGTGTGAGAGAGAACGCCTTACACACAGTGCATTCACAAATACGATATTAAAATCACAGTATTCACAGCAGTCACTATATAAGTGCTTTAAAAGCAACAAGAGTGGATAGGAGAAGAAGAAATCTGAGGTGGCTGGTGCTGCTGGTGAGAGTTGACGGCTAACTGAAGAGCACAGTGCAAGCTCAATCTTTACTGTAAACTCAGAACAGACGTGCATGAAGTGATTTGTGTCCCTAAACCCAGAAAAATATTGTATCCACAACATAATGCATAGCAACGAGAGGCTGCATGTAAATCGATGTAACACGTGCATGACAATTTTGATTAAATGTTGGTTCACAATTTACAATCAAAGGAATAGTTTAATCTTTTGCAAATACATTCAGTTGCCTTCTGGCTGAGTTATGCTGGGTTTAAACTGGATGCGGAGGCGCTGATAAATGTGCCGGTTTTCCGTGGAGCAATGCCTGCTTCTGCTCTGCGCATACTTTAACAATTTGGGCTGTTAATACTGGACCCACCGTAGTGCCAATCTCTGTGACAAACTTGCAATCTGCAGCAATATTTTCAGCTTCTGCTCTGTTTTCTGCAAGCCATGAACAAATCTGGAGAGAAAACACACTAATAATATGATATGAATGATATAAATGGTACATTTTATATAAAATGAACAAAGCGATTCTTATAAAAGAACATATGCATCCCATGCTAACTTATTCCACATATTTGTTAGTGCCTTCGCCTCCAGTGTGAACCTGGTGTTAGATGAAAAGATCAATACCACAACAGTATCTGCGCACTAGATATAAATCTAGAACTTGGCTAGCTTAGCTTAGCTTAGCTTAGTTTACCTTACCATAAAGACTGGAAACAAGCAAACAGCTGACCTGGCTCTGTTCAAATGGAACAAAATCTACACACCACCTCTAAAGCTCACTAATTAACATTTTATATCTCCTCTGTTTTATATGTACAAAAATGAATTGTAAAAACGTCAATGTCTGGTTTCACAATGGGTTACATACCGGAACTGTTCAATGGACAGGGGCAGTGACTCCCTGGAATCTTTGCTGGTTGCCTGGCAACCTCAAGTCTCTAGGAAGTATAATCATCTAACTCTTGACAAGGTAGCAAGTGTATTTCCCAAAATGTCGAACTATTCCTTTAAGGTTCCAAATGTTTCAGTGTCTAGAACCACTTATACTCCCAAAAGCACTTTTGCATGGGGATGTGAAGTCAGTGTCTAGGTGTTGTGCTCCCAGCGTCTCACTTGTTTGACAGCAGTGTCTCCTCTGCTCCCCTACCCCAGAGAAAATGCCTGAATGTTACATCTTTTGTTTCAAATCAAATTTTGGATTTTTTAGTTCGAAGTCTTAGACCCACTACAGAACAAACCCATTACAATCAAAGAATTTGAAAGGCTAAATGGTGTTTCAACCTCTCATATTTTCAGTGACGGTAACAAGCCCCAGCCATTTTTTAAAGCTGTTTTTTGCTGCCAACTAAAACTGAATCCAGTTCTCTGGTGGGTTCTTGCTCCTAAACTCCTGAGAGAAATATTTGAGATGTTTTAGATTTTTTTAAGTTCCTTTTTTGAGGGGACAGTACTGGTTAAGTAGTAATTAACTTTTTTTTCATGCAAATGTTTAAATGTGTTGCACTTTATACCACAATTTGCAATCATTTCAGAATCCATTGTAACACTTTTTATTTCCCTCCCACTGAGACTGAAAGATGTCAGTATTTCACTGTGGTGACTCTGCACAATGGGTTTTACTTACAAGGTGAATTTAAGTTTTTCTTTTTTTTTCGACACTGCATCGTGTGAGAAATGTTTCATTAGGAGTTTGATAAACATAAACTGCTTTTGTATTGATATGGATTGTGACTCACATTAACTTTAGTGCTGACAGCTGTAGTGCTGCTGTGTGGAATGCTCACATTATATATGTATGATGCTATAAAGTGACCTTTTAAGTATCTTCTTGAACTGAGCTGGACACTTCAAATTTTGGTCTTGAATTTCAATTTCTAGAAGCAAATGATTTCTATTTTTATATGTGCAAAACGGCAGTGGCATGTACTGTAATATAAAGGTATATACACTAAGGTCTATTAATTGTTGGTTCAGTAATATGAAACAATAATAAATAGTTGAAATGATTTCTCAGAGTGTACAGTTTCTTCTTCACACTGCAGCTACTGTGCTGTATGATCCACAAACCTAAAAGGAATGCAAGGTAAATCTTACAAGTGACAGGAAATGAAAAAATTAATTCCAATACCAAATTTCGTTGTTTTTTTTTTCTGACTTTGCTTTCGCTCTCTTTGTGAATTACTGGATATTTATCCCTCCACGGGATTCTAAAAATAATAACAATAAATTAATGAGAAGGAAAATGACTAATTGACATATGCACCCTAGTTTTGTGTGATCATAAGCCCAAAACTGTGGAATAGTTTAATATCAATCCCTAAATGCCTTGTTTTTGTGTGTGAGTTGATTTCCTCTTTTACACAGGTTGAGTACACCAAGGACTCCATAGGTTGAACACTCTCTGAGGAAAAAACACAGTACCTGCCAGACTGTAACAACCAGGGTTTCTGCAGATCCCTAAAAAGTCCTAAAATGCACTAAATACCTAAAAAGGAAAAAAATATATATATATAAAAACTTCCCCTGATTGGTATGGTGTTTGTAAATCAATCTTTTAAAGTCTTCAAAATGCAGACTTGGGAAGTAGGATATTGTGAGCCAGTATCTTCTGATGGGCATTGTAAAATCTCAAAATAATTGGTAATATGTTTTTTCTTAGATAATAATCTACACGAATGTCTTTTACGAGTATGTCACAAATCAGGACAGTAGACATCCTGTCACATCCAATCAAATGACAAAATAACAAGCTTTTTTCAGGTCAAACTTTTGTGTTCATTGTTTCCCTTATGTTCCACTCGAAAAAGCTTAACATTTTATTTAGCATTTGAAGTAGATCATTTAACTTTTAAACTTGGCCGAAAAAGTCATGTTTTATGTTACAATAAACTATTAGAGCAAAGTTGTCTCTAACTTTAAGTAATAGTTCAGGTTTTTTTCCTTCAGTTTTGGTTGTTGTAAGATTGGTCCTAAATTTCATTGCGACGGGCATTTAAGTCTTAAAATGTTCTTGAAGATGACAGTGCAAGTTTGTATGTTTTAATGTGTGCCCCTGAATTTTGAAAATAAAAAATGTGTTTAAAAAAAAGGAACCAATATATTCACAAAATAGAGTTCTATAAAGGCTCTAATCCAGTATTTTTTTGATCTTACATAGCAGAACAACTCTCTAATATGTTTCATTAATGCTTTTAATTCAAACAAATGTAACAAATGAAGTTGCTTTATGTCAGTTATTTTACAGTATGTTGATGCTGAAGCTTGTTTAACCTCTTGCCTCAGTGTTACAGATCAAGTAATCTTTCGACTCAACCTTTAGAAAGTCGCTTTTCTGATAATGTCTTACTATTAAGACACTGTGGAAAAACACAGAAACGGGGTATTTTAAACCTTCGCTCAACAAAGAACAAAGAATTTTATAACTTTGATTTGAATGTGTTACAAAAGTTGAATCCCTCAGTCTCAAGTTAAGGACTAAATTTTTATGAATGGTGTGTTTAAGAGGTCAAGAGGAGCTTTGGTTGTGCTGGGATCCCATCACCAGGCACCAAACAAACAAAGATGTTTTGTCTTTACGAATCTGTTGTTATTCCTATATGCTTGTTTGTTTTTACCTCACAGTTGCATGTTATTTAAAGAAACAAGATTGGGCTTGAATATGAAATGTATAATTTTATCTAGAAAACCTCCACATGACAAGAATATTTTAACTTTTAACTCTCCAAGTGGTGTAAAATCCATCTCCCCACCAACGGGAGAATCGGTGAAACTGTGACATTAACTCAGACAGCTGACTGTGTTAAAAGTAAGACAGTAATGTAGTAGACTGTCAGCTGTGACCTTATTTAACACCTTTAAACTGTTGCTCATCATCAGTGGGATAAGTCCAGGAGCAGGAAGGGTGGGAAAGTCTTCCTCTCGCTTCCTGTAACTGTGTGTGATTATGGTTTACCATCCAACTGGAAGATTTCTATCCATCACAAGAGCATCAGAACATATTAGAAAGCATTCATGCAAATTCAACACTGATATAAAACAGTGTTTTAGCTTGTTACTATTGCTAAAATTGGTCAAATCTGTATGCAATATAAAACCATAAATGTTATTAAGCATAAACAAACGAGTTTAAATCATAATATTTGTCCACTTTTGTGTCAGGACTGGCTGAAGACTGACTCCTCGTTTTCCGATGGATTAGTGAATTGCGGTCTTAATGCCACTAGATGGCGCATAAGGGTGTCCACAGACGAGGACAGCAGATCTAAGTTATGCAGAATGAAATATAGACCAAATCACAATGTTTATTTACAATAATTTCCGGGTGGAAAATCCTCATTTTAGATAGATGAAAATCTAAAGGCGCTAAGCAGCCTCAATTAGTTAGTTTTTAACCACCTTTAAAAAGCCCACCAATAAAAAAAAAAAACCAATACCAGTTTAATGCCTGTGGATATTCTCATTTGTCCAGGTCAGTTATCTCAAGGCAATTGAATCGAATGCAACTGGACTTCATTTTGTCTTAGAAGACGTTTCACCTCTTATCCAAGAGGCTTCATTAGGTCATGCTTGTCAGACTAGGCCGGAATTAGTCTGACAAACTGGTGTGGAAGCACCCAGGTATTTAACCTCTGGGGAGGTCCTGATAACACCTAGTTTGTGTTCCAGTGGGTGGTGAGAATCGAACACTAAGTATTGGTCTGTGTGAGTGGGTTTCCTGTATACACCAATGTGGAGGCCTCTGTCCTCTGTAATGTGCAAGTCACAATCCAAGAAGGGCAAACTATTCTCCTTAACATCTTCCCTTGTGAACTTGATGTTTCTGTCCACTGAATCGATGTGTTCAGTGAAAGCTTGCACCTCTTGAGTTTTGATTTTAACCCATGTGTCATCCACATATCTGAACCAGTGGTTCGGTGTTGTTCCCTTAAAGGAGTTCAAGGCTCTGAGCAGTGAGGAATGTCCAGACACTCAGCTGTCTATTTACACCTCAAGGAGAAAGTACACTCCTTTGAAGACAGCAATGTGCACATCTTGGACAGGAAAGACAGATGGTTTGAAAGAGGTGTAAAAGAAGCCATCTATGTGAAACTGGAAAAGCCATCTCTCAATAGAGGAGGAGGTCTGCAACACCACCTATCCCCCACCTATAATGCTGTCCTTTCATCCTTGCCCAGGAGATTTAACAGCTTAACCTCTAAAAACAACGGTCGTTCACAAATGGCCTCATGTGACTCTAACGACTCCAACGACCACCGGTGCAGCAGGAGTTTCAACGACCGTCGTTGACACACCATTGGAGCACTAACAAATCAGTGACATCACTGGCCTTGTGAAGACCTCCCCAGAGGTTAAATACCTGGGTGCTTCCACACCAGTTTGTCAGACTAGTTCCGGCCTAGTCTGACAAGCATGAACTGATGAAGCCTCTTGGATAAGAGGTGAAACGTCTTCTAAGACAAAACGAAGTCCAGTTGCATTTGATTCAATTGCCTTGAGAATACCAGTTTAAGTGTTTGTTATATTAAGAATATTTGGTAACACTGTCTATGAAGATTACATCTATATTGCATTGTAAGGCCATTTATAGTGAATTATAATGCAGTTATAATGCTGTATGACTGCACTCATACACACACATAATGCTTTCTGATGCACTAAATCAACAGTCATAAAACATTATAGATGTGACTTATAATGAATTATAAATGTCTTCTGATTGTTCATGACTAGTTATAAACTAGAGGTTGACTGATGGAGCTTATGATGCATAAGGGGCCGATCACACCTACAGGTGGCGCAACCATGGATAAACTAACCTAGCTAGCTAACGTTAGCATTTTTATCATCGTAGTAATGTTTAATGACATTGTACTCACCAGACAGAATCACTTGGCTGCTCACACAGCTCCAAGAGTGCGCTTTCCGCTGCTTATTGCTATACTGAGGTATTGAGGGATTGTATAGCTCCTCGTAATTATAAACAGTCAGGATGAACCGTTCGTCATCGCACTGCATTGCCATTGTGTTTACACAATTTATCTCAGCAACAACAAAACATGAATGAAGTTGACATGATAGCAAAGCCCTCCTCTTGCTTGATTCCATGGATTTGATTGGCTGCCTGGGCCAAGTATGACGATGACGAAATGGTGCTACTGGCGCCTGACACCGAAAAGTTGAGATTATTTCAACTTTCAGCATCTACAAACGCGCGTCTAAAGAGACACCAGAAAGATGCTCATCATAAAAAATGCTTTAAAACCAGTCCGACGCGCCTTATGATAGGGACCTTATTGTATGTCTTAAGTAAAGTGACGTACATATGAATATATCTATAATAAGGTATGCTTCATAATAATGTTTCGTTGTTGGTACAATGTAAAGTGGGATGCATTATCATGTATTTAAAAAAAATATCTATGCTGCTTCAGAAGTGATTAATGTCTATCATACACTAGAATACTTTGAAAGCTTTTAAAAGACTAAAATCTGACACCCTCTCACATCTGATTTTTTTACAGTCTATGATGGGGCACGTGATAAAAAGGTACTTTTACATTATTTGGTTCATGGTGTTCACCCACCACTTATGAAGAATGTTATTGGTTCACCTACACCCATGTGTGTTAATCGTGAGTTTGCCATGTCCTAGAAGCTCTTAGCTTTTTTAGTCTAATAAACAACTCTCACATACCACAATCATTTTAACACAAACAAAATGGCCATCATAAAGTACTTTTTCCAATGCCAGTCCGAACCTGCTATCATTCTCTGGGGAACTGAGAGTGTTTTGTTCTACAGGGTTAGCTTGCTGAACAAGAGTGTGTCACTGAGCAGCAGTTCTCATGCGTTCTTCGGCTCATTGGGTGTGTGCTCATGAACAGCTCGTTCTTTCGGCTCAGGGGGTGCACACTCAACATGAACGGAGCTGAACAAGAGTCTAGAGCAGCAGCTCTCTGGGGTTAATCCGGCTTTAAAGCACAACTGTGCAGGTACCATACAGAAGCAAGAGTTTGGATTCCCTTCCACTTGCAAGAAGAGAAAACTTTTTCCTTTTCAAGAGTCATTCAAAAAGAACGATTTGTTTGCAAATCTGACATCACTTTAAAGGGGTGGTCATAGAGCCTCTAAGCCCTCCCACTGCATTTGAGAATTTCTTTAACCCTTAACATCTCTTTTTTCAATCTTCACACAACTATTCCCATCTTGTCTGAGGTTCAAGAAAGAGTGCACTATGAACAGCTTTAAGGTGAGACTGTCTGCAAGTGTGCACTGTTATTCTACCCTGGAAATCCAGAGTTCCCGCGAGAGCACAATTTGAATTTGCTCAGCGAGTCACTCTGGCAATCAGTAATGATGCTCATTACCCATGCCGTTGGAGTCGAGCTGTACCAATCACATCGGTGTATCTGATATAGGCGGGCCAGAGGCAAACTAAACAGATGACGACAGCGCTGCGACGCCGAAGTCCGGAATCTACCAGGTAGTTCCGCTGGTAGCGCTCTGGATACGTCACCCTGCGTATTGTTCTGATTGGTCGTAGTGTTATCCAATTGCGTGCAGTCACATTTTCAAATGCATGCTTGGTGCCGCCCCTAGAGTTGGGCCATTTGCATTACTCATAGCCAGACCCTAACCCTTTCTAGATTTGGGTCTGGATTTCCAGGCTACTGTTATTCCCCTTTTGTCACTAAACACAGGCCATGAATTTATCAAAAATATCACCAATTTTATATCCATGTGTCAAATTAATTTATCCTTCATCTGACATCCACCATCAGCAGTTTATAACAGCCGCGTTCTGATTTGAGATGTGTGGTATTACTGGAAAGCACAGCTCTAGGAAACAGGCCATGGGGTTATTTTTGCTGAATCCAATTACCTTTTCTGCTAATGCAGTCTTAACAGTTGTGGAAGCCAAGTGCAGATTAGGAGCGTATGCAGCGGAAACAAGATTTCTACTGTCAAGCTGAGTCTGATTTTTCCAACATGTGCTTCATTTTTCACAAGCACAATGAGATCAACCTTTTCATGGCGATCAAATCATGGGCTAAGTGCCTGTGATTTGTCCCTCCTTAAAGAGCTCTGAAGAGATTAGAGCTAAAACCAGACTTCAGGCAAAGAACTATTGTGAAATGTACACTCTCTGGCACAGATGACTACTTTGCACAAGACATTTCAGACCTGGGTCAAAGACAACTCGTCATCTAAAACACATTTTTCAGACTAACACCCTGGTATCATTTCCCCACTTGGTCCAGGAGTACGGCATCAGAAGTGACCAATTTTTGGAATATTTACAACTCAAATCATCTGTTAAATCAAAAATCAATGTTAGAACCACTAGTCTATGCCTTCCCCCGCAATCTCAGAATTAATAAATATCCCCTCCCCAAAAAAACTTCTCTCCATAACATATAAGATAATATCACAATCACAATCAAAACCATATTTCTACCTTCAATAAAATGGGAACAAGACCTCTCCATTACTCCTGATGCCGACTTCTGGACCCAAATCTGTAAAAATATTTATTTCATGACTAAAAAAGTTAACCTACAACTCATACAGTATAAGATACTCCATAGAACTCACTACACAGGGCAAAAATTGTACAAAATGGGATTCACATTAGAAATATGCTCACACTGCACACAAAACCGTCCTGACACTTACATTCACGCCACCTAGCACTGCACACCCATCAAACACTTTTGGAAAGAAGTCACTGAGTCACTATCCCGCTTCATGGGCTGCCGCATCCCAGTATCTCCCTCACTCTGCCTTCTAGGAGACTTATCAACATTCAACCTAGATGGAACAAACCATAGACTTCTCCTTGAGGCCCTAACTATCGCCAAGAAAACTATCCTCATGAACTGGAAATCATGGAACACCATACATCTGGCTCACTGGAAAAACATACTCACTGACTACATCTCCCTGGAATATGCATCCTCCCCTCTCATTAACACAACAGAACCTCAGTCCTTCTGGTCAGCTTTCATTCATTTCTTAACATCCTGAATACCATCTGACTTATTTTTCTTGTCTGTCAGCCAATCACCCATAACACTATCTATATCCTCACGTGTACATGTTGTGGTGTCCTGAGAGGCTGAGAACTCTCGGCCCCCTCAGGACACCACAACACACTCGCACACACACATACATACATACACACATAGATCCTACCACATGCACATGCACACATGTACATACACATTTACACACACAAAAAAGGGAAAGAAAGAGAGAGAAAACATATATGTATATATATTATTATCTTTTTGATTTTATTATTATTATTATCATTATTATTGTCGTCGTTGTCACTACTATTATTATTATTATATAACTATTACATAGGCTCTGCCTCGGGTCCCTAGTAGGCTGGGGTGGGCTGGGACCTGCCTGCTGTTGAATGATCTTGGTGGACGCGGGGGGGCGGTGAACCTGTGTGGGCCGGGCCTGTGTTTCCTGCCCCCTCTTGGCCTCCCCTCCGCCCTGGTTTCTACCCTGGGCTGGGTCCATGTTGCACGCCTCGCTTTTTTAATACATCACACACCAGCTCAGGAAAGGAACAAAACAAAACATAAACCAAAACCAAAACCAAACCGAAGCAAACAAACAAAAGTAAGAATAGGGCAAGTGGGGCATGCATGCGATGACCGGCGGTAGGGCGGGCCCCGCATTGCAATGCCCACTTTGTTTTTGGGCGGGGGTCAGCCTGCTCTATGGCTGTGTGGGGATCCGAGGCAGATCCTTCGCTTCTCTTCCTCCCTTTATATTTATTTATCCCCCCCTTTTTTTATTTATTACTATCATTATGACGATGATGATGATGGCGACGATGATGATGATGATGATTATGTGTGTGTGTATGTGTATGTATATATACTTTTGTTATTATAATTATTATTATTTTATTTTATGTATTCATTTTGTTTTTGTTTTTTTTAATTTTTCTTTCTATTCGCTTATTTTATTTATTTGTTTATTTTCTATTGTCGTCTCCCCCCTTCAGTGCCTATGATGATAATGTTGTTGTTGATTATTACTACTTTTTATTATTATTATTACTATCATTACTATTATGTTATGTGATGCTGACACGCACGCACCCACGCACTCACGCACCCACGCATCCAGTCACTAATTGTTGTTTCGTCATGTCATATGTCTCTTTATGTATGTATGTAGCCTTTTTTACGTGTCCTTACATGTATCTTGTATTGATTCACAATAAAAAATAAAAATAAAAAAAATAAAATGATCACCTGAAACTCAGAACATGAAATCACAAAAAAAAAAAGAGAGAACTCGTAAATAACTATTTTACCTCCTTGTAAATATGAGTGATGGGTAGTTCATTACTCAGAATAATGTAATGTGTGTCAGGAAAGGCAGGATTTAACCGCGAGAGATTAGTGATTCCTTGTCTAAAAACACGTTGGCTCAGAGAGGACTGTGTCCTCATGTGACAAACCTTACCTGCCCTAGGCAGTTGGCACAAAGCACTTGGAATCCCAAACTGTCTGACACAGATACTGAAGTCAGATGAGCGGTTCATTGCCATGTGAACTAGACTGATATACGAGCTAAACCAGTCACTAGAATCCAAAATTCTTTACCATTACTGAATGATAGATTGTATCAATGCAAACTTGTCATGTTTGTGTTCACAATTTATTTCTGCTGCCCCCAAGTGGCCACAAAATCAGTTATTGCAGATTTAAAATTTTATATAAGAATTGGACTAATTGAAGTTGAGCAACTTCATAATTGTTCAGAATATTGGAGTCTTGATATTTTTATCTGAATTTGTAAACTTTAAAAATAAAACATGAAATATAAGTATTGATATTCCATCAGTTGAAAGTAATTGATGTATTAAAGATGGGGATCCAAACCAAATGAATTCAGATTCTTAGAGTAAAGTGTTTAAGTTTTACAAATCAGTGGTATTAATGTCAAGTTAAAAGTAACGGGTACATTTCATAATTGAGTCTTCATTTGTCTTTTGCTCAATTCAAATTACTGTGGGTTGCCTCCATAGGTATGCAGCATTCTTTCTGTTTCATTCTGTTTAATTTACAGTCTGTTAGGCTATTCTGTTAAGCACTTTCTGTAGAGTTCTTTACATTGACTTAACTGATTCCGAAATAATTTTATTAATCAAAAGGGACTCCAAGTCATGTTGGGGATTTGAAGGAATGCCAATGCGCTCAACAAAACATATACCTTAGACACTATATGTGACATTAAGGCCTGAACTGTCTGGGTTTAAAGGTGATCCTAGTCCTTCCACCGAACCCTGTACACAAATTAAGTCATGTGGTTGTTAAATCCAATTTAAGCAGGCAGTGTTAAATGCAGCAGAAGAGAGGGGTGTGGTCGGCCTGACCTGTTGAACTGATGACACTATAATAAGAATATCTTGATTGGAACAAAGGCAGCAAATGAATGTTGGTGTAAACGTTGGATGTTTAGGTATTTGTTGCATTTATTTTGCATATTGTCTGTGTTAAGTGCTTTAGTCTTGTGAAAAGAACTCACTGGTTCACTTGCTCAGCTGTCCCTGTGTAAAACATCTACAGATATGTAGAGAGAAGATTTTCAAAAGTTAAGACATTCCCTCTGTGCTTGTACCATTCAATTTTACACTTTATTGTATTCCAACAGAAAACATTCAAACTGTCTTGTCACAGGGGAGGGGAACACAACGGAACAGCTAATGCTAGAGAGAGAGAGCGACTAAAGGGATTATCATGCGTCAGTTCAAGAGAATATCTCTCCTCCCTTTGCCGGCCAGCATCAAAGGGAGCTCAATGTTTCTCCACAGGGAAACACGATTAGTTGCTGTCGGTGGTGGATGTTACAGTTTCCAACCAAGATGACTGCCTGTTCTACTTTCCAGAGGACAACTTCAGCATCAAGACTTCAAGAATTCAAACTACCCGTCTGGGTTCTGATGCCGTGATTAAAAGATTTGACGGACAAGGCTTTTGGTGCAATCATGGAGAGTCCCATGGAAACGGGCAATGGCTTTTTAACAATTCGTAACTGATGGAAACTCATGGGCTTACCAAACTCTATTTATTTGGAAATGCAACCTTGACAGACTCATTAAAGAGCAAAACTTGTGACTCTTCATTTTTATTGACTCTCTTTGGTCACCTCACCACTCCAGAGAAACTACCTCAGATCATGCATATGATCACACCTTTCTTGATGACATTGTCTTATGGAGTTCGAGGGAATCCTCAACTCTATGATATCCTGAGAAGATTAATTCGATGATGACGAAGGATTGGGAGCATGTGTGATGATCTCAGGCTTCCTCTGTGAACTCTGGTGCCCCTTATCTCTTGGGAAGCCTGACTGAGACAGAAACAGATAGAGGTCAATAGCCTGTATTGGATCTTCTGTATGATAGCATGAGACAACATACTGCAGCAAGCCAGTGGACATCTAGGTTCTCCTAGAGTTGTCCTGGCACCCCACAAGAATTTAAAAAAGTGTGTGGGGGCAGGGGAGGGTTTAAATGGTGTTAATAACTGAAGAACAAGGTGACGGTTCAAAGGTTCGGGAGAATGGAGTTACTGGAGGCATGGGACTGGGTGAGATACCGTATAGGACTAGTACAGTGGCTATGGATACACCTGTCATGTCCATCACAAGTTTTGACAAAGATGGGGATGAGTGTGAGGAGTCGGGAGAGGACAATAATGAGGAGATTGAAGTTGATTATAGGCACAACTATTGGGAGGACGAGGACGAAGTCTATCAGGAGTTCGAGGAGTTGGACTTCGACTCCCTGCCGGATCACCCAGACACGCACAGCATTGCCTCGGACGATTCTTTCTATCCCCCAGACAATTCTGTTGTGCCTGACTTGTACCGCCCGCCGAGCCCCGACAGCCCTGAGCCCATTTCCTTCTTTAAAGCCTGCTGCAACAACAACGCCATCATTGTCAAGATTATGATCAGACAAGGAGTGACTGAAGAGGAAGTGAAAGAGACGGATCGAAACAGAAGAGTAGGTGTCTAGGCTCAACGTTTTTTAATGAAATCTTCTGGCTTTGTTTCACTGCTAACTTGAGCTAGCTGCTAGCATTTTCTTTCCTGCCTCCCTGATGTAAACCAAAAGTATCCCAATGTTTTTCCATTGGAAATCTAGGTTTGCTCACAAGGGTTATCATACTATAGATGGAAATACATCATGTCCCATGAGTATCAATCTTCAAGGACTGTACCAGTATTTATATAAGTTTTAGCTATCTAAATCATATAAACTCTGCAGAGTGTGAGGTTTTTAAATGTGTTTTACAATTTACAGGCAGCCACTGGTTTCCATTCATTTTTCCAATATCAGGTAAAGTGCAGATTGATTTTAATTGTCTGCACTGTGTCACTTTGAAACAGTAATATAAGTTTGATCAAAGTTTATGCAGACTTATGTTTACCATGATAAATTACACACACAAGCAAGTTTTGAGTCAGCCAGTTGATGGTCATACTGTATTGAAATGGATGGATATCAATGGCTGCTTCAAAGCTTCAAAGGTAGTAAAATTACATTTACAACATAGATCTTGAGAAGGGTATCATCAGGTGCATCAGATCCAGGGTCTGAAATTAACTTTTTTTCAATACCTGCTCCTGTGGCAAATGTTTTTTCTGTCTGTCTGCCATTCAGAAATTTTATCCGCCACTTTTGAAATTTATCCAGTAAATGAAGAAATAACATTTGAATCACTTAGACATGATTTAATGTAAAGAATTATGTCACTCAGTCTTCAACAGAATTACACAAAAAAATGTATATGAAAACACACAGTGTCCAACTACACCATAGCTTTCTGGGGAGCCCCATTTTTCAAGGGTCAAAGGGTGCTGTGCACATGCACAGACATTCTTGATTGCTATCAAATCATTTTAAACCATACAGAGAATATTCAGCCTGGCCCATTGAAGAAACTTCACCATTGCAAAGTCTTTTTAACTGATTGTTGTTGGTTAGGATTCAGTTAACTTCAACTGAGAATCATAACAAATATGGTTATGTGACCTACAGCGTTGATTCCATATAGCAATTATGAGCTACTTTTAAATATGTAGCTCTGTGCAATCATACACCAACCTAACTAAACGTGTGTTTTTTCATATCTGCCAAAGTGGCGGGTTGCATGACGGTGTCAGTTACTTGTACTCATTTCATATGCGACATTTTGTTCCTTAGAACTTCATCAGGTTAAATAATTACTACCTGATGAAGGTCAAGTGAACCAACCAGTGCACAGGTGTTTTTTCTCACAGTAAAAATACATTCAAACATATGACACACAAGAGCATGGTCTGTAAAATATTCAACAGTAATGCAACATACTTATGATCTGAAGAAAACAGGTTAAAATGTGTGAAGCCACTGGTATGGTCCTTTGAACTTTGATTATATATTGTGATAACATCGGTAGTAGCAGCATCCCACCTTCCATAGAGTTCATGTAAAGCTATTTGACTGATGTGTATGTGCAGGCTCAGCATCAGTGCAACAGCATGGCCTGCAGTGTTGTTCATGATGTAAGCCACCCACTACCTCTTAAAAGAGGTGAGATTATGACACTTTACTTTAAAGCCTGGTTCAAAACAGTTCTGTAGAGGGAAATACTAACACCTGCGGTTCACTGTAGGGAGCTGCTGCAGCACCTAGGAATATCATATCATTTAAAATCATAATGACAGTATATAAGGCAGCTCTTGCTGTTTCACAGCATGCATATGATCTGTTATAAGTACATGTGCCTGCAATGTTGATTGGCCACTCAGCACCATTTTAGCCTTTTAAATTTTTGCCTTTGTAAGCTGTTAAGCATTAGGTCCACAGTTTACAAGTATCACTCAGAACACGAGATTTTGTGGCTGTGAGCTTAGTAAACAAAAATTGTAGTCTTAACAAACGTCAATTTATGGCACATATACTTCTATGATTCATCACTTTAAAGTCAATAACTAAGAGGTGTTGTTGTATGTAACACAAAGGTGCAGTTAAGGATAAAAAGCCTGCTCACCCTGTGTGAACTTGGCTGTTCCTCTCAGCAGCATTCGCATCAGGTTTTGCGGTCAGGCCAGCTGACCCCGGTGCAGCTCCTGAACACCAGCGAGCCACTGAGGGTCACATCCTGAAGGAGGGTTCAGAGCAGTTGGTTAAGCCTCCGGTGACAGATGGGGAACGCAAACTGCACAGTGACAGTGTCAAGAAGCAGCTTGCCGTCTGGGCTCAGCCTCTGAAAGGCTCGCTAAGACATTGACCTGAGAACTTGGTAAGAGATACTGCATGCTTACAGAGCTGGAACAAACAGAGAAGGATTGTCCTGGAGTACTGTGACAGTAATGTCTTTCAGGAAACCTTGAAGGGTGTTGACACAGCATATGCTGCAATGAAAATGAGCAAGGGCTGACATTTGCTAATGGGATAATGAACTAAACAATAACTTTATCATTAATACGCTTTCTTTTTCCACCTGTTTCAGTAATAATATACGATTCTGTCCAATTCAACTGCCCTTTATAGTGTAATGCTGTCACTGTAGGAAACGTTTTATTGTCTCTGAGCACTGCTGAATGAATCTTCTCACTTTCTGCAGTGTGATCCAGCAAAAAAAAAAACCTTTCACGCAAAGGATTTAACTTTGACTGGGTGTTATCTTCAATATGTGTAACATTAGAACCAGGCTGGCAGCACTAACCTTATGTCTTGTAACACTGTTCACCTGCCAGCTTTAGCTCATGTTTTTTGTACAAATGCACATCATGTCATTCATGACTTTCCTTTTTTTCGACTCTCCTGATTGCAAGAAAATTCATCTTTCTGCACCCTGACCAGTGATTTGAGTTGCTCTATGTTCACGACAGTCACATTCACAGGACATGATTGTAACACCGTCTGTGATGTTTTAAAGGTCTCCTGACATTACATGCAGCTCACATACTGTATGTAGTTAATGCCAAGTCATCTTGGTCACAATTATTTCAATTATTAAAACATATTCTTATTTGTCACCTTCAAGACACAACTTGGAAATACTCCCCTTGAATTTGTGACATTGCTATTGTCTCATGTTCCCAATTATCCCCTTGGTCTGCGTTGAAATTAAGTTCTCGTCTTATCCCATAAATATTTAATTTAACCAGCTCTGTAGCTGTACCTTTTGATGTGCTTTATTACCACCCAGAAGTGGGTCGTGGGAAAGGCATAATTTATTACTTGTCATACCTCATTTGGGAATATTGGCACTACAGTGGGAACTACAACAAAATGCTGCTAAATTGGTGGGATGAAAGAAAAATGTGGATCATGAAACTTTTCGTATCACAACTACAGACATTTATGAGTGTTTTTCTTATGGAGTCCGGAGGCAGAAGGGATATCTTTACTCAATCTGTCTTAAGCGTCCATTTGATTTTGCATCCATTTGATTTTGCCAGTCTAATTTAACTGTGACACACTGTGCTTATCATAGGCCCCAGTTACATCTCATGTTAACATGTGATCTGCATCTAAATAATGACATCTGACCTCCAGATGTGGTGTGGCTGATCTGATCACATTATGATTGCAATGTGTTCTGCTTGCATGTACACTTGGAATTAACATTTCTATTTTCTTATCCAGGCTGTATATCCACATACAGACTGCATGTTAATGGCAGGTGAATATGGGGTCAGAATTGAAGATGTACACCTTTTTTGTTTGAAATAGAGAGGTACGGTGAGAGGAGGGATAGGTCAGAATTTTTGAAGTGGGAATGTATGAGGTACTTATTTATAGTTAATGTATTATATACAGTAGGTGGAGGTCGGTATGCCCCCCAGAAGCAGCAGGAGTGCTGACATGAAAGCTAAACAATGTACTGCTGTGGACGAAAGGCAGCAGCAATTTGTATTTTAGCCACATAAAAGATTCCACTACAACAACAACAGTTTGGGTATATTGAGAGTATTTTCACGACTTAACCCTTTTAAATGCCAAAGGTACACAGTGACACAAACAAAAGAGCTAATTGAGGCAGCAGTAAACCAGCAGCTCCTGTGGTCAAAAATGGTAAATCACTGTTTTTCTCTGGGAGAGAAGAGAGCGATGTAACAGCTTTATTTCAGCTGTCTAACGGAGAGGTAAAAGTAAGTTTTGTTGCTGACCCCTCCACAGCAGTCCATTGCTTAGTTTCTATGTCGGACTCCGGTCTACCTCACTTGCCCGGGGGCGTGCCAGCTAATCTCTACTGTATGTAATACACTGACTATGGATAAGTATCATACAAACCAACTTCAAATAATCCAAATTATCCCTTTCAGCACAAATAAGTGGTTTAGATAATGTGGTTAAAGTGGTGGTTTACCTATAAAGTATGTGATTGGCTGTCTGACCGCTTTGGCCTTATTGGTCTTATTCTTTTCAGCAATATTAAAGTGAGGACAGATCAACAATTAAGTTGGTGAGAAACTGTTGTCATAACTGTTCGGACACGTTTTCCAGATTTCCACCTCCAACATGGACTACAAAGTGTGCACCACTTCATCCAGTTCAGTTTGGGTTGTGTCCTAAGTGATGCCTGAGGACCTCAACATCGCACAGACTAACTGCTCAATACACATTTATTTTTACTGTTCTTTATCTGTGCTTGCTCCAGAGACTGCATACTGCAGTGTGGCTAACTTGCTGATCTTATGTCTTTCCTCACATTCTGTTAAACCACCAGCTAGGTAGTTTCTTCATGCTTTTTTAATTACCACTAAGGTTGGTAACAGTATTAACCATCTCAAAAGCTTGAAAATGCAACCCCTGTCCACTTTGTTAATGTGTCTTTATGAGAATTTTATTTTATTTTTTTAGCCCTAATCCAAACACTAACTCTGATTTAACAGCTTTTAAATAAGAACAAACAAGCCAGTAGCAATTTGGACAATTGGGTTCTTAGCAAGTGAGAACTACAGTTGGAAACCATGTTTAGCCTGAGTTAAGAGTCTATTACAGACTCACTATCTGTCTGTTACACATTGGAAAACAGCCTTTTACTTTGCTCATAGGCACTACGACTGATAAGCATTATTTCTTTTTATGAGAATTACTGCAGTGATTTTCTCCCGTGAGAAAATATGGCTTTATTTTATAAATAAGCTTCCCTGTAGCCCCAAGAAACCATTTTAGTGTTTTCAGGAGCCAAAGAAATCACAGATAATGAGAGAAGAAGGAACTCAAGCACTTTTGTTTTTGTGTTTCAGTCTGGTCTGATTGTGGCGTGCTACCATGGCTACGTGGACGTGGTCATTGCCCTTTCTCATTGCCCATATGTTGATGTTAACTGGCAGGACAACGAGGGCAACACCGCTCTCATCACTGCAGCACAAGCAGGTAAACACACCTTGGGCCATTAAAGGATTGTTATTGCTAGTATTTGTTAAAAAAGCCGTTCCCAGTCAGTCAGGATCCACCAACAGGTGTCTTGACTTATTAGACCTCTCTGTCAGACTGTAGGGGCGTGTACCGACTGTGCTTGATTGAGATTGGCCAAACTATCCTGTTTTTAATTTAGTTAAAGACATCATTTCAACATTTTGGGAAACACACATAGGCGTATTTGCTTTCTTGCTGAGAGCTGTGAAGAGATGCGAAGATTGAAAGCACTGTCATGTCTATAAGGTAATATGAAGCTACTACCAGCAACAGGCTAATTTAGCTTAGCACAAAGACTGGAAACACGGGGAAATGGCTAGCCTTACACTGTCAGAGCCAATGACAGTATATAAAGATGGATGACATGACAGCTCCCTAAAAGTGAAGCCAAAGCATCTAGACTGCACCCTAGCTGCATTCAAGATCATAACCCCACACCTTCTCTATATTAGTGGTGGGACATACTAAAAAATTACACAAGATAGGAACTATCTTAACTAAACAATCAAAGTATGTCAAATGAATTTTTTACCCAAGATGGCTTCTGTCCCTTTAGATCGTTGATGTATGTTCAAGTGTTCATTTTTCTGAGTTTGGTTTTTATTAGCTATTTGATACTACGATCCCATTTATACGACAATGATTTCACCCGAAAACGGTAAAATTAAGTTGCGTTTTGGCTAATCGTTTACACGACAGCGGTGTTTTGGGTGCCTGAAAATGCAACGTCTTGAAAACGGGTCCCAGAGTGCAATTTTTTTGGAAACGGCACCGTTTCCTTTGTCATGTAAACTTGCAATATGCAGTTCCTTTGAAAATAGAGACTTTTTGCACATGCGCATTACGGTTCCAGTCAGTAGCAACTCCACCTTGTCGTCCGTCGAGACAAATGTTCGTGTGGTTGCCCTTTTGTTTGTTTATACATCACCGCTCTGTAGAAGGAAGCGCGTGTGTACAGACGCGTGTTGTTTCATTGCGAAGTCACATCGCCAACTTCTGGCCTGGCATGTATACTACAGCGTTTTTGGTCATTTTTGCGGATCCGTGTGCATGGCAATTGTTATCAAAACATTGAAACGAAAAATGAAAAACGATTCCGTTTTCAGCGGATCGTTTTCGTGTAAACATGGCCTAGAAAAAGGGTGTGCAATATCATGATTGACAGCTATGTGTGCTAATTGTTGTGATTGTGATCAATGGTGCTGATCACAGTTAGATCAGACGGGTTTATGAGTGGAGTTTGATACCGTGGCATCACTTCTTCACAGACTGGCTTCAAATGTCACCAACACAAGATGGCTGTATCCATACTTTGACCTCATTTTAGTGCAGTGGAAGGAAATGTAGACGCATCATCCATCTTAATATACATTCACTGGTCAGATGGTACCAAATTTGCCCACCAGTGCCTCTAAAGTTGCAAATTCACATGTTGCATCTCAGTTGTTCAAAAGTCATGTGTAAAAAAATTCAATTTGTAGTTTTATGTTATGTACCAAACTTTTTCTTGGCCAGGCTAGCTGTTTACCTTTGACATGTATAGTTGCAGCCACATTCTGTTTGGAGCCTACACGACTCCCCCTATAAACCATACCTATCACCAGTACAAGATAAACCCACCAAGGCAACGGTTACTTGAACCCTGCTACAGTGTGACATTGTAGGCTAGTGCATAAATATGAGGTCAAAGAAGCAATAATCCAATCTACAACTTACCTTTTAAGTAACAAGAGGACCCTTACCCTTATTTTAACCTTGACCACCCCTCTTTTAACCAATTTGTCATAACTTTCTCATTATGTCACAAAATGTATCTCATTCAAACATACTTTGCTCATTCTAACATGATAAGTTTATTTTTATAACAGGATACTTATACATATTTGAAGAAGAAAAGTACCCAGTCATGGCTTATGAAGGGTGATTGTGGCCTACCTTGGCTTGAAATTTCAACAATGACTGGTTTATATGGTTTGATTAACTTTTATCCAAATGCTTGGGATGATAAATGGTAAAAGAATCATCCATCTAGAGAATCAGTCTATTAACCAACCAATCGCTTATTTGTCACATGGAAATCATACAAGGCACAACTCCAGTGAAATGTGATCCTGTCAGCTCCTTTAACCTGTGCACTGTGGTTTAGTTAGTTCATCCAACTGATTTTTTTGTCACCACATTCACACATGATAATTACACAAAGTGCACTGAGCAATATGAGAGCAGCCCACAGCCATAACCTTATATATTAAAACACCCTGCCACATTGATCAGTCATGGTATATTATTAATCAGCCATGCTATATGATTAATCAGTCATGTCATATGGTTGCTCAGGGCTACAGTGTCTAAAAGAACTGACTGGATCATTATTACAACAAACCAATCATGTTATAACAAGAAAACTTTCCAAGCGATACGCTGCAGTAAATATTACAGTCATTTGTCATTATTTATTAAATTAAAAAACAGTGAATTTTCTCTCCAATACAGAACCAAGCTTTTAAAGGCAGGCTATGTAACTTCGAAAGAAATAGAACAATCTTCCCCTGCCAAATGAAAATCTTTATTTGCAATAGAATTTACTCTTGCTCAAGCCAACATACTGAGAGGTTTTACTGCTACAGCTGTATTTGGCTTTTGGTTGCTAATGTTCGCTAAGGTTGAATGTATAGCTGATTCTCTAGCCCCTTTTACACTGCCAGATTTTCCGCGAATGTTGGGCCGTTTTGCCGGCAAGCTGTGAGTGTTTAGACACAGAGGCGGATTGGCAAGTTGATCCAAGGTGCCCAGTTTTCCCCCTCGTAGGGTAGTCATATAGGTGAAACCTTTTTGGTTTAAACCGAGGCGGCCTTCCGCAACGGGAGGGGCTGTAGTAGCAAGTGGGAAATGCAAACCTGACAGACACTGTAAAGATGAGCAACTGGGGAGACATGGAATTGCGCACCCTCCTTGTCCTCGCAAATGAAGAGGCCATTAACCATCAGATGACAGGAACGGCAAAGAATGGGCCAACTTACGAGAGAATCCCCGAAGGACTGACCAGCTGTGGCTTCCCTCCCACGTCACTGTTTACGTAGTCTCGCCACCAGACAATCAGAGATCTCCGCCTTCTGATAGTCTGGGGACACTCCTTTCTAAAGTGTGTTTAACACACCGGCAAAAACGGCCGGCAACAAAGCAACGCCTCTTGCATTTTTGAAAAGGACACGCCCTCCTGGAAATGTGCGCTCCCCTTTTCTCGTCTGCAAGGAAACAAACACACAGAGAGCTTGAAAATGGATGCCGAGAGATTTATCTCCATTTTATCAAACGTGTGCTCAGTCCACAAGATTGTGGAAATGAAGGACTTACAGCGACTTGAGCCATTTTGTACCGCTACACGTGTTTCTAGTGGGACTATGTTTACAAGCACAAGAGTTCAGCGAGCCACCGAAGGACCGCCCTGCGGATTTACTATTGGTTCTGCAACGTAGGGAGTTTTTTTAAACTCTGAAATTGTATCCGCCCATCTAAACACAAAATCAGGGATAAAGTCATCAGTCTTTAGTTAAGCAAAGCATCTAAAGACTGACTTGTGAGTCTACTGTTAACGTCAAACTCTGAGCTACACTTTTTGTTACATTTGCAGCCTTTTGCCGCACTCCCTTATTTTGTTTTTATACTGCCAATGCTGAAAAAAAGACTGAGAAAAAAGACTTTTGCACAACTCCTATCTAAAAAGGGCTATTGTTACATTATGTTTTAGCATCACAGACAAACATTTTAATTTTTATCTAAAAAAGTGATTGTAAACTATGATGTTTTTTTTACAGCTTGAGTTGTTCTTGTTTTATTTTTCAGAGCTCCAGCCATTAGATCTAACATTGTGCACAACAAAATAATTGCTGAGCTCTTAACCCACTTGCCAGAAAAAATGTTGGCATTGTACATTTCTGCAATCCATGGATATGTTACATTTGAATGTTATTTTGTAGTGGATACATTGAAACTCTTACTTGCTTACAGTCAGGAAAACATCATGTTTTGGCTAAAAATACACGGTTTAGGGTTTGGAGGGTCACAATCCCATCAGGAAAAGCAGCAATGTCTCTGTGAAAAAAAACCCAAAAAAACAAAAAACAAAACACTTTCCATGCCTGATAAGCTGCTAGTAACAGAGCAATGAGTCACTAAATTCAAACCAGTCTTGTTATTTGTTGTGGTTTGTTGGTCAAGGTGCCATTCACCATCCCCTCCACCTCCAGATGACAAAGAAAGCTCCTATACTATGTCACTTTATAAACGATGATATGAAATGTATAAATCATGCAAATGTAACATGTTTATGGTTTGCGAAAACGTACAACGGCAACATTTTCCTCTTGTGACTGGGATGAAGATCTTTGACCATGGCAGCTGCGCTAAAACTATGAGCAGTCAGTTGTTCAGGTTGTAAACTAGCCATGTTTGGCCAGATTAGCTACCGCTTTTGTCGAGGTAGAAGCAACCAGGTTCAGACCAAAGTTAAACTTTGGCTGTAAACTGTGATGGATGTTAACGCTTAACCTTTTGTGAACAGTAGTAATTTTACTGTTTGCTTTTCTTTCACTTCCCAATATATCTTTCTAAACTGTAAGCTTGTTTACAACCTGTTTGATCCTCTGAATGCTTGTGTTCCCTGACCCACTCTATTTTTAGTCATATTGTTGCGTTCCAAGATCATACAATATCTGATAGAGCTGACAACCAGAGCCACAAAAACCAAGCAGTAACAAACAGTTTTCCTTTATTTAACAGATGAATTTGCAATGATCCTGTATTTGTCACCTGTTGACATGAATTTGGTTTAAAAGCATTTTTTAAAAGGGAAAAAGCTGCTACAGACAAGCATAAACTTAGACCAGCCTCATTCAGATCAATTTACTACTTAAGCATTGATTGGTTAAAATTTCTAGGTCTGAGCACCAACCCAGTCAAAGGTAATGGAATCATCATTCTATCTATTTGAGTGAAACATAATCATGACATGCTCTCTTTGACAGGGATCCATAAAAAGATTCTGTCGAGATGGTAGGGAGCTTATTGTGTTTGACTTCCCAATCTTTCTCCTCCATTTACCTCAGTGTGGAACAGTTATATTGTTAGCATTGCTTGGTAAATGCAGGACTAAAAACCTCTGGATATGACTCTCCAGACACAGATTACATGACCAAACATCAATAATTATAACCCCAGATACTCACACAACTTTCAGGATGTCTCCTTTCATCTCATTTCACTACTTTGAGGCATAATTTACAGTGGTAAAATTTTTATTGCAGAGAACTGAGTTTCCAAATTTGGTCCAAATTAAAGCACATATTATATAATATTATGGTCTGGTGATTCCAGTTGTAAGAATCACTGTTATTTGCTGGCATTAGAAAGTACCATGGTAAGTAATTTCATAGTGATGCAGCCACATGTATCAGACACGGCGCCCAGGCCTCTCATCTGCTAACGATGATGAATGGCTCTCTGTGTCCTGTGATGAATAGCTGCAGACTACTCTTCATTTTCTGCTTCATTAAAAGAAGTATCGATCCCATTTCATGACAAAGTACTCTGCAACACCTCAGGGGAACTGGTGACCAAGACTGTGAGTCCACATGGCTGCTGCAGTGCTGAGTGGCCGAATACATAAGGAGAAAAACTTTCCATAAAACCCTTGTGCTAAAACTCTGCACTGTGCTGACTTAAGGGGCTGTAGACATTCAGCGTCTTTCACGGCCTGGAAAACGCTAGGCTGGGCGCAGGGTGCCACTCCTATTTTGTGTCATGTGCCAGCTTTCAAGAGTGCAGTGGCAGGTTGCATCTGAGGTTGCTAAGCAACCTTAACAAGCACTGTATTATAGCCTATTTACCTGAAATCCTGAGTGGAGACCTGATCTTCTTCCAGGCACAGTTTGTGTGTGGGCTATTGTCCATGGGACAGATGTAAAGCTCTGGCAGCCCCGCACTAAAATGATCAACCTCTCCATATTTTTCACAGACTGATATTCACAGAAGAAGGGCGAATTTCAAGAGACCAACCTTTACACATTTGTCTGGATGTAGAATGGATTTACTCGATTAGGAACTCAGGTTGTAAAGGTTCAATCAATCAGTCAGTCAGTCAGTCAGTCAGTCAGTCAATCAATCAACTTGTAACATGTAATCACAACATTACTCCGATGAAAAAAGTAACCCAGTCAGTTCCTTTAATTTGTGCATTAAAAGTGTGTGTATGATTGGGCATTCAGTGTCCTCATTGGCCTGTGGGTAGAAGCTTGTTGCTGAAGGGTTAAACGGCTGCACTTTGACTTAAGATCCTATCAGCAACAGTGAAGTGACTTCAAACCCCAGAGTGGCTGACAAAATATGAGCATTGTTGACAAGTGTTGACATGAATAGATCAGATGCATGGGTGCTGGGCATCATTTGAATCCCATTTTTCCAAAAAGATATAAAAAGTTACAACATTAATTTAAGACATTTGATTGTATGCATACTTACATGAGTCTTCAATTATAATAAGCTCCTCAATAAATAAGACAATATTGTTTAAAGGCAAAAAATAAGGAGTACATCAACAAATTTACCTACAAAATTAAAGCTGTAAGCAGTGTTGGGCGGGACCTCGGACTCAGGCCATTTCGGCCTCCAGCTAATGTAGACAGTTAAAGACAAAAGTTGTAGACGATTTTAGACCCCTCTAGCTCACAGCTGACAATTTCTCCACATTTGCTCATGTTATTTTCAGAGGCACTAGCTCACTTCCTGTTGGATTTAGGTCAGGGATGTCAGCACGTGATTTGTAGGTCTTGATGAGACGAACAAGCCAGTTTTGGTTTAATCTTTCTACGACATTCCTATGGACTGCAGCGGCCATTTTAGTGTGTCTAGGTGGCGCTAGAGAGCACATTTTGGCACTTTTGGGGTTAATTTTTCCATTTTATCAAATTTTTCACCAGTCCTGACATGCGTGCCAATTTTGGTGAGTTTTTGAGCATGTTTAGGAGGTCTGCCTTTGGCCAAGGTCCCTTAAAAATACTGTATTAAACCCAAGTGCCTCATTCCAACTGGATTATTAGGCTGTAGTAGTAGTATTATCTCTGAAACAACATTCAGTGCAGATGTTAGGGGACAAGTCTAATGAACGTGATGATTTACATGACAGAACCAGTCCAACTAGAAGAAACAGTTTCTGAAGAAACTGCAGTGTGAATGCTGGATGCAGAAGCTAAACTATATTGCTGGCCTAAATGTTAAAGAATAAAGGGAAGTAGTAGCAATAGTTGGAAAAGTGGCAATAGGTTTAAATCATATGAATGTCATTGGAAAGTTGAATAATACAATAATGTGAAAAAGGATGTGAAAAATTTTGAGTCTATTTTTTTTTTAAGTTGACGCAGACTAATTTGCTGGCTTCAATAGTTGAATAATACCACAAATGTAAACAAATGTGGAATATCTTAGGGTATGTTGAAAAGCTCATACTATACTGCACTGACGCATGAATGTGTACAAATAACGTGAGGAAGTAGGAAGAGGTGGAAAAGTGGACATGGATTAAATGAGTGTAAATGTCATTGAAAAGTTGAATAATAGTTTAATAATAATAATAATAATAATACATTTTTTTTGAAAAGCTGACACCAAAGTAAATTACTAGCTTTAAAAGTTGAATGCCCATAATATATGGGAGATGTGAAACATTGTAAGGTTTGATCAAAGTGTCTAGCTGAAAGTACAGACAGAGGAGGATCTTGAAAAATACTTTTAAGTCTCCCAGCATTCACACCCAATTCTCTGTAAGTATAGGCCACCAAGACATTGCTGGCCTACCACTAACCTATCTTGGCGCTCCTCCCTCACTGACCAGAGCCACAACAACCGGACACTGATTCTTTAGCATGAATTAAGCAAAGCAGTGCTTTGAGCTAAATGCCAATGTCAGCATGCTAACATGCTCATACTAACGTGCTGTGGTTTAAAGCCTAGAATGCTCACAACATCATCATCTGGCACTATTTTGCAAATTAACACAATATTTGCTCTTTGGCACTAAACACCATACATACATGTATGTACCAAATTTCATCATCATCCATGTTGCAATATTTCAGTCTAGACCAAAATGGTGGTACTTTGTTTTGAAATGATGGTTGAACATTGTCATCCCTGGAGCCACCACACTGACATGCTTAAAAATTCACTCCTGAACCTGCCTTATAGTCCTGAGTCTACAGGAGGGAGTATAACTGTAAGTTTTTGTATTGATTAGTGTTGAAAAAGAAATGCTGAAAAGTAGAAAAGCAAAGACAATATGAGAGATACAGTGTATCAGAGGAAGCTTTCCAAGTGCCAAACTGGAGAAACTAGCCAGCTGAACACACGTCTGTGTTTCTCTCTGGCCTGCAGGTCATGTGTATATCTCAAACTTCCTGCTCAACTACTTCCCTGGGATGGACATCGAGAGGAGGAATTGTCATGGCTTCACAGCTCTGATGAAGGCTGCCATGCAGGGCCGGGCTGAGTGTGTCAGGGCTCTCATGCTGTCTGGTAAAACATACATTTAATAATTAAGATCAATGAAATCATTAAATCGTGAATGAAAACCTTTATTGTTCTTGCAATCTACTAGATGTATGAAGGTAGAAATCAGGGCAAATTATAGTACTGCTCACAGATTCTCTCTAGCACTGACCACGTCTATAATGCCTCATGTTTCCAGGAGGTGATATTCAGGCACGGGACAGCAGCCGCAGTATGACACCCAGGGAGTGGGCTCTCTTCACTGGTCGATATGAGACGGCTGATCTGATGCTTCGGCTGATGTCAAAGCCCTGTGCTGAGCAGTTTTGTGACTCCTTTTCCCTGGAGTGGCCCATGTTGGAGGTTAATAAGTTCACCATTGTTACTATTGAATGCACCACAAAATGCTTTCAACTAATGATTCTTTTAAACTAAAATGTTGGATCTTCTTGTGCAGGAGCTGGTGGCCAAGGCCCAAGAGCCAAAGTCTTGCTGGAGGCGTTTGATCAACTACCTTTCCTGCTGCCCTTATGGGCTTTACAACAACAAGGTAAACCCTGTGGATGATGGCGTTCTTGACCACATGGTACGGGTCACCACCAGCATCTGCAATCCAGTCATTGCCACAGCTTGCCGCACGGTGTGTCCAGGCAGCCCACCGTGCATTGGAAAGCGTCGTCAGGCCGTGCAGGAGATCCTAAGGAGGCAAAGGATATCTGAGCTGAAGCGTCTGGGCCCGGACAGATTGAACAACTACAAGAGATTTTTCCAGAACTCGCGGGTCCTCCTGATCCCCAAGGCAAGGGACCGGAGAGCCAGCCTGCAGCCTCAGCTGCTGAACAACGTGGCTGCAGTGGCCATTAGACGAGCAAGCCTCCTGCCTCTGAATATGCTGAGGAGAAGCAGCGTGCGGCCAGGCATGGTGGTGCCCAAAGTGAGGCTTTGCAAAGCCCCAGCTCCGAGCTTCATACCAGAAAAACTAAGACGGAGCAGAAACCGTAACCAGCTCCAGATCCCCAAGTGGGACTACAAGATGAAGAGAATAGAGAAGAGGCAGGAGGAGGAGAGGCGACGATTGTTACCTCTGATAAGGAGGAGATGAGGGGATAGGGGAGTACTACTATATGTTCACTTTATCTCAGAAAGCAGGACAAGCCTTGACCATGCACAGTGTTGTAGTCCCAGATAAATTAACCGGAAGAACTGACTCTGTTAATGTAAATATTTTTCATTGTGTTTGCTGAGATTGCCGACATTGTTGGATTTGTTGCCTTGTTTCTACTTGAGTTCACATGATTCCTTTGTGAGGCATATTTTGGGGTGCAATGTAGGAGAGTTCAGCAAAAAAAAGTCAATGTAGTAGCTATATTGGTTATTCCTGCTAGGATGCTGACAACATACACATTTCCATGTCGACAGCTTATATTTATGGTAAATTCAGTGACACATGGCAAAAGAACAAAAGAAGATTATGTGTAAGGGTTTTAGTATGCTTCAATGCTTGTGAAGGTTCCCAGTTCAGAATATTCCCTTCTGGACAGTAAAAAAAAAGAGGCAGAAATAGGAAAGATTCAGTAAGGGTAACAGGGAGACAACAGAAGCTAAGGAGCAGCCGAGATTACTCAAAGGAAAAGAGTTAAGAGAGAGAAAAACAAAAAACTGCAGCAGGATGAGAGGCCATGCTGACTTGGAAAGAACAAGTACAGGATACATGATTCAGGACACAAAAGTATGGAAGCTTAAAGCATTCACCTGAGAAAAACAAAAGAATTTGTCTAGTTTTTCTGAATTAATAAATCTTTTTAAGCATTATTATTAAAATTATTTATCTATTATTTATTCATGAAATATTATGACTTTTTTCTCTTAAAGGGATAGTGCACCCACACATGAAAATTCAGCCATTATCTACTCACCCTCATGCCGATGGAGGCTCAGGTGAAGTTTTAGAGTCCTCACATCACTTGCGGAGATCCCAGGGGAGAGGGGGTAGCAACACAACTCCACCTAATGGAGGCTTACGGCGCCCCAGATTCAAATGTCCAAAAACACATAATTGAAACCACAAAATATCTCCATACTGCTCGTCTGTAGTGATCCAAGTGTCCTGAAGCCCCGACATAAAAAGCTGTTTGGAAAAACGACATTTGAACTCTGTTTTTAGCCTCATTGTAGCCTGCAGCTCTAACTGCCTCTCTGGGCACCGCATTCACGTGTGCGCACTCGTGTGAGACCATGAGACATGGGCACCGCTATCATGTGTGTGCGCTCGCTAACCTGTACATCTGTGTTTGTATCACGTGACACTTGCACCACAGGGAGAAACAACAGTAACCACAGTAAAAGTTAAATTGCACTACGATCTTTTAGCAAAGGATAACCCAACATGTGTGAAGACTTTGAAATTGAGGAGGAACAGCATTTCTTTGCTGAGCTGTATTTGTTTGAGTATACGGACGTGGAACTTAGGCTGCTGGACGAAGCAGCCGCTGCAGCTGAATAGAGGCCCAGAGAGGCAGTTAGAGCTACAGGCTACAATGAGGCTAAAAACAGAGTTCAAATGACATTTTTCCAAACAGCTTTTTATGTCAGGGCTTCAGGACACTTGGATTACTATGGATGAGCAGTATGGAGATATTTTGTGGTTTCAATTATGTGTTGTTGGACGTTTGAATCTGGGGCACCATCAGCCTGCATTAGGTGGAGTTTTGTTGCTACCTCCTCTCCCCTGGGATCTCCGCAAGTGTTGTGAGGACTCTAAAACTTCACCTGAGCCTCCCTCGGCATATGGGTGAGTAGATGATGGGTGAATTTTCATGTTTGATTGCAGTATCCTTTTAATATTATGCTTTTTTTACCCTTCAAATTCCTAAATTAATTCTTGTAATATTATGACCTTATTCTGAAATTTCAGATTTTTTAAATACATTTCATACATTTCTGGTGAAGCATAACGCATTTACTTGAGAAATCTTTTCTGTAACCACATTATCAGAGTTATGAGAAAAGTTTCATTGAACAAAAAAAAGTTCTGCTCTTGGTTTTCTGAAATAACAAGACAATAATCTTGGAAATTCTCATCTCTGATTAAACATTATTATTTTCTCATTAATTCAGAAAAACAAAAGCAGAATTTTTTTTCTCCTGTTAATGCATGATGCTTCCATACAAGAGGAGGAGAAACGTGAAAATGTGGGAAGGTGACAGCCAGTCAGATGGATTTTACAGGATGGAGAGAGGAGCTTTGACACGGCCAAATGAAGATTGGTGGCTGGCTTCTGCTGCAGATTGCTACAGGGAAGGATCACTGAGCATGCAGGGGGAAGCCAAGAAGCCATTTTACACTGGTGCATAGTCCAACAGGTATTTCCAAGGAAGGGGAGAGCTTGTGAGCAGCTGAGCTGAGGAGCCAGCTCACACAGGCTTTGTAGGGGCTTTGTGGAGAAGTGGAGAGGCAGAGCCAAAAATAAACAGCTTAGTGCTAGAATGTGACTTGTTGACTTCCAAAAAAATCTCACGTGATAGTCCACTGCTACTGTTTGGTACGAGGGTATCTCCTTCTCTGTGAGAAATGGAGGCCCACCAGTAGCACATGTGTACTTGGATTTTGCATTGGAATGGCAGTATTTAAAAAAGTACTTTGAAGAGCTTTTACAGAATAAAATACATAAAAAAAAAAGTGTTTTAAAATGACAGTAAGGAAAAAGTATTAAAATGGCACTTTTCGTAGGTAAATACACTACTGTATGGCGTATTACATTTATCACTGTCTGGTGACAACCACTGGTAATTGCAACAAAATTGATTTTTTTTTTTAGTGGTAAATCATGCAACACCATGAACTCTGTACTCTTTACTTTGACCTGTTTGTCTCTGGAACTGAACTGGTCTGGACTCTGGACCACAGTGAACTGTATGTGAGTGGACTGGAGACTGCTACGGTCTTCCTCCAAGGATCTCTTTACTTTCTGCCAAAACCTGAAACTCTTAGGTAGTAAAACACAAGACAAAGTACCGAGCAACAGCTAATTTCTACCACGTTAAACCATTACTTATTTCATCACGCATCACCTTCTAAGGCAGGAGAAACAACACTGAAGTGAGATTTATAGCATTGGTTACCTACATGGTTGACTTGAAGCTGTAACGCAAAGGAAAAGGAAAACCATGCCGAATTCATTGAGTTGAAACTGCTGATGGCCTGACAAATACATGTCATATAAAGATGGATGATGCACCTTCACTTCTACCCACTGTATAAAAGTAAAGCCAAAGTATCCCAGATACGGTAATGCCATCTTGCATTGGTGACGTCATTTGCAGCCAGAGTCTGCACTGTAGTGATCTGAGAGTGAGGGCGCAGTATCGAGTCCCCCCTCCCCACCCCCAGCCCACTCAGCGCCATTGGCCCGACTCAATCACGACTGGTCCATGGCCCATGTCCCATCTGCTAACATGGAGGGGGTGGGGTTTATGACCAGCACTGCAGCCAGCCACCAGGGGGCGATCAAGATGTTTTGGGTTCAGTTTTGGGGAGCCGTCATGCCAATATCTTTATATACAGTCTATGTGTCACACCATCACTGGCATATGAGGAAATACTGTGATTTATACTTGAAATGTTGATAGGGATTATTTTGTACTTTCATTTTTCATTGATTGTGTATAATTACATGTACCTTTCCTTTAATATATCTAAAAAGTACTGATGTATTTTTGAGCATGCCCAGTTGGCACCAGACCTCAATATGAAATCAGAGACATTGAACTCTTATGTCACACAGTTTTGGTTGCAATGAAAATCAGATGATATTTCAAATGTCTAACAAGGAAAGAATTTCATGTTGTGTGGATGTTAACATTACAATGTTTTGTAGACTTTGGGGTTTTTTTTTTGTGGTTTGGGTTTTGTTCTTACAACCACAGGTTGTTATTCTACGTCAAGTTGACGTCTGCATGAGATGTTTGGAAGACACTGGATTTTAGTTACTGAACAACACAAGTTAAAATCAGCCAACATCCACATCATTTATCTATGGTCTGTATTCTATGTCAAAATGATGTTGGCATTAGACATAGTCTTGACATGGAATTTTGGTCACAACCTAAATCAAACCAAATATCAACTTCTAACAGTGTTGGTGGCCAACTGGGGGGATATTCAAAACTATGCCTTCAATAATGGGCTTAATGGTCAATTTCATGCACCTCTTTGTCATTCAGGGAACAATTGTAGAGGGACATTTTTGTATTAAATTGTAATGAAGTCTCTACGCACAGAGATAATCCAGATTACTGTTGGCTGAAATAAATTTGTTTGTGATGCTCTGCCCAGTCATTTTCATGTTACTACAGCCATAAT